TTTGTTTGATTCACTGACTGATATACATTATACTAGATGTTGTTTTGGGGAGGCGGTCGTGTTGTTGCCTAGATCTACATTTATCTCCTCAGCCTTGTTGATTTTTGACTCTTACCTCGTATTTGGATTCGTGTACTGGACTATCGAATACCTTGGAATGGAGAGTTGAACTGGTAATTCATATTACTGGTATCTGCTATCGTTCTGAAGAGGCGGTCTTGTGGTTGCCTAGATCTACATTCATCTCCTCAGCCTTATTGATTCCCTGCTCTCGCCACATATTCAAATCCAAGCATCATCTCGTAACTTCAGTTGGACGAACAAGTCAACAAGTTTACTCTCATTCATTCAGTTACTCTCCTCAATAGCGATAATGGAAGCTTTCGGATCCAAGGACAACAGATCTCCTTCTGGAGAAATCATCTGGAATACTTCAAATGACATATTCGAGTTCTCCGATATGGAAATCGAGAATGTTGATTCGAAGAAGCTGGTTATCAAACAATCAATCACTAATGAATCTCATGAAGAGTTAAAGCTTCCCGGAGAAACAGAAAATGCGGAACGAAAAGACGAAGAAGAAACTCCGCTTATAACATTCAACGATGGATATCAAAAAAATGTCTCCAGATTTCCAGGTCAAGTGGATGAAGCGGATCAAAGTGTTGATCAAAAAGGCGGTCCAAGTTCAAATGATGGTGCGTATCTTCGAGTAAATCATTCTTCACATCTGCCTGGCCCAATGAGCTTTGATTCTATACTAACAACATATCGTCAAATAGTACGACCTCATTCGACTTCAGAGTGGGGAGATGCCGCCGAGCAACAACGCAAAGCTCGACAAGAACTCAATGAAAGAGATCACAATTCAGTCGAGTACAGCAAATCGCTTTTAGATGAAGGCGATACTCTGGTATACGTCTCATTTCCTGGAGGCATTACTTTCTACGACTTCAAGGGAGAACCACAGCCATATAAAATTTATCGAGCTAGTAGCGACAAGTTAAAAGCACTTGGTTCGGCGAAATTCTCTCGGATGTTCGAAGAGCGGCCACAACATTGGGCGAGAAAGAGAAAGGGTTTTCTACATTATCTACCAGAAAATATCAAATATGTACTTGATCTTACACCACTAGAAGAAGGCGATGAGGCAGTTGAATTGGTATCAGAATTATCCTGCTCGGCAGGAATTAGGAATTGGTACTTGGCTGAGAAGCGATGTGGTGTCGAAAAGCATCTGGTTGCTGGTGATGATGATATTCCTGGACCTGCCATCGTACCAGCTAAAACTGCCGAACAATTCGGATTAAAAGTTCCAGTAGACGGCTATATAGCCTTTCTTTCTTCGCAGTCAAGGATGGACTCGCCTGTCAACGATAAATTTGTTTTTACGTCTTTGGGTCGTACGGTACCTAAAAACGATGCTATTATTTCTGACAAGTCTGTCCAAGATTCGAATATGCAGAGAGCGATTAAGAATAGCCTGGAAGATGGCCATTTATTTATTGGGCCTTCGGGAAGTGGCCCGGTTGGAACTGCTCATGATGGCTCTACCGAAGTAGCGGGGTCAAAGAAAAAGGTCCTAGATTATTGTCCGATCCGTCATCGATTTGGAGTCGAAAACCTTCTTAGGATCATTCAAGGTAAAGTACCTAAACTGGATTCGGCGCCAAAAGTATGGACGTTATTTGTTTTGGCAAAGTATTATGAATGTACAAGCGTTGTGGTAAGAGATCATTCCTTCATTTCGACATTTTTAAGTCTAACTTCATTTCAGATTGACTACATAACCTCATGGATCATGAATGGAAATAATATTAAATTCCTCGAAGTTCTTCCCGAAGCCAGTATAAACATTGGGCTTGGCTTGAGATCACCTATGATTACAAGAGCTGCGTTCTCAATTCTTGTTTCTGAAGAAGCGCTCAATGTGGCTTCAAGAACTTTTTGTGAAGGTCTTGGTAGGCGAGCAGAGTACAAGTATCTTCGACCTCGTGAAGAGCTTGATGAAGATTTGTGGAACGTTATTCAACATGCCAGTCAAGACTTCTGCGATCGTGTTCAAAAAATAATTACCGACTTGGTGGATGAAAGAATGGCTTGGTTTTTGGAAATTCCAGAGTACAAGAAAATATGCAAGTTTGAAGACTATTGCTATAAGAAAAAAGATAATAGCAAGGAAGACGAAGCCATCTATGAGAGAAGAAAGTCGGTCATTCAGCGGTTACTCGTCAATCTTCGTCGATTTGTTCGAGGGAAAATTATTACTTGTTTGAATCAAGGACTAGAAGTTTTTGAGATCACTATGGCGAGTAAAAGTCAACGCGAAGCTCAATGGGAAGTGTATGCAGCTTCAGGAATTGAATCGAATGAGGGTTTAGATCCAAATTACATTTACAACGGTCTCGGTGATCGTGAAAGAGTCTTACTACCACATTTCTGGCGTCGTCTTCGAGATGTCTATTGGGAGGATGATTTTGAGAGCCCTAAACTCAACTCATATAATCCGCAGCTAATTCGTTCAGGAAAAAGTCTTGTGGATAGGGATAACATCCGCCTGACAAATACTTGCGACCTGGCGATTTATGCCAACGACTTTAATCGTGAGGTCAATCTTGCAGTTAATAAGGAGAATTACAATCCATCGTCGCGCTCGAATCCGTTACCTACTATCCCACCAGCTAAAACGAAGAGCCTGGATGAAGAGAGGCCTAACTATGCATTTATGAGTGCATACAATCAAGACCATGCATATCATCAGGCACGTCTATCAGGAATTAGAGCATTGGAACTTGAGCGTGCCGAATTCGATGAGAAAACAGATGATGCAGCATCAATATCCTCCGTCTCAACTGACGCTTCGACTAAACCATTACTCAATCTACCTTTGCGTTCAAAGCCAGATAAAGTTACGGTGGCAAACAGGAAGGATGAATATTATCTTAATGCTCAGCCGGGACCTTCAACCGAGGCGAAAGAGAAGTCGAAGAATTCTACACCGAACGTCCTCAAGAACTTTTTGCAGCATCTGGGACATAAATCACTTGATGATTATAAAGCGCACAGAGCATTCTTACTCGCGGGTATCCCGCACCTAGATTTGGAAACTGGCTCCTCTCTTCTATCGAAAGATACCCCAAACTTTACTTTCGCCAATACATCCACGCCCTTCTCTGCCAACTCCAACCCTTATCAACTAAACGAACCCCCTCACAATTTCAAACTCTGTTGTTTCCTCGACGAACTCAAATCTTACACGGACCATATTTGTCAGTCCATACTCTCCAAATCAGACGGATCGGAAAACAACATGTTGACGGATACATTACTCTGTTTGACCGATAAGGAATGGCAGTATTTGCCGCTTTGGGCAGGGGGGAATGACGATGGCAGTGGCGGTGTTACAAGCGCGGATGTACCGCCCGCTTATTATGCTAATGTGGGAGGATTGACACCCGGAGTCATGTATAAAGGGGCTAGTGGATTTGTGGGGGTAGGAACAGGAATGGGAAGTGAGAGGAATAGTAGTTTGGATGTTAAGGATGGGAGTGCGAGGACTGAAACAGAAATGGGAGCTGGGAGTCAAGTGGGGAGTCAAACTGGTATAGTGGGTGATGATGATGGTGAAAGTGATACAGGAAGTGTCTTCTCGACAGGAAGTTATGATATGGCTACTATGACGCCCACGGGTAGCGGAAGTGATTTCGAAATTGTAAGCTCTGGAGAAGATGAAGGGTTAGAGAGTGGTGATGATTTTACGATTGATGGGGATAGTGTTAGTGTTAGTGAGAGGGAGATGTCGGATGGTGAATTTGATGCGGAGGATAAGGAGAATGAGAAGGGGAAGGGGAAAGAGATGAACGATGAGATGATGGATGAAGATGGGAGTGATGGGGAAGATGATATGGATTGGACGGATCAGGAAGATATGGTATTGGAAGATGATTTGGAAGATTCTTTTACTGATTTGTAGGGTAGAGAAGAGTAGGGTTGGTTAGGGTAGATTTGGAAATGATGGAATAATGAAATTATGATAGGATGAGATGGGAGAGGGGAAAAAGAAAAACAGGGAATTAGGTAGCAACGACACAACGAAATATGCGATATCATTTACCAGGGCAATGAAAACATAGTACTTCAAAAGCGATTTTGAACCTTGGGACAGAAATATATCTCGTGATTCATAAATTATAAAGGAATCGGAAATCAGATTGCAGGCATATGTTAACTAGCACTATAAAGACAGTTCCTATATAGTTATAAGAACTTCAAAGCGAGATGTCCCAACTTTAGACCACTCTGTGAAATAATGAGTATTCACACCTACCTCTCCCCTTGTTCTTTTCTTCATTCTTAATCTATCTAAACCCAACTCCAAATTTGATAGGAAAAAAAGACATCTGATATCATTATTAGACCTCGAGAATGCCGATATCTTTTTTATAAGACCTCGACTTCGAAATTGTAGTTATAATTGTAAGTGTCGCGGTAGTTGAAATGGATAGAGTGAGATATTGAGTTCTTGTTTGTTATATTTGGTTATATGGGTTTTGTTCATGTGTATATGTAGGATTGATGAGTTGATAGATTGATGATAGATCCGATTGGAGAGATGAGTAGCGAAGAAGCGGTGTCGGAAAAGGATTTTTGAGAAGAGGAAGAGAAAGAAGTACGGGGTGCGGGGAAGGGATGTTTTATTTTGGGGTTACAAAAATTCAGAGGTTGAGGATAGGATGAATTTTGTGGCTTTTAAAGTGATAAAGTGCAGTGCTTCGCATCTAGGGTCCAATCAACGGTGGCCAACCAGACGCAGCGATAGCAAAGTGCATGTCATGCGATGACATCCTCCAGTAATAAATAATGAGCTGATTTCCCACCTTCTCAACTCTTTAGGGTGATGAATTTTCTTCAACTCAAGATACCAAAAATTTGGCATATAATTCTTCTTGTTGAATAGGTACTTGCAGTTCTTCTGAGCGCAACGCGAACTTCATAGCGAGATGGTTCATCCCCAGCAAGTACAGGGAAAGCTCTACAATTTCCTATCAAAGTCAGAGCTCAAAAAAACAGATGTCGTCTTCGATACAAATGTCACAGACCTGGTACGCATACACATGGTTATCTGTCTTGGTACTGTGCCTACTAGGCCCGATTATGTGAAAGTGATGACTGTTCGTCTCGTCCTCAAGCTCTCCCTCATCTAGAAGACATAATCATCTAATTGTGAAACTCACAGATCACTACATCTCTCAAAGAAGGCCATGAATATCTTCCTATCGCTCCCGTTCGCAAGCGCCCCTACCCCATCCAAATCAAGCTTCGTAATAACCATGGCTGGGTCTGGGCTCGCGGCCAACAAACTCTTCTCATCACCACTCTTTCCGAACGCTCGTATCTCAAGATCGACGAATTCTACGAGGTCCCGTGCGTGCGCTCAGGGAAGTGATGGATGATTACGGTATCCCATTATCCATTCCGGCTAAGCATCATGGAGGCCTAGCCGAGCTTAAACTGCACATTAGTCGTCGTGATTCGGAACGCAATTATGAGAAATTATGCCGCGACGCGCACGATCAAGATGATCTGCTCGAAGCAATGGGAAATCTGAATTTGGATTCCAAAGTCGAGAAACTGGGCTGAGGATATCCATTCGTGTCAGACCTTTTGATTCCCTCTCCCTATCTACCGACATGGTTGCTAGATAGGTTTCATATCATAGGATACCATGGTGTATCCATAGATATGCATTCGTTCAATGAAATGAACAGATGACACAGCATCGGCTTCAAGGAGCTTGTTGGTGTGAGCAAGAGGCTGCTAGTTAATCTAGCATTGCTTGCTTGGATATGCAATTATTCTGAATGAATATTTATTGCATGCTCAAAGAAAAGGATCGGGTTTGAACACTTGAAATGAGGCATCGTGTGAGATGAATGAAAAGATGGATGGAATTGATTTACGAAAGGGTTGCATCCGTTTGATTGTTTTTGAGATTTTGGTTTCGTGCTTAACACATATACACTCTTTTGCGGATGTCCTTGAATGTGGGAGAAATACGGTTGCAGTCACTACATGTAATTTTCTTGATGTAGCAAATGTTTACAGCTATTCGAGAGAATTACTATCATTACTCATTTAATCATGAGAATTCACCCACTATGAAGTGTTCTGAAATCTAATAATCACTATCTATGTCTTACTTTGTATCCTTTCATCCCTTGCTCGCCGCATAATCCAACGGGAAATCTTGTGTAAACGTAAACAGTACGTACGCGTTCTATGGTTTACTTTACTCCCCTCTATATACACACGAATCAAGGAGTTGCGTGCTTAAGCTTGTTTTAAGAACTTCAGATACGTTTTTAGAGTAAGGATAAAGATGGCAGGGAGGATCAGGGCAAACGAGGAGTCTAGAAGTCTGGACGAGAGAAAAAAAGTGGCCTATTATAACAATTTCATTCAACTTTCATTCAATACACGCACAATAAACAAGTCAAAGCTGTATTTCCAATACTTCAAAATATTATCTATCAATACCCCCCCAAAAACAATTCACCATATCACACACTTCTGTCCTGCCTTTTCCCCTTCTTTACTTTCCCAGCCTCATCCCCAATCTCACTTGCTCTCCTCTTCTGGCCCCTAGCAGCCCTATTTCCACCCATCTTCTCCTGCTCTCCCTTCCCAAGTCCCCTCACTAGCAATTGCCCGGTATAAACCGGATCTGGATTTCTCGTGTTCCTACTCCCTCTTGATTTCACCGCCTCTCCCACTTTATGCATCTCTTGAATCGGACTTTCCTGTGCTATCTCCATATCTGGTATTTCTTCATCTTCACTTCCCACCACTGTTTCAACTTTATACGGTGGATCATATTCTACACTTTCCTTTCCATGAACCTTCTTCTTCGCATGCGCTTTGGATGTAAATCTAATGGTTATTGAAGGGGCGGGAGAGGGCGATGGAGCTGGATGATTTGAATCCATTTCTTGACGCAGTGCAACGTTGTGTTTAGGTTGTGGTTTGAGGGTCCTAGGGTTCTTTAATTCTTCATCTGAAGTTTCGGAATCGGAGTGTTGAGAATGATTGCGTGGATCTCGTGGGATCTTTGTGATAGGCTTCTTTTTTGGAGATTTCCTTTTGGTTTTCTTTGGTTTGGGTTCAGCTGTAGAAGGTGGAACTGCGGATTGTAGAAGTTCAATATCCTCCGTTTGTGTTTCCATGCTTGTGGATGTAGGTGTGTCAGTTTGCGTTTCCGCATTTTGATTATGCGTTATACTGTGCGATTCAACTTTTGCCTCAGCGTCTTCCAACTGTTTCTGTAAATTTTCAATCTCCCCAATACTTTCTCCAGCAACGACTTTCCATCTCATGATCTCGTCTTCGAGATCAGATAATCGTGTCGAAGTCTTGATTGATATATCAAGAAGCTCGGTGACCTTTCCTTCACTAGTTTTATGCATTTCGTGAAGTCTCTCGATTTCTTCGCGGAATTGTTCGTCTTCATCTTCTCTTAATAGGAGAAGTTCATGCAACCTCTCGATTTCTACTAGGTATTGTTCTTCTTCTTCATCTCTTGATGTCTTGAAAATTTCGGCCGTTTGTGTTTCACGAGCTTTGAGGAGATCCTCCAGTCTTTCAGCCTCAAATTGCTGGGTATCTTTTTCCAGTTGCAAATCCCGAATTCTCTCTTCGGCCTTCCTAAGTTGTTCTTCGAGTTGTGTCGTTTGCGTCTCGCTAGCTCGAAGAAAATGTTCTAATCCATCAGCTTCGGCTTTATTCTCATCCTTCTCTCGGAGCAAGTCTCGTATTCTTTCTCCGTTTCTACTCAATTGTTCTTCCAATTCTGCAATCTTCGCGTCCTTTGTACCTTCACTCTTCATATCCTCTTGTGTTGAATGCAGAAGCTTAGCGAGTGCCGCTTCCCTTTCTTCACTCTCCTTTAACATCTTCTCCAAACTCTCAACTGCCCAATCACGTTCTCCATCTTTCTCCTTCCACTCATTAATTTTAGTTTTCAATTCACCCCTTGCCTTTCTCAACAATTCCTTCAGATTGTTCCACGCCTCTTTTTGACTCAACGGTCCATTCACCAAATCCATACAATCCTCCAATCTCCTCGCCGCTATCTCCGCCTTCAACCCTCCTTTTCATCTTCCGCTTCACTCTCCGCAACGTCATATCTCTGACATATAAGCTCCACCAAATCATCCGTATCTTTAAGCTGAACCTTCAAATGTGCAATGACTTCGGGGTCAGTAGCATTCGGATCGAGGGGGGTCTCTGTCTTTTCAATCTCAAAGATTCAACTCTAGGGTGCGTATTTGATTTGTTAAAAGATAACCCAATATATTCATCCAATCTCTCTTTCGAATTTTTCGCCTTCTTCTCCGCAGCTTTGATATCAGATTGAGCTTTATGAAGCTGTTTTTCCAATATATCAATCTTCCACTGGAGCCTCGCAATCGTTTCTTCGTTCTCCAAATCAACATCTGTAATAGGAAGCTCAGGATCGCGATCTGGGTGTTGTTTCAGTGTGTATATTTTCTGCTCCAGGATTTCATTGTGTTGCAAGACGGTCGTTAAACATCCTACAGCGCTCTTGGTAAGACTATTCCTCTGTATCGTTTTATCCATTAGTTTTCGCTTCGTCTGGTGGAGTTCAATTAATGCTCGAGCCAATCTTGCGCTTATCGAATCATCGTGCACATCGCCGGCAAGGTCTTCGTATTCCATGTATTTCTCTTCCAGAAACCTTTCAAGAGACTTGGTCTTTTCTTTCTCGTCGCTCAATTCACGCTGGCATTCTCGGTACTTTTTGGTCATTTCCTTGCATTGTTCGTATTTTTCCTCGTTGGGATAGACGTTAACATCGAGTTTCTGGGATAATTGATCCATTAGTTCTTTGATGGATGTAAGATTTTCCTCCACGTGTGATTCCTCCATGGCCATATCTCTTTCCTTTATGCACCATCCAAGCTCAGCTCTGACTCTTGTTAGCTCCCTCTCCGCATTAAAATCGTCTGTGTTTTCAGCAGTACTGAATGCCAATTGTTCTCTCAATCCTAATGGACCATCAATTTCCTCTTCCAGTTCCGCTATTCGCTTCTTATGAAATTCTCGCTCCTTCCGCAATTCTGAGACTTCTTCGGCATCAACATCCGCACAGGTCTCTAGCATCTTCATCACTACTTTTTCCGCCTCTTCATACAATCTTTTGTAATCTTTCGTAGCATTTTCGTTTGCGTCATGATGAGCTTGTGTGAGTATAAAATCCTGAGTATCCCCCGTATCCTTCTCCTTCTCCTTGCCTCTCAGATCCGCCAATACCTGCAACTGTTTTTCGAGCTTCCGATTTTGTTTTCGTAGAATCTTACGTTCCTTGTCCATAACATCGAGCATTACCATTCCCTCTTTCCTCTTAGCCTCTTTACGTTCACGATATGCTTCGAAATGAACGGGTGTCAGACTGAGGATTGCGCGTGTTACGTGGGTCATGTCGTGATAGTGCTCAAGACGTAGATTTCTTCTCTCGAGTTCTTTGATGCGGTTGACGAGTCGCTGGTCGTATACATCTTTGTCTTTTCGATAGCTTTCCAACGATGTGTCGTTTTCATCTTTTTCGATACTTTCTTTTAGATTTTCCTCTTCTGTTTCACTATCTAGTTCTTCCTCTTCTTCCTCGAAATCACCTTCTTTCACTTCCACCTCCTTTTCCGAATCTTCATCTTCCACCGACTCGGTGGTAGAAGACTGTTGTCTCAAAGGAGAAGGAGCATGCAAGATTCGTCTACTGCCTTTGAAATTAGCACTACCTAGGCCGGCACTAGGACTAAATCTACCAGGCGGCCGCCCTGTGGGCCGCTCCGGTGTTCCTCTCAATGATTTATCTTCTTTCGGCGTAATCTCTTTTGGCGTAGTACCCATGAGATTCTCGGTCAAGATCTCCAATTGATCTCTGATGTCATTTCTTTCTGCCATCAACACATGAATTTGTTCTATGAGAGCCTGTACTCGTGCACTCACTTCTGGCGGCGTCTTTGACACTCTCGCTGACCTACTCCCGGCTTCTTCCTTTAAATGCTGTATATGAAGTTCTTTTCCCCTAATGACCTCCTTTGCTTCCTGAAGCTCCTCTGCAATCCTATTTCTCTGCTGCTCAAGAGAAGCATCATTTACTTCTCCTTTCTGACCTTGCCCCTCTTTCAATTTGTCCACTTCTGCTTTCATTTGCGTCGCCATCTCCCGTATTTTCACAACCTGCTCTCCCAGTTCTTGAGTCTTCCTCTCTGCCTCAAGTTTCTCCATCTTCAACACCTCTAACTGACCACCAATTTCTCTCGTCGCATATTTTTCCCCTTCATCAAAAGCGACATCCCTTTCATCTCTCACCTGTTTTATACGATCTAATCTTGTTTGCGATTCCTCTTTAGCTTCGAGAAGCATACGATTGAACGTTTCCAGTCTAATACGAAGCGATTCATTTTCCCGCTGACAGGCTTCAAGAGGATTTCTTGGAGATGCCGGATATGCTCTGGGGTAAAATCCGAGTGGTTGAAATTGTAATCCGACATTTTCATGAATAGCGGGTAGATTTGAATGATTTCTTACGAAATCTCATCTTTTCTCCAGAATAACTGAGCTTGAAAGTTTTCTGAATTTACCCAAGTAATAAGCTACGGTAATCAAAGAAATTCATTGACCAATTGTAGATGTTCAAATTAGGTAGGTGTGGGATTGTGAACAAAGTGGGATGACTCCTTTGTTCACTAGCGAATGTTGTAGCTGTTTCCAATTCAAGCACATTATGGTAACAAAGGCGTTAAATATGGGCTGAGACATAAAAATTAGTGAAAAAAACACAAAAAGAAGTTAAAATTCACCGAGAACTTGTACTGGCTGGAGTATTGTTAAAAATTTGGCAAGTATTATCTTCCAGATACCAAAAATCAAATAAGATAGACATTTCAATAAATTGATAACTATGTATGAAGAGAGATGAGACTAGTACAATATTTTACCCTAAAAATACAAAATGCTTTCCAGCAGAATGAATGCGTCGAGGCAGACACTCGTCCTTACAATCCGGTGACTATGGGCACGATTGACATTTAAGCTTTGTGAGCAGCCTTCTTGGCATTGCTTGAAAGCACCTGCTTGCTTACACCACTTGGACCATCAACTTTAGGAGCATCAAGAGGTCTGTTAAGTCCGACACGATCTTGAGTGTTGTAAGTAGCGATTCCACCGTCTTGGTCTGCCTCGGTAATAAGTTCCTTGCGACGTGTGTCAACGAGAAGACGGATGAGATCAGGTCTCATGTAATGACCACCGAAATCTCCGAGAGCCTTTGGGAGGTGCGATTGATCGAGATCGATCTGAAATTTCGTTAGTATAGATTTCTGATGGAGCAAATTCTGTTTATCTTACCTCGACGAACATCAAACCCTCAAACTCTTCGTCAGCCTTAGCAAGGCATTGTCCGTCGGGTCCGAAGATTCTGCTGTTGCCGTTGTAAAGGTTGTGATCTTCACGCTCAACTCCAGGTGGAGTGCACTTGTCGACACCTTCCTTGGAAATACGTTGGAATGGTGCGAGAACGTAAGTTGCAGTCTCAATAGCGTAGGCTGGAGAAACAATATCGGAGTTGGGGTTGCTAGTGTTGGTCCATGGGTCTAATGGGGTGCGAGTTTCCTCGTGTGGGTAGATTGGCCAGCCAGCAATGTGGACCTGATAATTGGTGAGAAACATTTCATCAAAATGCTTGTGGATGTGGTCTTACCTGCTCTCCCTCGGAAACGTTCATTGCCTTCAGGAATGGGTTCATGTTCTCCCAGCAGTTCAATTGTCCAACTCTTCCAATATCTGTCTGAACGACACTTTTGAAGGTATCTCCTGCTCCATCGCCGTAGACAAGCTTCTCAACGTGAGTAGGCTTGATCTTTCTGCGGTGGTTGAGAACTTCTCCGGTTGGGGAAATCAGAACCTGAGAAATGTACAGAGTTGCGAAATCGATTTCACTGTATCCCAATGAAACGTAGATGGCATTTTCGCGGGCAGCTTCACGAATTCTGCGCATCTCATCTGAGTCAGATGCAAGACTGTTCTCGCGGTATGCTTTAAGCATAGGGAGAGATTGTTGGTAGTTGACCTTCCATGCCCAGTATGGGTAACCAGGAATCCCTGTGGGTGCGTAAGTAGATTGTAAAGAACGAGACCAGAGCTAGATTTACTTACAAACTTCAGGGAATGCAACAAGTTTGCAGCCTGCTTTTCCAGCTTCGTTGATCCAGTGAATGGTCTTTTTGACAGACAATTCGAGATCGAACCATCCAGGCTCAGCTTGGACAGCTGCGGCCTTGTACTTCTTGATTTGAGCAGGCATTTTGGTGTCTGATATGATAACTGTTGGTTCTTATTTGTTGGTTGCTGTTTGCTATTGCAGAATGATGAGAAGATTGTGTGATGGAGAAGATAATACTTGGATGAATTCGAGCTCTTATACAACTCAGAAGTTACCCCCAACACAGGGAAACTGTGGTTTTGATCTCATGCATTTCGATCATCATACGATTGAGTTCAAATCCCGCCCCAAAATATGTGACAGCAATACCCAGGAGGGATGAGGGGTGGAAACATGACGACGTCGTATGCAGGATGCCTTGCAAATTTACGATTATACTGTAAAGCATAGAAATTTAATAACGACACACAAAGAAGTTTTTTTGATAAAAGCTGCTTCATGCAGCATCTCCAATTTGGAAGATTAGCCGTTTGAACCCGTTTTTGATTGTGTATCGGTGGATGCTCGGAATGTAGTAATCGCTTCAAACATGCTCCCCGTATTTCTGGATCTGCCGTGAAGATCACGAAACGGTTCGTTCCGAGATAAGGAAACAGATATTCACGACCATAAGACAAGACTTACTGAAAGCAATGCCAAACCATTTAAGAAACCTGATCAAGTTGTGAATGTACATGTAAATATCCAGATTGTTGAAGCAATTGCCTCAAATCCCAACACTAGCTGGCGTTACAACAAGTGTTTGTTCACCACGGTAAAATGTCAAAAACAGCTCCGCGTGGTAGAATGGAGCACATTATAGATCACCTAGGTATAGCCTGCAAGCTGATGACTATGATGCAACGCGATGTTGCAGCACATCTAGAATTTCAAATCCCGAAATGATTACCCTATGCAAACGCAGCAATCATACGATCGGATCGCAATTGACCCGGAACGAGCAATAATCAAAACCCGCCAAGTACATGAACTCCGGTAGAGACAAACTTACAATGATACCTGGGAAGAGGTTCTTCCTGTTGCAGTGTTTCTGCTGTAGTTTACGCAGGTGTTGAAGACTGAAGTATGATTATATAATCAACAAATGTTTTCAATAATGCCGAGGACCACCCGAGATCACGAGCAAATATCGGATAGCATCGGGAACCGACCTCAGGGCAGACACCTAATAATCGTAATTGTTTCGCGGAATTGGTTAACGACCTGTGATTGCGACAATACATTACGAAGAAAAATCACAAGAAATCAAGGCGATAGAGCACAAGTAGGAAAAATGTAAATACGACACAATATTTGACCTCACATCTTGGAACAATAAGATTGTTTTCAAAGAAACATCGATTCGTTTTGATTAATTATCTCATAGTTATCGTGTCTATGTACAGTGTGGAGCTAAGAAATACAGTTGGGGATATTAAGTGAAGTGTACAGGATGCATCTATTTCATGAAACCAGCCTTTCCATCACCATCGGCATCAACCTTTGGGTTGAGCTTGTCCATCAAGCTAGGCTTCTTATGGGACTCGGTGGAAGAGTGAGAAGTAGTGTGGTGAGCATTGCCAGCAGTAGTAGAGGCGATACCAGTACCAGTGTGAGAGTGAGAACCATTGAGTGCACCGTTGTGTGTACCAGTGTGAGCGCCAGTGTGATGTCCGTGGATACCTTCTCCCTCAGTCAAAGAGGTAGTGCCTCTGGCACCATCGCCTCCAAGAGTGCCACCAACAGACTTTGGCTCACCCTTGAAAGCATCAGTGCGCTCCTCGCGTCCTCCTAAGGAACCTCCTTGAGATCTGAACTCGTTCATGCTGACAGCTGGGAGAGCGGTGGCAGTGTGGTGCTTAGCCTCGTTTTGATGAACCTCGTGGACTGGGATGGTGGTGTGGACAACGGATGGTTGAACAGTCTCCTTTTCGATGACTGGTTGAATGGTCTCGTGGACGTGGTGATGGACATGTTCACCAGCAACGGTGGCGCCCTTGGCTGCGGTGTGTTGAGTCTCTCCGACAGTTCTGGTGTTCTTGAATTGGGCTTGTTCAGCAGCGAGACGTTCCTGAATCTGATTGTCATCTCCGTGCTTGATGTTGCGGTGCTCAACAGCTCCGAGTTGATGGGAGTGTTGCTCTGGAAGGACTTCACGGTCTTGGATAGGCTGAACTGAAGTGTGGTGGTGATCTTGGTGAACCTCACGGTCAATAGCAGTCGTTGCTTCTTCGTGGCGGGTCTTGGTTACATGCTCATTCTGAACGGCTGGGTTGATAGTCTGCGATGAATCGTTAGCACATTCTGAGATGCAGACTGAAGGTCAAGAACTCGTACCTCGTGAACAGTGGTATCATGCTTTCCATCCTTGGAGAGGAATTCACTGACAGCTGACTTGGCACGATCCATTTTGATTTGATAGTGTATATGAAGGTGATTGGGTGTTTGTTGGATATAGTTGATTGAATTAGAAGATTGTTGATTGTTAATTGTTGATTGTTTGTGTTGGAAAATGAAAACGAGATGGGAGGACAGTCTATCACTTATAGTCCCGAGAGCATCGAGATGATAGCTCCTCCCCGCACCCTAGCACTGTCTACATCATCATACTAGGTACAATAAGTTGTGGTTTCCAGATTCGGATAGCTATGTCTTGCAAATACCTGATTTTTTGAGATTCGGAGGATCCGTCACCAAGTGGCTGTGCATCGATGCTGAGAATAAACCAGCGGAGGTTCGTATGAAATTGCCTGGTCCGTACACGATAGACAGATGGTAGGAAGATGTGCCGGGAGGTCAATTGGCGCTACTTACGCACTTCGTCTCCACTTTTAAATCATATTGTATCAACTTTCCAGATGTTCTTTTGGTAATTGGGTACCAGCCTTGTCCGATAAATGTCAAAAACCCACGCTGGCATCTCAAGTATAGTATTGGCAGTTTTGTAAAAGTGGGTTTCGGTTGCTGCGCGAGTAAAAGCGGAAGGAACTATGATTTCCATTTCCAAAACAGCTGAAGTGAGAGATGGTTCGTGAGAGCGTAATGTAATCATTACCCATACTAGAAACTTTATTTGAGTTACGAGTTCTAAGAAGAAAGTCTAACTACTAGTTGTTTGTGCTGTGGCTTCTCGATGCCATGAAAGTGGCAAGATGACCAAGATTTTGATTTTTTGAGCAGCAACAGAGCCAATCATCTATATTGAGAGCTGTTGAGTAGTGCATTGTAGCCGACAGTCAAAGACTCGTACCAATCTTCTCATTGTCGAGTTCTGCAGAAATGTCAATTATTGAATGTCATTGATGGTTGTTGATTTCGCCATGATCGATTTGATGGGAAACTTAAAGTTGCATCATTGTGCCCCGCATCGGATTAAGCCGCAACACGGGAAAGGGGAATCCGCTTTACAAGATTACTAAACAACGTAGCCAGTCATATGTTCTTTTCGATTCCAAGTGGCTAGGTGAGATGAGCTCCTCTTCCTTGCTTCCTTGTCAACATTCCAATACATTTTCAAATATCGATGATTTGCATTACACGTGGATTTCTGCCGCAATGAACCTGGATTATGATCGAATAACGTACATGTCACATACAACAATGTAACGAAAAACAGGGAAGTCGAAGCTTTTTACACCGGAAGTACATAAGTGACCTATTAGCCAGAATTCCCATATGTGAGTGGACGGAGATCTAGTGCACTAAATGATCTAGCTTTTGGGTCAAGGGGTCCATGCCACGTCGCTGCAATGAATCAATGATCTCTATTCCAAAGTTCTGATGGGTTTAACTTCTAATGGAGTAGTAGAATAGAATCAAGCAACATATTTCCCTTGCCGGTACATTAAAATCTTGGAGATCGAGTAAACCTACAGTCGGTAACGAATTCAATGCGGGTCGAAATGGAAGTTCGCCGACATGTCATTCTATCCCTGCTGCGTTTGCCAATGTACTTTCGAGCTTTCGTCTGTGAAATTGGTTTTATGTTGATGTTGTCGTTGTCGTTTGTATTGTGCTTTGTTACCAATACGAATACCAAGTAAAGGGGTTGGGCAAAAGAGATCGTCACAAGCATTTCGAAGATCCCCCACCAGTAAAGCTATCTCCGAGCACCGATTGTTTATTTGAGACATCCTGACCTATCAATGGCTTCCAGAATAAAAGATTGGATCTTGAAAAGGTTACCATCGACAAACGATGCTCAAAATTTAAGAGGAAATCAATGTCAAAAAGCAAAAATTTCAGATTCACCTGTTATCGATACTAAATTTAGACACCAGTTGTCAATTGATGATGTACCAAAATCTTCCAAAGCATACGATAGCGACGATAGCCGTGAAGAAACGAGTAGAAGCGGTGGAAAGACTTGTACCCAATGTGAATCAGCAGAAGCTCCCATAGTTCTAGAGCGTCGACAAGACACTACCAAAGCCAAGGAACATGATGAGAAATGCAAAATGGCTACAGCCGATGGTGATATACAGGACTGGGGAAGAGAATTCTCTTCAAGTATGATATCTGGATTTGTGCGGAGGTCTCCTCCTTTTTTGCAACGAAAAATATCTAATGTTTTGCGGTCGCTGCCTCGCCCTATCTCTATAGAGTGTCCCGATTCAATACACACATTGCCGAAGCTACCCAACTCGGCCCATTCCCTCCAAGCGTACGAATCTTTACCAATGCCTGTACAGTCTGTGCAAAATCATAAACGGCACTCATCTCGTTCCCCTACTTCATACATCGATGTCTTAGATGCGCATGACAGTTTGAAAGGTGGACGAGGGAATTCCAGGAATCGAGCGATGGCTGCTGGAGTAAGAATTTATGGGGAAAATGTAGCGAATCGAACTTTGGCCATGGAGAATTCTCAAGCAGATCCTAGCAATCCCCAGTTTAGCTATTTGAGATTGGGATGCTATGGTGTGGCTGAGACTGAAGGGTCTAAACATTCTAGACCTAGGCTTCCGGAGTTTATTCCTAAAAATGACGACACAAAGACATCACAACAAGATCCATCCTACATCCAAAGTGTATCAGAATCGCTTTTTTCCCTTACCGGATCTCCACCAGAGACGATATTGGGTTCTACAGAATACGCTTATTCCACTAGCACCTGACATAGTAAAGATGGCACAGCTCCTGATAGTTATGCAAGTAACTTCGATCGTCATCAAGGGGATCTAGAAACATTACCATACATTTTCGAAGCAACACATTGCACTTCATCAATTCGAGAGGCTCGTCGTCGAGCATTTGTTTTTACACAATCGCATCCAATCCATTCAGTATCACGTCGTGAAGCATCAAATATTATTAATTCGTCAAGTAGCACTTTTCCAATGAAGGAGACACTACGAGCCAATTCGGTGCGGGATCGAGACACTTCCCATTCAACCTCTACTACCACTTCGGCGAGGCACAACCACGATTTGTCTTCAGAAAATGGCGTTTCTGGTACTGTCTCTGACAGAACTCCTCGATCAATGCCATTGCCATCAAAGTATACTCCTTTTCCTACAGACAAAAATGTAGAAACTAAAGGCAATGGAGACGACATGCACGTTAACGGTACCAAATTCCCCATTGCAGATGGACAGAAGCATACGTCTACGTCCTCATCAATGCCTGATCATTTTGGGATGAATGGCTCATACCTTATTGGAGAACGGGCGGAGCCCATAGGCCTTGAAGGTGTAGTAGATCTTAACAATACTGTGGATACTACTGTACACGAAAAGGTTGCACCTGGTACATACAATCCCTCCCTTGCTCGTCGCCATTCAAAGTCAGACCAATTATCACCTTTGAAACTCAATCTCTTACTACCAGATTCACCTGCTTCACCATCTTTTGTCCGCCCAGAAAATTGGCCATTTGTATCTGCAGGGTATACAGTAGATAGGAGCAGAAGCTGATTCATTTTTCTCATTAGCTGTTGTTCATGAACATATCTTGCCGACTTCACACGAAATTATAACGAAAGAAATTCATCGAGAAATCCATCAACATCATTGGTATCATCGAGTTCTTCCAGTTATCGATACCGAGGTCTTACCAGCCAAGCATTACGTTTATGGCGATGATGGAGATACGCTGGTTAGAATACCTGAATCGATGGTACGAGGCCATACCATTACAGGAACCTATAGTCGAAACTGGTCAATTGTACATCAACCCCCACAAGCTCCAGCTGAAGATCCCTTCAACTCACCACTGTTTGGAGTCGAACCAGAATTACCAAACACAAAATACACAACACACTTTCAACCAGACTCGAAAGGCGGGCTTCAATGGTCTCATGTACCCGGTGAGCCCGTTAAAGTCATGGAACGAGAGTATATCACTGCAGAAGGTTTCCCCCGCAAGGAAACTTGGTGGAGGTATCCACCTGTTATGGCGACTGCCGCTCAGGAGGCCGGTCTAACAGTACCAATGCATTGGAATCATGTACCAGCTGGTAAAGAACAAACCGTTACACAAGCACCAGTATCGACTCCCAAAAAGGAGAAGAAGATTAAGGAACTTCGTGATTTGGAACATGCGCAAGTAGCTGAATACAACAGCATCGATCACATCGATTCCAATATGCAAAAGGTTCGCGAGCAAAAACTTTATGATGGTCTTTCAGACTCGGATTCTAAACATGCCCGAGAGCTCAACGGTATGCAATCACGTTTAGTCCCAAGAAAACCAGTTGCAAATCAACAAACATATGAAAGACCACCAACTAGAGATTCAGGATATGGTGGTTTGGATGGTTCTCCTTCATCTGCTGGAAGAGGACCATCGCATTATAGAGATACCTCAGGCTCGAGTGTATCAAGTCTACTAGGTAGAGTACGAGGCGAGGACGGAATAAAGTCCACCCCTGTAGATGGAGAAGCTACCAAATACTTACAGAGAATGAGAGAAAAGAGACGAAGTTCAGGTGCTTCTTCAGGCACTACCTCTAGGTCTTGGGGTAGAAGAAGTGAGGATTTTCAAAGAGGTCCAAATTTTACCTTGCCCGAGAGACCAAAAAAGCCTGAACATCATTTTGGTGCTCCAACGGCATTGTAACAAATAGTATGGATTGGTACAAAAGAATGTTTGGGTTTGGGCTGTAGAATCATGGAGAGACGCGTTTATTTCACATTTGTACATTAATTATCACAGAAATCCTGTGTGATAGCAAAATAGAAAGTTATGTAATTATTAGGAGTTGCGCGTTCACTAGTGAAATATTTTCTTCATCGTCGATTTCTTTATCTTAATCCAGAAAATCATCAGCAACAATAACCAATCCTCACGATACACATTCCAGCAGTTGAATTTCAGCTGAGAACTAATATGTACCAGGTACCTACACACACTCCATTTTTACCCTTTGGTCGCCGGTCGCTAAACAAACAAATGAACAAAACCCCCGCAGATCGCCACTAGGTCATGATCGACGCATCTAGACTGGAACTAGATGGTACTAGACTCGGAGCTAAAACTAGCGTATTAGCCACATCTATGCGGATTGGGCTTAGGGTTCTAGGCTCAATCGATGGGTCTATGACTTCATTGTACTTAAGAGGCAGGCGAAATAGAGAGACGGGAAAGAGGAACGAGGTGGAAAAGGGAAGGTTCATGTAGAAGTGACAGGGAAGATCCGCTAGGAGATTGTTACGACTTAGAGACTCGTATTTGCTTGTGTGTGCGTGGTTGTTTGGGTGGACTTTGGTGTGAGTGGAAATGGGAATGGGAATGCGAATTGAGTTTGAGTTTGAGGTCTATTTTATACACGAGGTTCTCTGGGTTGGAAGAGCCTCGTATATTAACATTGATGTGTCTGCGGGGAAGAGAAAGAGAGGTCCGAATTGATTTCTCTTAAAAAGCTTTTATATTTCAATTATTGCTTTCAATATTTACATAAAAGGTGCTTTGATAATATTACGAGCTCTAAAACAATTGAAAGGTAAATTCTCGTTTTATTATTGTGAATTTTATGGTTTTAGCTGAGGGTGATTTATGAATGATTCTAGGTGGTTGATGAGATGTTGAGATTCACTTTCGGTTTCTTATTTCATCTCCATAGAGAGTGAGAGGTTCCTACCTAAATCGGTTCGAGGTTGCGGTGAGATGAAGCTTGGATTGGGTTGATGGGACGGGATGGAATGGGAATTTGAGATGAGTTTGAGGGTCGTGCATTTGGGTTTTTGTATGCGAAGAGTCAAGTTTGAAGGAAAGTAGGTTTGCAGTTGATGGATGTACTGCTCTGGGAAAGGTAGGTGGTTAGGTGACGAGAATATGACGGGGAGCTCTTCGTAGTTTACTTGAGGGGTTTAGAGCTCTTGTGGAAATGTGAATCGCGATAGGAAGCTTGGGGAGAAGAGAGAACCCTTGCGCACGTGGGTATCACGTGAGAACGTTTCAATCACCTGATTTTCCGAAACAGAACAGATATCCAAGGAGACTTGTTGCTAATCTTACCCAAGGGTTCGTTACGACATGGTAATTCGGCTTTTTTTGTGAATGGATTTTAACCGGTGCACAAGCAGAAGGTAAGTTGCCCTTCGGTGTCTGCTAATTCTCTCTTGCTGTTAGCTGCGATGAGACCTGCTGTGAAGCCGTTAGAGTTCAAGGGTCATTTTTTCCATGTCTCAAATCAGCAAACTGATGATTAAAATGCGATCATCCATGAATAAAATGGTTGCAGCGGATGAGAGCGAAATTTCGATGAGTACAAAAGTGTAGAGATCAAGCGGAAACACAGCCAGAAAGAAGCGAGTCTGCCACAGTTAATTGGATATTGGCTATATATAACCAATAAGGAGGATTGAATGAGTCTCATGAAGGAACGATTGACAAGAATGCTTAGAAATCCTACTTACGATATGTCCTCGAGGTTTCCGACTCGGAGACAAACACTTTCTCGCTTAGTTTCGTACGTTGATTTGTATTTACCCACCAGTTCGATGATTATTCCTTTCGCTTTTGATTCTACATTGGATGATTGATCTTATTTCATCCAAGAATTTCTTGCCAGTTGTTTTACTATCCGAGGAGAGTTGACTATCATGTTAAAATACAATTTACCCCAACTCTTGTAGAGAATCACATCAACTGATCTCAGCCAAATATTCGCAATATCTCGTCAAAGTTCAATTAGACGTGATGCCGTATTTCACAAATTGTATCAACAGACAATTGACTATCGTTAAATTGGGACATACCGGGACACCAGATGGGAGTTTTTATATACCCGAGCTCAAAACAAATAGGGTGTTCTTAACTCAACACACCATACAACAGTAAAGCGGAGTCTGAAGTAAAAGTTAGATGAAAGTGAAGTAGGATTTAGAGGTCTTTGGGTTTTAACTGACCTGGAGATTATTCAATTTGATATTGTTGAGAAGAAGCCGAGTATTACATGAACATCCTCCAATTATACACATGCTACTACTCGAGTTCGACGGCACATTTAACTAGCTATTCGGGCTAAAATTCGAGATTGACAGACTATTGCCTGGCACCAAAGGTTCAGATATCGATATCTACCTTCTATAAAACCCGGCAAGGCCGATACGTGAAAAACACAAAGTGAAGATTTGTAGTTCAACGACATCCCAAGACTTCAGCCTTCGGAATACAAATCTGAAAATGAAAGAAACAAGAGACTATATACGAAGAAGGCTCTCATGAAAGGGAAACTTTTACCCAGCAGAATACTCTCATGATGAAGTAAACATTGGATAATCTGAAGTGATTTCAATGGATGTACTTAGTACTATCACATGAGAACATTCGCTCCACAATGGAGAATAGCATGACCACTGTACATTGAGTTATGTCTTTGATCTCGCTTTCCTGTATTGAACTTTATCAATTTTCTTTGATGTAAAAATACGGATACGTAGAATGCTTTGCCGAAGCTGTTGCTATTCTTAAAGAAATTTGCTACCTCAAGCTTGATCTGTGTGGTGTTAGCCCTCTTTATCCTATCATTTTCATGCTTCGTTAACACTCTTTCTTTTCTTCTCAATCTTTCTTTCGTTTGCTTCTCTCTTGTAAGCTTTGATAACCTTACCCATTCGTGTTGCGATGGGCTAGTTCTTTCCTTTCAACGCCTATCGCGCAAGCTTTAGTAATCTCACCATCATGATTTCCTTCATTCATGACAATCTAAGCCAGCAGCAATGCTGATGAATTTTCTGACTCACTTTCTGGAGCTTGGATATCTCTTCATGAACGAAGTCATGTCATTTTCACAGAGTGAATGTTGCATTGAGTCAACATGGCACAATATCATCATTCTCATTATTCACCACTGAAAGAAACTGCCAATCTACTGTTTTCCACAATGGTCTCCTACATGCATGCTTGCTTCTTTGATTCTGCTAGCGCTATCTCCTACAAAATACTATCGATCTCATCATCATTACTAGCCATCAATGATCTATCTGTATCATTGAAGCGAGCAGTTCCCATACCTAATCGCCATCATGACATCCAGATTCGTACCAATGTCAGCAGACGAGAAGGAGCTTTTGAAAGTGATCGTCAGAACTTCCCGTACTCCCAAAATTGTTATGAAAATGCTCAACGCTGACGCTTCCGTGAAACTTGATCAGCATCATGAATGGACGGAAAAAGACATCAGACCCTACGTCCTCAGATGGTGGAAGGCTAGTGATGCCAAAGCCAATGGTCAAGTGATGGATAGCACCGATGATGACGCTGTATTTCTTGCAATGGCATGAGAAGGGGCTCGCTAGCGAGGCATGGAAACAAGCACATAAAGGTGTCTTCGGTATTGCCAGGCAATAGATCATAGTAAGTATTTTAGTTTTCCTGCAATCTTTTATCGTCATACTAACTTAAAGCTCTATAAGAGAATATGACGACCATTTTTGGTTTAAATTAAGATGAGACGATCAATTACGCTGGTAGGTGTTTAAACTTCATGGATGACTGTATATATGTCTAATTAACACTAATTAGCAGTAGTGGGCCATGTTTGAGGCAAAATAATGTATCTGTGGGCTTTTCTACGTACTGGATAACACCATCCTAGAGAATTGAGAGAATTGAAAAGATAAGACAGTACTGATATTGAGAGTTTCCTGCGATTTAGATGTCTCTTTTTGAAATACTTTCCATATCTGAAATTTATATCATTTTGAACTGCAAATAGCCTATCTACTTATAGCCGAATATACGCGATTCTCATACCCCTCAAGCACACAAATATAGAAACAAGAGCCTTCATGTCCAAGAATCCAAATTCTACAGATCTAAAAGTAAAATATCTCATATATGTGGGACATTCCCCATAATATTGACATTTGGAGTCTGATATACTCCAATTGGTACGTGGCGTAGTGATATGGAAGATTCAATCATCAGATACATTCTTGCCCCAACATATGCTGATATTCCAAGATATAGGAGAATCAGTCTAACAAGATGTGAGCAGAAAAGAGTGCCGTTAATCAGGAATCGAACAATCCCTTTGCACCTATCACCATAGTATGTTTTGAAAATGTCCCACTTGTCGAGCGGGGTCTGCATCTCTTTCAAATATGCTGCAGCTGAATCGAGCCTTCTCACATCTTTAGACGTCAAGGAAACGGTAACGGATCTACCATCATATTTCTTCTTATAGTCCATATTGGCAGATCGATGGTCCAGTCCCGGTCCAAAGCCAGATGTAAGTGATTGGCCCGTTGTCAATGTGCAGACCTCTTGCGCGTCGTTACTTGGTACATACACCAGAGGCTTTTCCTCTGCAATGCAAGCCTTTGAACGATCGTTGAGTGGCTCTTTCGATCGATCCACATGCATTATAGTTTTAATCGCGCCCGTGGTCCCGACTTCAGAATCTGGCCCAACCATTACAGGCGTTGATGTGAAGCTGTTAACCATTTCTTGATGTACTAAAGGGCGCTCTGAAGGCGCTTGGATGTCTTGGAACATGACAAAGGTCGGTTCATCGTACTCAATCTTAGGGTCCGGTGTGTCATTGAAAATCTTGAAGCCGTTATGGGAAGCCGACACTGGATCTGTTATCCAATTCTTTGGGGGATGCAGACCAAGCGAGCGATCTCCCCTCTCCGATCCCAGCATTATCATATATGCTAAGTACTTTTCATCTTTATCACGAAAATCTAGCATCGTTGGCACTCCAACGTCCAAGGGCTTATTGCCCCACATCGTGTATAGTGCCAATGCACACACGACATGAACGACTGTGTGTACTTCAAGCATGGTGGTCGGGTACCCAGTTATCTTTCTTTCAATTGCTTGGCCAATACTCCAGATACCTTGTAGGCATACCACGGCCTTTCCAACGCTATCTTGTTTGCTCTTATCATCAATTTCCTCTTTTTAACATGAGGAGTCCGGCCAATGCTCGAGGGGAAGAGTATACCCTCTGTGGTGAATGTTACCCTTTTGATAACATTGTGAAGGTGGCTAACGTCTGCGGCAAATCCACCCATCATAGCGTAGTGAGCGTATGTCATTTTTAGATCAGATCTCCGAGGATCTTGCGACTTATTCTCAGCCTGCATAAAAATGTTAGCTTCGTCAAACCATATTTCGTATGACAGATATATCTACATTTATCTTTTCCTGGATAAGTAGCTTTTTGAGAAATTTGTGACAGAGATATGATTGTTCAAACACCACGTAAGCCACAATCTCCGGTGCGAAAAGCGCAATCAAAATCCACTTTACTTTTCTCCCATATCCAACGATTTTACCCTCGCCTTCGGGGGGTATGTTCAAATGGATAGCGGTGTAGACGCATGCTAGTAAAGTACAAAGACAACTGTAAAGCAGGTCCCAGGTTCCTCGGCCATTAGGGTCAGAAACCCAGCCAGCCGCAATGTCCGTTTTCAAGGCTATGATATTAACATCATTCGAATCGGCACTGACGATAGGATGGGCCTTTAGTACAATAAATTTTGTGGCGATTATATATAAAAAGTACGCCATCTCATGAAATTCCAATGAAAAATTGTGAAGAACACTACAAATTTGCATTCGAAAGAAAGAAAATTTACCATGACTGCGAGGGACAACCTTTTGACCTTTTGAAAAGTGTGTGACATTCTCTATTCTACTAAGCGATTGGAGCTACAACTACACTCGCAGCACTGCAACATGGCATCCTGCAGATGTACTACCATCAAATGATGGTGTGAGAGGTTCAAAGCATCCGCCATCGTAAACCCTGTTAGCACAGCCTCTGCAGTGTCCAGATTCATCACCACCAACAGCAAATGATATACGCCTGTGCAATATTGGAATAGGCAAGAAGATGGTAATAACATTTCCGCAGTTGCGATATAAATGACGGAATGCGTGATAAGGCTGAGAAGTAAATTTTCTGTATTATCTGGCATAGGATCTATGCTCGGTTCTTTCACTTAGCTGCGGCGGTAGCGATGCATACTTGTGAGTTTTTGCAGGCACCCATGTAACAAGGCCCAAGATCTCCGTTCTCTATAATATAATACATTAGATTCGATTATGTTTCTGGGCCAGCCCGTGCGCTTGTACTCGTGATCGAAAGCATACATTGCTAGAATTCCAGGCGAAGATAGTGTTAGTATTGAAGAGCTCATAATCTATTCGATATGTGAAAGACAAGAACCCTCAAACCACATTACTTACATAGTAGCGACCTAACGAGAATAAATAGATAGCTGAATGAACATCGTTATATTATCTCAATCCAAGTAATGAAAGAATAGTAAACTGAAGCATTCAGAGGCGAGTCTCCCGGGGTTGAATTTGCCCTGTATACCTAGGTAGGATAGATGTCGCCCAAATATCCACGTCCAGAAAGACGGATGGCTTTCCAACAGTTGTACACCAGTAGGGTCAAATCAATCCTGCATTCGGCGCCGATATTAACTTCTGATTGTGAAAACACCAGACACTATATCTTGATAATCCATATTCCTCTTGGGCAATTAGCTATCTAGGGATTTGGTTGTTTGGATCTTTTGGTACATCGAGCTCATGCCTGATGAAAGTTCGTTAAAATAGCAAGTTGTTCGACGCACAGTACACTTTAGTGGTCTTTTATCAAATTCGATCCAAGCGATAAGGTCAGATAGCATAGAATAGTTACCCATTTCATTTCATATTGGACAAACTTGTCTAGATAGAGCTGTAACTTCCATATCATAATACTATCTGGTGATTGTTGATGGGGAGCAGCGACTGTTCGAAAAGATGATTAGACAGTGATGAACTCTAATCGAATCTTGCCAAATCGAGAATACCAACTTGGTACGAGATCAGAATTATTTGCCCAATCTCATACCAAAAGAGATTGATTGTTTATACTTAATGTTCTCAATTTGGATTTCTGAGGGAAAGATGAGAGAAGTAGATGATTATCATAAAGATTGAGGCTTTATGGGACTTCCATCAGCTCTCAATCAGATGGAAAACATGATGGGAATTTGTAGAATAGAATCAATAATTGTCATGTTATCTTGTTTCAAGCCATTTTGCTAACATCCCCGAATTCAATATACCCGTCAAGTAAAGCGATTCATCAAGTATAATCTCGCTCTGTGAAGTTACTCACGGGCAACCTGTTCTGGTGAAGTCTGAGGACTTGATGAGCCGGATTTTTAAAAGGAAAGCTCCATAGTCATGTTGGGGACGTAGAAACCTCGTCATTCAATAACTTGCCTGGCATTAGTCTGCAGCTCAAAGATTGTTTTCTTGTTTCGATGTGCACATCGTCAAAAGAAAGCAGAAATTCGTTGTGGATCCAGCTTCACGATAATAACTTATGGCCTAAGGAAAGCTGCAGCACAGATTGATTCTTGAACAGCTCTCAATTGTGCTATCGTAAGCTCTTCCAAATGGCGTTGGAAACATAGTTGTTCTTTTCTTTCAAAAAGATAACGTTCAAGCTCAGGGAAGTATGCACAGTCTTGTTCGACCTTGAGACTGCACTTGCAGCTGCTGAAGGGTCATCGCCCTGCTAGTGAATCAGAGATGACAGATCTCTATTTGGCTAGGTGTGGCTGACTGACAATAAGTGATACATCTTATTTTCTTGGATGGAATATCGACTCAAGAATAAAGTCTTGCCGATGAGCAGATCCAAGGAATCTCAAGATAATTATTGTCTACCCCTTTCAAATTCTGTAACGAATTTAATAAAGATGATGCTTGACATCATAATGCACTAACACCAAAGTAAATTCAACTGACCCCTCGGGGCCGAGAGACCCTGTAAGGCTTAAAGAAATAGTCTCCACCTCGCTAAATGCCATCCGATATCGTTACATATTGATAATCTGATTATCTCTCCGTCAAAGCTGAGCTGTCCCTCTTTCTTTCCTTTCCTTCCAACATACATTTTTCCAGTTCAAAATGTCGTTCTTTAGTCCCCGTCGTGTTGCTCTTTTGCTTTCAATTGCAATTGTATGCGTATATGCTCAAGGCCATGCTACATCTGTTGCGAGCATGAGCTTGCCTGAAATAGAGGAACAGCTCCAAGTAAGTTCTCACGATAATCTTCCTGAGCCCCATCTAACCAACTTTACTCGATAGCAATGTCCTCTTGTGCAAGATCTCAATGCATATAAACAAGTCACATCCCCAATCACTTCGACTCTTACTTCCCGCATATTCGCAGTCCTCTTCCCTTCTACCCCTGCTGTCAATGCACTTCTGGCAACCCTTTACATCTCTGGGCCCCCCAATTTCCTCCTCGCATTATGTCCACCAAATATCGATCCTTCTTCTCTCTCCGTAATGGTAGCATTTGCAGTTGGTGGTCTTTTGGGTGATACATTATTCCATCTTCTTCCCGAGATCTTCCTTGGCGAGGATGCCCATGAAAATGTGCGCTTCGTGTTGGTTGAACCAAACCGTAATTTATTGTTGGGAGTTGCAATTATGGTTGGATTTGTTACATTTGTTGCTATGGATAAGGGATTAAGAATTGCTACTGGTGGGCAAGGCCATGAGCACTCGCACAGTCATGGCCATGAGAACGAGAAGGAACCTTCTGCTATTTCAAGCAATTTGGACGATACGCCTGCCAGAAGTACTAGATCAAGAAAGAAGGACAGCGGAAAGTCAATCGTTGAAGTTGAGAAGACTGAAAAGGAGATCAACTCTAGTGTGAAGCTTGCTGGATATCTTAATCTCATGTACGTTTCTTCGCAGAAGAAAACAAGGAGGCCACTGCTAATTATATGACAGCGCTGACTTCACACACAACATTACCGACGGTCTTGCTATGTCCTCTTCCTTCTATGCATCTCCAACGATTGGAGCAACAACTACGGTCGCAGTATTCTTCCACGAGATTCCCCACGAAGTCGGTGATTTTGCTCTTCTAATCCAATCTGGTTTCTCCAAACGTGCAGCCATGGGCGCACAATTCGTGACCGCACTCGGGGCTCTCCTCGGCACACTCATCGGCATCATGATTCAAGAATATGGTTCTAGCACAGAAGAAGGTGGTATTGGCAGATTTGACGGCCTCATGGGTACAAGTTTGGAGTGGGGTGATTTGTTGTTGCCATTTACTGCTGGAACATTTTTGTATGTGGGAACTGTAGCTGTTATTCCGGAATTATTGGAAACTGGAAAAGACAGGGGTCTAGAATTGACGAAGACTCTGAAGCAATTCATGGCTATGGCTACCGGAGCTGGAATTATGCTTTAGTAAGTTCTTGGTCTTTCCACTGGTCTTGGTGCATTTGCTAACAATTCGTAGCATTTCTTGGTCATAGAACGACTACATAACGAGACAATATGATTAAAGGGGCTTGAATGGCTTGGAATACATCAGATGGCTTCGTACTCGAAAGATTTCGCGACACCAGATACGTCAATAGAAGTGAGATGAGGGGATTTAGTCCTTGGATAAAGCCACCGCGTTAAAATTCTAGACATATCATGGTATCTAAAGTCTTTACTTTTAGGTTTCTTTCAAAATGGGTGTAATGATTTGACACCCAGATGCAGCTGTTCTGTGACTGCTCATTTGACGCAATGCAACGCCAATATTTTCTTCCGGTCCCTTCAAAATAGTTCATAATGATCATAATCGTAACCAACTGATGTTAGTCAAGACTTGGTGCCAACGCAATCAAGCTAAACCTCAATTCTGCACCATTTTCCTCTTCTCTCTTCAAAAACTTCCTTACACCCCAATCCAACGCCTTTTCACTCAAAACATCTTCATCTTCTCCCAACGATCCCAACTCAAGTGGGCCCCTTCTCCTTCCATCCATTTCCCAGAGATTATTCTTCTCATCCTTGACAAAACATACGTAGTGTAAGTCGATGTCGTCTTCGGCATTGGGTGTAGAGGATTGTCCTTGTGTTGCAGCGTTTTGATGAGCGGATTCGAGAGCTTGGGAATTGTAGAGGAGATCTGCGCGATCGATTGCGGCGAGAGGAATGGCATCTTTAATTAGTTTGTCGAGAGGAGAGTCTTGTTCTGTGAAAGAGGGAAATTGTGTTAGACATATTCGTTTGACGAATCTATTGAGAGGGAGAGAGTAGAATAAAACATACCAACAAAACCCCTCGCAGCACCATTGCTTACAGCATGCAAAAGGCCAATCAATCCACACGCATTCCTGATAGTCTGCTTATACCAAATAACTGGTTCATTTTCTCCCCTTCCTTTATAATCTTCGCGTTCTTTATCCTCTGAATAGCGGAATGCCTCGTAACTTTTTGAGACGGGGAAAACGAGTAAGAGAGCGAGTGCGGGACGAGGGATAAAGGAGAGGAGAGAGGGATCTTCGATGGAAAATACGTCGTGGAAAGAAAGAGTGGTGGAGAGACCGAGTTTGTGGAGGAGAGAGGACATTACTTCGGGATTGTTTTCTATGGGAGATATTTGGTTAGCTTGGGAGAAGGATGGGGGGGAGGGAGGAGGAGGCACCTAAGGGAATGAAAGCCTTCTTGTTCGAGGGAACATCTGGATTATCTATCGTTTCCGCCATTTTTACTTGGTGGTTTGGAGTAACTGGGAATCGTAGATGTTGTTTGTTTAATATATTAGATGAAGGAAACTTTAAGAGCTCAAGAGGCAGCTCCCGCCACTACGTAATGTAAGGCTAATAATTACCCCACGATTCGGATTATCAGATGCACCGGCTTCCGGTTCGGTGCCCAATGCATCTATTTTTCTTTACGACAATTTCAGCAACTCTACTTATGATACAATGTAATTATAAAGCGCTTCGAGAGCTTGTATCTTGGTCTTTGAATGCACTTTGTTAATTTGCTGCTTCTTCCTTAGTTATTTGTTTGATTTCTTCTTCTGAATTGATACTATTCGCGACTGACCTGGATCTGCAGACCCTAGACCTAGACCCTTAGGAACTCAATCATCTGTTTGTTGCACTCCTCATAGTAGTTCTAGAAGAGTTCCATATCTTCAGCTCTTGAATTAAAGTTCACACCCACTGGATTACCTTCTACAATCTGAAAGACTGAAACATTCACCAAACTATAACGAGAGACTGCGCAAATTTACCAAGAACCGAACCATCCGAAATTACAAGTCAAATTAGAGTTTTGTTGAAACAGGCTTGTCTCTTGGTCTCCGGATTTTCAATTTATAAACCGGCATAAACCCATTGTTTCCATTGCAATTTTCACGGTTGGCGCTTGGAAAGCATTCCTTATGGCTCTTCTTGTGCCAATTTGCGCTTCATGTTATGCGATCCGAAATAATGAAGGATTTCTATTGCTTCGTCTATCAGGCCATAATCTATTTGAGGAAACTTTAATAGTAAGGTAAATTCAACTTCTTTGGCGAAGTCTTGTGGAATTGAACCATAATAGATGAGATGAGGAATCTCGCGGAGTCGTAAAGTAGGTCGACCGACTATATATACCTATATGAATGGGCTATTCGGACCGTGTACCCTTTCATCCAAAGTATCACTGTGTGACTTTTTGGTCAATTTCATTCTTTTTCGCACGTTAACAAATATCAATACGTTCCTTTCTCATCACGTTCATTTACAAATTTCTCTATCAATCATGTCACTTCACTCATTTCTCGGATTGTCATTGTTGACTCTCGCTTCTGTAGCACAGGCGCAAGATTGTCCACTTCAATTCGAAGGTCGTGTACCAGTAGGCACCATACCAACTGCATTTGATAACTCCAATACAAGTCTCTACAATCCCAGTTATAACTTTGGTGCAAGTAGGTTTAATTTCTTCCTGTACACCACTTCTTCTAACATTTCCAGATCTCACATGGAGCCAAATCATCAACATCCCAACTGATATTCCTACTTCTTTGGTAAGCCATCTGGTGTGCTATACTGGTTACACGCCTAACAATTTCTCAGTATGATGGAAACTCAACCACACCCTTCGAGGTCACTCTCTCTGATGCCTCCATCTTTGCTCCCTCCTCAACCAACGTACAAGTTGGATTCCGTCGTGCCGACTTGATGCCATTATCTAACAACGGCACTGATGCTTCCACCACAGGCATTAAAACTCTTCATTTCTCCATCATGAAGGATGCCTCTCGTCCTTTGAACCTCAGCCACGAGTATCAAATTGCCTTCCTCGAAAGTGCAGATTTCAGCAACAATCAATTTGCGTTGAAGACAGGTACCATTTTGGACACAAACAACACAGATTCAAATGTTTTGAGAGTCGTCGGAAATGTAAATGAGGGAGCAACCGAACTTTTCACTACTGCTTTCACCGATGGATGGCACAATTTTGGGTTGAAATTGGATTTTACTGCCAAGTTTGTTTCCCTGTCTTGATTCCATCAACATGTTGAGCTAACCTTGAATCAGTACAACCCAAGTATTCTATTCTACCTCCTCCAAGGCTCTTGAATCGGTGACTGAAGCTTTAACCAATGATATTTCTGGACAAGGTCAATACCACTTCGGTTTATTTAAGAAGCCAACAGATTTCGCCGCTGATGCAGATATTTCCAAGAATGGATTCCAGGAAAGTGGTATCAATGAGGGAATGATCTTTGGTGGTATTTTCATGGAAGATAGCGAGAATTGCGATGCAGATGTGTGTGTCGAGACTGAGTAGGATGGATAAGATCGATTTGGTTTCTCTCAACCACAACCATTCGCTCTGGCAGCGTAATGCCGAATCTTTTGAAAATATATATCCATTTATTTTTACCCTGGTATTGATCATATATACTGCTCTTTTTTGCATGTCTTGTGAAGAATTCATTCTATGTTACAAATCTGCAAATATGAACGAAACGACAGAACTCGAGATCTGTCGTTGACCAAACCAATCCTCCATCAAGCTCACAGTTCCTCGAGGAGCGCTTCCATTACATCTCTATCTAGTATTTTCTACTTCCATGACGTTATATCCCTCCCGAATCGCTTCATTTAATTAATTATATATTGCTTACCAGGTATTCCCTTCATCTACCGTAGAATATAAAGCTGAGAAGTTGAAGCATGAAAGCACTGGAGCCCCCCTTCCTCCACAAAATTTAACAATATATATGCAAAAGAGGTTTCTAATTTTTAATAGTCACATGATTAAGGACCGCTGGCGCAACGGTAGCGCGTTCGACTCCAGATCGAAAGGTTATCCGTTCAAATCGGGTGTGGTTCAATACCTCCTCTCCATTAATCATTATTTTGCTTTTGTCGTGCAAATGTTTTGGTTGAGGTTTTTTTAGGTGAGGGGTGAGGAATTAGGGAATGTTTTTTTTTTTTTTTCCTTTCAGAGAATTCTGGGGTGTGGTAGGTGTGGTAGGTGGGGTACATACATACATATTGGGAAATGGTGGCTCGGTGTGGATGTAATTGTATACACACTAAACAACTAAATTTTTTTTTTTTAAAACACTTCTTTCAAAATGCTCAATAATCATAACAAATCTTTATTATTAATATAATAAAAGATGAAATATATACAGATTATTACTATCCAAGTAATTCAATCTCAATTTTGAAAAATAATATTAATTGTACAAATAATAATCAAGTTGGGGTTATGGCCTTTTTGCCATACTAGTCATATGGTTTAGAGCTTACGAGAAAATCATTGTGTCGAGGCTTTTGTAGAAGGTTTTTGTATATGGAAAATGGGTATAAGTTGTCCCATCACTTGAATTTGAAAAAGATAGTGAAGAAGTGATGGAAGAGGAAGAGAGACAGAAAGGGAAAATGATTACGATGAAAGAGGCTTCGAGACAACATTGTGTGCAGTGCACGCCAGAATGGAAAGTTCTTTCTACTAGCGATTGAATAATAAATACCTAAAAAGGTTTGCTGCATGCCACCAGTGACATGCTCTCGTGGTAGTCAGACAGAAGGAAGAAGGCTGAAGATAACGAGCTCACGATGTACATTGCAACATCATATAAACTGTGTACTCGGAGAAGACTAAGTCTTCATGACGGAATCGTATATGTGCAGCCACTACCGCAATCCAGACTTTGGCTCAGAACCTCTTGCACGTTGCTGCTTATTCTTTTCGAATCAAATCTTCATTGAATCCCTCAACAATTGCTTCATTCCCAATTATACCCACATGCTGCCTCTTCTTGCGTATGAGATCTTCGTTGAAGCCTTCTACAATGGCTTCATTTCCGATGATACCCGCGTAGATACCTGAGCGTCGACTCGTCTTGTGCATGAGGTCTTCGTTGAAGCCTTCCACGATGGCTTCGTTTCCTATAATTCCAACGCTGATGGCTCGTTCTACGTCAAATTAGATGGATGCAGACAATAGAAAGTTGGAGACCTACCGTTCAAAACCGGGGCGGCACAGACAACAGTAGCAAGGGCGATATAGCTTAAGAAAGCCTTTGAAGAAAGCATGGTGCTTGTTCAGTAGGTGTAGAAGCAAAAAGCAGACCTGTCTACGGTAGTATCTGAGTTTAAAACAAGTACCACTTTCTGTTTATGGGGTTCAAGGTCTCTCGAAAACGTTTGGGAATGGTGGAAGATGAGAGGAGAAAGACTCAAAAAGTCTTGTCGCTCCTTTTATGGGCGGGGACTTGAATTTGAGGCCGGAGAAAATAGTTAAGCGCCGTTGGTAAATCAATACAGCTTCCCTCCATGTAATATTGTAAGCCATACCTTACTCAATAGTGTAAGCGAGTCGTAGTCTCTGCGATCAGTTCACTCGATATTCATGCAAGTCCTTCATCTTTAAGCCTTGGCTCAAATTTCATGAACCAATCGCGGAGGGTACCATCTATAGTGCAAACTTCAATAGAACGAGTTTCTGTCTTGCAAGTCCATACTTTTGGCAGGTTTTGGTATTCGTTTATGTCATTCGACGGTGATATTGGCCCGAGATGCATAACTGAGTATCATTCATGTGCATGTTGCATGAATCACATCCCAAAACTAGTAGTCGACCGTACCACTTGGAGGGGGTGACTTGGTAGTCATCCCCGTATGAGGTTCAAGCTTGAAGCTCAGTCTGATATTGCAATAAGGTAAATTGGTAGCTATCATTTTGCTGCATGCAGAAGCTAATGCCAAACCAAAAGAAAGACAAGAAGTCACCTTCTCATTTCGGGTGAATAGAAGTGCCTTCGAATTATCCGTCGAAGATATCAGAAAAAAAAGTTGCCTGGTATGTTACTTTCCAGGGTGTCGAAGCTTCTTAAGGGATATAATTGGTATAGTTCTGGATACACAGCGTATTCGGAGCTATTGACAATCCCCTTTCAACAAAAATGGCAGATGCATGCTTCTCGCTCGTGTATATCATCACTTTTTAATGCGTAAGACGGTTGAATAATATCTCCGCGAGTGTGGGGCAGTTTCCTTTCAGGAAGGCCGGGAAATCTGCACCCATATCCATCCATGTGTGCGAAAGGATAAAATTTGGGAATGTTGAATTGTTCTTTCTTGCATGCAGTACCTTGATGTATTGTTCTATTGTTGTATGGCGAATTGTTTGATGAGACCCAGAATTTTGCTAGCATGGTTTTAACAATCTTATTTTCTGAACGATCACATAGCCAAAGAAATCCCCGAGTCTAACTACCTAAAGCTCAGTTTATTTGAGCTTTCAATCTTGCTGATTCTGGTTCAATTCAGGATTCTCGATTTGTTCAACTTTATTACTTTTCACTCCAACATCTATTTGCTATGGCTATCATGGGACTTTCAAAACAGTTCCAGACTTCTTCTCTCTGGGCCAAGGCGGCTTCGTCGTCGAAATATAAACTCTTGGAGGAAGAGCAAACATCTTCATCTGCCTCACTTCCTCTCCCCGAAGACAAGGAGAATATGCACACCTTAACTATAATCTCTACCACTGCAAATACCATCTCGAAGATATGGATATTGCACATGATCTTGTTCATGATCTCTGGTGCTATGTTACTACATTCGACCCTCAAGCTCTCTGGCAAAAGTTACTGTATTGAGAAACTATCTCCTTACTGTGAGTGTAGACCATGATATATTCTTTACTCAATGGAAACTAAGTGTCTTCATTGAATTACAGCTCCAGGTCTTCACATTTTCCAGGATGTAGACAAGGTATACCGATTCGACGTGGGCTATAACTCCCATTCTAGTTTCAGAGGGCCTCCATCACCTGAACGCGATGCTGTTTGGGACAGAATTACACATGGTAAGCACATGTCTGTAATTCCACAATTTAGCTAACATTCCGTTAGTGGGTGCGATGAGCATATCTGAGGAGACGCGCCAGAAGATAAATGCTTCGGATGGATCGGTGAGGCTACCGAAAGAAAGCGGGGGTGGATTCATGGCTATGACTGAGTTTGTTCATGAAATGCATTGCATTGTGGGTTTCTTTTCCGGCTTTATTATTGCATGACACTAATCTTCGCAAACTAGGACCGTCTCTGGAAGCATACATACCCAGATTATTACATAGACGAGTACAATCATACAATTAAAGAAACGGAGGACTGGCACGAACACGCTGGTGAGTTCAACACTAATACACTCAACTAAATCTAACCATATATCCAGATCATTGTGCGGAAATTCTCCGGCAAAAAGTGATGTGCAATGCAGATGTCACCGTCGTCACCTACAATTGGTTGAAAAATCACGAATCGCCTCACCCAAACTTCAACAGCCAGCACAAGTGCAGGGACTTTGATGCTGCACTGGAGTGGGCGATTGCGAATCAAGCACCTCCTCCAAAAGAAGGGAAAGTATATCGGCCAACCGATGGAACTCATTACTTTGAGTACGACGATCTACCTTTTGATCCTAGAAAGCTTTCGTGAAGAAGAGAAAGAAACTTTTCTTTACTGAAGACGGGCCTTGAGAATCAGGAAGCAAGAGCTAGCGTCGAGCTTAGTAGTATCGTTATATTGGTAGCGAGGGTTATGGATACAGAGTTGCCGTGTGTGGAATCATGTTCACTTAGAAGCTTGTCATAATTTGACGATTGGAAAAGAGTTGAGATAAGCGGCACATTCTTTCGCATGCAATGAAACATGATACACACCTACTTGATTCCTCACCCAGTTGATTGCGAAAATTCCTCAAAGAAAAAAGTCCAGGACTTAAGAAACTCAGCTGCGCGATTGCGGCGTGGGTTATCCAAATTTACCCCCCAGTAAAACGCAGCACTGAGTGCTCTCCACCCAAATATCAACAGCAATTCCGGGAGGGCTTGATTGTGTCCTTGTTGTGTGGGTGGAGCAAACGCAACTCTATCGACTATTTCAGAGGAGATTTATTGACTATTTCTGCATGGCCGTGGCGTGAAAGTTCAACTTGTGATGTAGTATTGAAGGTTGAATTCAGAATACTGAAGATTCTTAAGGTTTCAATCAAGAGGAATCCTCCAGACGGTTTGGCAAAGTGGGCCAGGCTGATACATGAAATCATTCTTTAAGCAGGCAGGCGGTCTATTAATGGGTGGTTATATGGCAGGTATACATCAGCAACTATCCGGGTCGCGCATGATGATCGTCCCTAACGCATGTGGTTATATCTGAATCTTAATGAAAGGATCAGGGGGTGGAAAGGTAAGTGGGGCGCGTGTATGTGAGGTGATGAGATTGGCGGAATCTTATCGAAGTAGTAACGGTGGCTGAACGATAAGTTAATCAAGTAGCCGCAAGCGAATTAAAAAATGGTATGATTGCTCTTGACGGCCAACTGCCTTGGAATTGGTCTTCGTACAGTGCTCTACCCCTGACGCACAACAAGGATACAACCTACCGTTTCATGTATACACATGATATTGAATGTCTAAACTTACTGTGCCGCACTCGTTAAAATTTTGTTGCAGTGCATCTGCGCAGTAACAACTGCATCACCCCCACGCGTCGTCTATTCAAGCCAGACATCTCGTGAGAGTGAATCTCGTGCTTGACTAGGATAGTCACCCCGCACTATCGGTCACTAGATATGCTTTTCCCCTGATTTCTGCATGTTATTTACTACTTCAATCAATGAGATGTAAATAACTGTGCGAGTAAAGGCTTATTGAAAGCTAAATTCAAACCAGACCAATATATGATAGTAAATCTAGAAAGAAGCCCCCCAGGCTCTGCAAATGCATAGATTTGATCTGCAATCCTACACTTGCGGCCAGAAGGTACGCAGCTCCACATCCAGATAATGGAACTTACTCCGCCAAGCGCGTTGTGTCTACAGTTACATTACTCTTAATTGCACCCCCAATACTCGATACATGACTAGTCGAAAGCTCGTAATCCTGAAATCCATCACCCCTCCTTGTATTTCCACTATAGTCCAAGGTCTTGTAAGAGGTAGACTTCTTGCGTTTATCTCCAAACAATGTTCGATAGCTCGGTAAAGCAGAGACCATTACCGTTATGGTTGGCTCCAAGATATCCCATAGAGTGTCGAGTGCGATGGCCCCACCATCAACCGTGTAGATTGTGCGGAGGATGTCAAAAATAACATCGATCGTGGCAATCAAGAAGATAACGGCCAACCCGATCTTCTGCCCAGTTTTCATTTGCAACCCTTTCAGCATCCAAAGGGGCAAGGCCATAACTACATTGTAGTTTGATCAGCAGGGTATTTGTTAAAGCAGACTGGGTAAATGCTTACTTGTCAAATCGGAGATCACATTTAACACACACCACATCGTCACAACTCCAGCCGTAACCTTCAGAGCACTAGGGGAGGTGCATTGCGCTAGCATTTGTTAGTAGGTGGGAGTTCTGAGGGTGGAATGCAAGTTCAAATGCAGCGAAATACCCATGACATATAGATCTTCAGCTTTGCCGCAAGCCCAAAACACTGAGATAAAATTCACGAAGAAGGTGACAACGGTGAACCCGAACACACACCACCAGGCTACCATGAACTCCTTGGATACGCCAAAAATCAAACGATAAAAGGCCAAAAAAGAAAATTTGACAAGGTAATTGATGATCCAAAATGTTGCCGACACGGCAATAATGAAATGAAAATAGCGATCCATTTCGGCGGGCGTCGGTGCCTCATTGCTCAAACCAGCCACGAAGAATTCGACTTTGTAATTGAGGGGAAATGCAATGGTGTACGTGATGCAGTAGCCAATGAGAACAAGGCATGCCAGACCATGGATTATGTCGTCGGTCTGAAATTTGTGGAAACCCCTCCAACGGATAGCGTATCGGCCTACCGTTAATGCGACAGCCACACCCGTAAACGTCCAGGTTAGTGCCTGTATTATGTAGCATGATTAGTAGAGAAATGCAGTAGAATCAGAAATGTACACGTACCACGAGGCCGTCTTTTGGGAGGGAGCTCATGGTTGATTGATAAGAGAAACCTTGAGTTGAGAGACAAGATGAAAGAACCTGTGATTTGCAGACGTAGCTTGGATTGTGGAGACAAAATCAACTTCAATCAAGCACATATATATAGTGGGAGGAAAGGGGGCCAAGTAGAATGGTTGCATGGATGTAGAGGGATTAGACGAACAGTCTAGGGATCCTCGAGAACACAAATTGGATGCTGGGCCACTGGAGGACGGTGTTGTGTTGCGAATCAAAGCTGCAAAGATAATCAGTCTTGCCATCCATTTCGTATGTCGTGTGGCTAATCCAATAAGAAAAATTGGTTCTCATGGGGTGGTGGGTGCATTGTTGTAAAGATAGGTACTTTGAGTATGTACGAATGGTCCGAGATACTCAGACCCCTATCAAAATCCTATAGGAATAGAAATTTGGCAGCCTTAATGTAGTGATACTAACGATAAAGTATGTATCATTGTTGGCACTTGCATTGAAACCTTCTAAGATGTGAATCTTGCTGCAGCTGGAGAACTGTGTGTCAGGGATATGCTGAAATAAATCTGCAGATAAAAAGTCACTTGGCCTGTAAGCCTGTCGTAGAGACAGATGTGATTGGTGGAAAATGACATATTAAAACATTGAATCACCTACAGGACTGGCGAAATTACCACATTTCCATTTTAAGTTCAATATTTAAACCCAGTTCTTAGCCACCCTCTGTGGTTATTGTTTAATATCACTAACAATTTGTTATCCCAATCAGACCTCAAATTCCGATCTACCAAATAACCATTATGAAGCTTTCTCGACCAGGTTGGGCATTGAGCATCATAGCCGTGGCAACCATTATCACGCAGATTGCAACTTTAATCAACCCTTCGAGCTTCATTCAAGACTTCAAGGTTGATAGTGCCGAGGCAGTGCGGTTGATTGGTAATGCCCTTTTCACTTCCTCTTCGTCTTTGAAACAGGACTGACCGGTGCTTGCAGCATTCCTTCTCATTCTGATAAATGGTTACGACCTTATGGGAGCTCTCCAAGATAACTGGGCCGTGTACAAATTCGGAATTGTTGCACGTATTGCTGCGGCCTTCCTTTTCTGGTCATTTGGTCCCACCTGGAATATCATGGTTGGCGTAGAGATTGCAACTTTGAGTGTCTTGGTGGCAGCAATGGTGGCAGCGTAGCTAAAAACAAGCACTTTCGTCGCAAACTAGAGTGGCGGTCTTGACTGATGTAACTAATGGTCCTAATCCGCGTCTTTTACAAGTCCTCGTCTATTCTGCAACCGTAGTCAAGCACTAGAATCAGTAGCCGACGGGGCAGTGGGTACCGGAACCAGATCCTCATAATTCCAGTCTTTATATTTTTGTGATCTCGGTTCAAGTGTTCTCCCGCACCTAGCTGTCACTGTATCTATCCAGCAGCGGCACATCCAAGCCATTTTCAAGTCTCTCTTTAATTGTTGCTGCATTGACTACCGATATACACCCAAACCAGTTTGTCTGTTGTAAAAAGATCTTTTCTTCTTCTGTGTCCCTCCTCCCGAGCGCTCTGTTTCTCCAGGGGAATCGATTAAATCTTATCAGTACAGGCGCATGTGCATCCAATAGAGCTAGGAACCAAAAAGCATATGATGCCATATTGACATTGCCATTGCCATTCTTGACTGGGCCTTCCAGTGATAGATGACTAAAGGCCGTGCCGTCAAGTTCTGCAATTCCTCGCACCAAATATGAATCTTTCAATCCAGTATGCTTTTCAATCGCAACACGAAGTTCTGTGCAGAGTATTTTTGCCACAGCTGATTGTTGAAGAGATTCGGAGTGGACGAAGGGGAGAATAAATAAAGATCGGATGTAAACCCAGTGGTTGAATGAATAGTTTAATTTATCCATCCACTGCTCTTTCAAATCCGGTCGTAAGTTCGGAGGCAGAGAGTGTATATATGTAACCACCTGTAAGGCGAGACGGTCGAAGAACGTGAATGCGTAGTAAATTCCTGCGCCACGAAGAAGTTGTCTGGGAGCTTGATCGAGCAGAAGAATAAGACCTAGCGCTCGAGGAGGGTTCAATGTTGGTAGCAGCGATCTAATAAATAAACCAAAAGCAGTAACATTGGAACCATCGCTCAAAAAATCTTCTCTGTAATGGCGATAGAGTGAGTGTAATGCCGCACAAGCCTTAACACAAACTCTGGAGTCGTCACTCAATTTAGGCAAATCTGCAAAATTGATTTTGACATGAGAGTCTTTCGCAATGTGCAGATAGAACAAATCATCTAAGACACCAATACTGAAATTCTTGAGGTTATTGTGCTCGACCATGGCTCTCATTGATAAAGAAAGCAATCAAAGTTAATCCCGTTTGTAGATATTGTGGGCAATCTATTCCACTACTGTGCAAGCTTATAATTGAGGCACTCGCTTGGGATAGTTTTGGCGACTATTAGTGGCTTGGCACACCTCCACAGTGCTTAACCTCTACTTTACACCTTCGATAACATCATTCTGCCCCTCAATACCTACTCGACACCTAGTACAGCCACATAATTATTTTTTCTGTCAAAATGATGATACATGGCCAAAATCTATCCACAAATACCGAAAATGAGAATGAGAATGAAAATGAACCCCTCCTTCCAGAGAACAACCGATATCCCGCCAAAAATACCACAAAACCATATACCAAACTTGTTGTGCTTCTGTACTTGTTGATTCTCATTGTAGACTTTGGTGGGCTTCTTCAAATTGCGCCGATGACTCAAATATTTGAAACTGTTATATGTCGAAAATTCTATGCCCGTTATCCAGCCAACCAAGGCATAGAGGAGATCAATCATTCCTGCAAGGTACAAGAGGTTCAAAGCGAGCTCGCGCTTCTCAAAGGCGTCCAAAGTTTTCTTAGTATTCTCCCAAGTACGTTGGTCCCGAGACGTATCTACATTTTCTGATTGAATCTAGACTTACTTCTGACCATTCCTTATGGTGTTCTCGTCAACATATATGGGCGCCAACTAAGTCTGTGTCTCGCAATGCTAGGGCTTTGCTTACAGCTTACTTGGATCATTCTTATATGTGAGTTCAACAGCACCAAAATATGTTCAAGTAGTTATCCCTTGCTAATTCTCTCATTTTAAAGCTTGGTTTTCAGACGTATTTTCTCTCCGACTGATATGGTTGTCATCTGCATTTCATATCATCGGGGGAGGGCCAAGTGTAGCATTGTCAATAGTCTATATACTCGTGGCTGACAAAGTCCCTCATAGTTACAGGTATGGTATCTCTCTCTCACATCATTTGGCATTGGTCTGTCATAGAACTTACAAATTCCATGCAGAGCGCAGGTGTTTTTCGGGCTGGATGCTGCTAGACTACTTGCAGTAGCAGTAGGAACAGCAACCAGTTCCGTGCTCATGAAGCGAGGCCCATGGATCCCTATGTTTTTCGCGCTTCTGATCACCTATGTTGGCAGTTCATTTGCATTATTCATACCGACTGGTGGACCAGGCTCAAGCTTAATGAGTAATTCTAGACATAATTCATTAGAAGACACAAACGCTTCTGATGTGGTTTCTACCACAATATTTTCTTCAGCTCTAGAAACGAAATATGTGTTGTTTAAGGACGATTTGTACCGGTTTAAAAAGTCCTTATCAATCAACAGTCTCGCGAGGAAAATTCTCGCAATGTCGCTTGTTAGTACTTTAACTAGCAGCTCTTCCAGTATTATTCTCATCTATGCATCAAAGCGGTTTGACTGGAGTTTTGCAAAGGTGGGTTCATATCATCTCTTGAATTAAAACTTCTGGAATGCTAAACTTACTAGGCAAACCTATTGACCACACTTCGAGCCAGTGTTAATTTGATCGTCATCTTACTCCTAATTCCCCTGGTTGGCTTCTGGCTCATTGTCCGTTGCAAAGTTTCTCACAGAGAAAGGGAAACCTATCTAGCACGAGGAAGTGCATTGGTCATTCTCCTTGGGCTGTCTATAGTCGCAATAGCTCCTACTCCAACTCTGCTAATCACCGGTACGATGATCCGAAATGAAGACAGGCTCATCGAATTTACATACCTGCAGTATTTACTGACAATGAATTAGGTGTTGTAGTGTCATCTCTGGGATTCGGTGCCGATGCCCTGCTTCGTTCAATTCTGACATCAGTCATCCCTAGCCATGAAATTGGCACATTCTACACATCAATGACACTGTTACAGAATTTGGGAGAATCTGCAGGCGGCCTGCTATACTCGACTCTATTTTCTGTGGCATTGAATCTACAGGGGTTTTGGCTCGGGCTACCATTTATAATTTCGGCTATCTTGTCTGTTCTCTCTCTAGTCATGGTGTCCGATGCGCGACTCTCACATGATAAGTCTGAAGATCAAGAAGATTAGCCTGACACAATCTCGAGCCAACGGAACTTGTGTCAGAGACTTTTATCTTATCGCGGTAGTCAAAGAAGCATCATTGGATTTCGTTGATGTAAAGTATGTGCATAATTAAGTTGTGTGGCCGAGAGCTAGATTTCCAATCAAGTGATGAAGTGGCACAGTTGGTTGGTTGTGTAGCTCCATCAAATCAATTGGGCCTGTTGGTAAAATCTTGGTGGATAAAGTGTGTTTTTATCGACCGAGTCCGGCTGTGCCGCATATGGTCACATCGACCCATAACATGCTTGATAAATTACAATACTACTGTTCGGCTTACCTAGTCCACAAACGTTGGCGGGCGACGCACCTTGTATACGTTGATTAAATACAAGAATTTCTTACAAGTAAAGCAGATAGAAGCAGTCAATTGATTTTATTGTCAATACAGGAATAAATTCTCCAGAAATCGTCTCAAAAATCATTTCTACTGTTGGTCAAATATAAAAGATATGAGTAGCGAAAGAGATCCTATGCAAGTTGATCCAATGGCTCTTGGAGAGAGCGCGTTTGCAGGGCATGAAACGCCACTACTGACAGACAAACAGCTGGGTCTACGCACTGTAAGTATTTCCGTCCAGATATGCGATGATCTTTAATTGATCGCTGCACAGATACTTTGGCATTTCTCCACTAGATCAGACAAAATGCTTCAGATTGTTGCACTTGCCGCGGCAATTGGTGCAGGAACTGTATGATAAAAAGATCTATTCTTGTTTGTGGAGAGTTGCACTGACTGATGCCTAGACCAGGCCGTTGATGACAATTGTTTTCGGCAGTCTTGTCAATGACTTCAATAACAGCAATGCAATCCAACCGTCTCAATTAAAATTACTAGTCAATCGCAATGTGTATGTCTCATTGATATCTAGATCAGTCCTCTATTCGGATGCTAATATCTGCCCGAAAGTCGGTATTTCGTCTACTTATTTGTCGCTCAATTCTTGGTATGTCCATCACAATGCTTTGTAAAGATGTAGGATAAGAAGTTGATGATATTATGGCTCTAGTTGACCTATATATTTTCTTCAACATTGTCCATAGTGTCAGCTCGAATATCACGCAATCTACGCTTGTCATACTTGCGAGCTATTGTGCGTCACGACCAATTGTATTGGGATACGGCTGCCAGACGATCGGCAGCCAATGATATCTCCAATGAAGCAACCCAGATCAAGACCGGCTTGTCCGAATCCCTCGGGATTGCTGCACAAGCCTGTTCAACCGTTGCAACGGCGTTCATTATAGCTTTCACGCAAAGCTGGAGATTAACTTTGGTCATGTCCACAGCTATTGTCACCCTTTTCTCTGGATTCTACCTCATATCCCGTGCTGAAACTCGGTCAGAGGGTCGTATATCCTTGATATACTCCGATGCAGCTGCCTTGCTGGAAGAAGTCTTCTCAAGCATTCAAACAGTCATGGCCATGGGTGCTGAACCTAAACTTTTGAAAAGATATGGCAGCCATTTAGACAAGGTCAAGATATTAAGGCTAAGGAGAAGTCCTATATCAGGTGTCAAGTTTGTTCTTAGCTATTTTGTTTTACTTTCGGCATACGCGCTGGCGTTTTGGTACGGAGTCAAGCTAGTTGTCAGTGATAAAGTTCGACGCAGCGGGAACGTGGTAATGTATGTGAGCCTCAAGTGGATATTTATTTCACGAGGTCAATCTATCTTTACTTGTCATTCCCAGTAGTCGCTGATAACAAACAGTGTCATTCTTTGTGTCAACATGTCAACGAACGCCCTTCGCCTACTTCTTCCATCATGGACCATACTTACACAAGCGACAGCGAGTGCGCGGTCAATTTTACTTCCATTTTTGCATAAGCCAACAATAGACCCATTCAGCAGGGAGGGAAAGTTCCCCGGTGAGTTTCTAGGACGTATAGAAATATGTAATGCCAGCTTTAGTTATCCTTCTAAACCTTCCATCAAGACACTAGAGGGTGTCAGTATCGTCTTTGAGAGAGGAAAGACAACCGCAGTCACCGGTCCTAGCGGTTGCGGTAAGAGTACAATAATTAATCTTTTGGAAAGAAATTACGACTTATCGAGTGGTCGAATCTTACTTGACGGTGAAGATATAAAAGATTTAAACGTCGGCTGGCTTAGGTGTCAAATTGGCTTAGTTCAACAAGTAATTCTTCTTAAGAATCAGGCTTGGTCATGAATGCTAATACGTGGAAAGGATCCAATTCTGTTCAATGAAAGCATATTCCAGAATGTTGCGAATGGCATCCATAGTCAAATGTCAAGTACTCTTACCCAGGGCCATATCACTGAGCTCGTATATCAAGCCTGTAAAGACGCAAATGTCCATGAATTCGTCTCACAACTTCCACAAGGGTATGAGACTATTGTTGGAGACCGCGGTAGCAGTATCAGTGGAGGCGAAAGACAGCGAATAGCTATAGCGCGAGCAATTATCTCAAATCCGCCAATTTTACTATTGGATGAAGCAACCTCAGCTCTAGATGCAAATTCCGAGGGTATTGTGCAGGCTACCCTTGAAAAGCTTTCACTCAACCGGACCACAGTTGTTATATCCCATAAACTGGCAACAATTCAGAAAGCGGATAAAATTGTCCTTATCAAAGACGGACGCGTAGTAGAGGAGGGTACCCATGCAGATCTTTGCAGTCAAGGAGGAGCTTACCAGCGCCTAGTTGAGGCTCAAGATGTACAATCTGTCCATGTGAAGACAATTCATAAACGAGAAATCGATAATCCTATTACTGATCTGAATGCACAAGAATTCACTGACGAGAAAGCTCCAATGAGCAGTATACATACCAGCATCGATATTCCGCTGATCGTTCAAGATGCTACGTCTTCCCAACAAAAATCACTAGTGCGATGTTTGGGTATAATCATGAGAGACCTGAGACATTATCGTCTAATGTTCATAATCGGTACTCTAGCATGCATTATTTCCGGTGGCATCTATCCAAGTCAATCCATCGTATTTGCCAAGTCAGTCACCGTTTTTGAATTTCATGGGGACTCGTTGAAACACAATGGCGATTTTTGGGCTTTGATTTGGTTTATTCTGGCTCTTGGGGTGTGCTTAGCATTTGGAGCCATGGGTACAATATTTTCTGCTATTGCTGCAATTGTTGGACATCATTACAGAGGAAGCTATTTTGCCGAAATCCTTGCTCGAGATGCAGATTTCTTCACGACAGACGACCACAGCCCAGGCAGCCTGACTGCCCAGCTAACATCTCGTACCCAGCAACTCGAAAACTTAATGTCAACAAGCCTTGGACTCATCCTCGTTGTGATCGTAAACCTGGTTGCCTCTTGTGTTTTATCGTTACTCGAGTCGTGGAAGCTTGCGCTCGTAGCCATATTTGGAAGCTTACCTGTGATTATACTTGCGGGCTATTTGCATGTAAGACTGGAATCCACTTCCAAAGCTCGAGATCAAATCCTTTTCCACGAAAGCGCCAGCTTCATCAGCGAGATTACTGCATCAATCAAAACAATTGCCTCGCTGACAATGGAGGCAAACGTATGTGAAAAGCTGGATCAAAAGCTACAAGGGCCTATGAACAGAATTTTTAGAGAAACTTTCACGAGCATGTTGCTCTTCGCGTTTTCTCAAAGTGCAAGCCTTCTTGGTTAGCTTTACCCATCTATGGAATATACTTTTCGATGCGTATAAAATGACTGATTCAATTGCAGGGATGGCACTTGCGTTTTGGTACGGTGGGCATTTGTTGGCCGATCGAGAGATCAATGGTTATGAACTGTTTGTGATATTTCTAGCTATTGTATCCGGTGGAGAGGCTGCAGGAAGCTTTTTTGCCCAATCCAACAGTAGGTGATTCAATCCCTGCCATACCTCCACACTACTTAACACAAACTTCAGATATTGCCCAGGCACACTCAGCTGCGAATCATATTTTGAACATGAAATTGGCTCCGAGATTCCAGGTATCGGAAATAGCAGTTATTCCCCCTCCTAGTCCTAGTGATACAATAGATTTTTGTCATGTCTCTTTCCACTACGCTTCACGTCCGGAAACCCTTGTTCTGAAAAATCTCAGTTTCAAGGCAAAGTATGGAGAAAATCTAGCAATAGTTGGAGCGTCCGGCTCCGGAAAGTCCACTGTCATCGCACTTCTGGAAAGGTTCTATAAGCCCACTCAAGGAGTGATACTTTTCCGAGGAACGCCATTGGACTCCACCGATATGATAAAATATCGCTCCCTTGTCTCGTTGGTATCTCAACAAACATGTCTTTACCAAGGTTCCGTTCGCCAGAATATTCTTCTAGGTATCCCGAACGACGAGGCTATTAGTGAAGATGTTATCACACGCGCATGCAGAGATGCAGATATTCACGAGTTCATCACTTCGCTCCCACAAGGTTATGAAACGCAGATTGGAAACCGTGGACTTTCTCTCAGTGGCGGACAGCGGCAGCGTATCGCTATCGCACGAGCCTTAATACGAGATCCGGCAGTGTTGCTGTTAGACGAAGCTACGAGCGCGCTTGATATACAGAGTGAACGCCAAGTTCAACAAGCCCTGAACAATGCGACGAAGGGTAGAATTACGATTACGGTTGCACATCGACTGTCGACTATTAGATCTGCGAGCCAGATCTTGGTTCTTTCGCAAGGCGAATTAAAGGAAGTCGGGACACATGATGAACTTTTCGCACAGAAAGGTTTGTATTTTGATATGTGCCAGATGCAAGCTTTTGCGGAGAACTAATATTTAAGAGAGTTCCTGTTGATTAGTTGAGGATTGAGTAGCAGTAACAGTTAGCACTAGCAGAAGAAACGATAAGAGTTTGATCACAAAGTGTTTTTTTGTTCGCTTTGGTAATTTGGCGAAACAGACTGCAAGTCATTTTTAACTTAAAAATACTCTCCTATCCTCAAGTTAACAACCATGAAATACATATTACATAATCAGCCTCAAAACTATAGAATCCAAATTCTTCGCGGGGAGGGGGGTTTCAGAAGAGAAGTCGTAATATCGCTATAGATTAAACCCTATTCTTCCCTCTTATATAATCTACTCTTTCTTTTGATATGGAATCTAACCTATGATCACTAGAATAAATGGTCTTCCTATTTTAGAGTATGAGAGTGATTTACCATGCTTTTCAATCTGGTGTTCTGGGCTACAATAAATGGGTATGAATTCTTGGATTGAATGCAGGAGGTTAAGTTATTCTCAATTGAAAACCGGAAGCGAAGATAGATAGATGTGAGATGATTTAGATGTTGAGAGTATTGATGTCGCCAGAAGATAGCCTAGTTTTCTTAAGTCTATGATACTATCTGACGGGTATAGTGAAAGTTGAGGCTATGTTAGAGCTGATATCTCGGTCGAACTAGAAGTTGGATGGTACGGGATAAGCTCACGCTCTGGAAGATCAGAACTACGTAAGTATGAACTCGTTCAATTAGCCGAATCGATTGTTCTACTAGTTGATCAGAAGAAAGGCTTACACGAGGAGATGAAGCAGGGGGGTAAAGAGTCCAGGCCAGGGGAAGACGAGGAAGAATATTTCAATATAGAATTAAAAAGAGACATGGGTAAGGAGTAAGATATTGAGGAGCGACGAGAAAAAAGAAGATGGAAGAGACGGAAAATGTGGGATGAGTAAATGGGCGAGGAACGGGTCAGAGTCAGCTGAATAGACTTCCAAACTCCATCTCAAGTGTGAAGCGAATGATTCGAGAAGTTAACTGAAATGAAAGCTATAATATCTAATCGAATATTATGATGGCCAATATGCTTCAAAAGATGAAGATGATTCACAGGAAAACAGAATTCTAATCTCCCCTCTCCTCTTCTCTTAGCGCCATTCTCCAATGTCCCCTCTCGATACCCTCGTTTCGATTACTTCTTTGATCAATTCACACAAAATATATTGTGTGATAAAGAGAAAAACTCAAATCGACTCACTTCTTCAGCATTCAAGAATGGGGGGCACAAAGTATCATTCATAACAATTAGTTAATTCATTACACATTGCCTGTAATCCATCAAAGAATTGCGGTACTATGGTTCAAAAAAAACACTATAATGTATATTTAAAATGAATGGAGAACTCTCCACTATCATCTGGTAAGCCAGCACGTTTTCCAGCTTTTTCCTGGAATTCTCTTAATCCTGCCATCACTACTTCAACCACATTATTGTCGCTCTTGAAGCTCATCATCTGATTGTCCCATCAATCGTAATATCACAGTAACTACATAACACTTCTCAATATGCCACACATGAAGCCGGCTAAAATATGGAAGCAGGCAGAAAGAAATCATCTCCAGCATCTACTTCAAGAAAGACACAATGAGGGGAGGTATTGGAAGGACAGTGGAACTAGTATAAAGTTTTTCACCAAAAAGATGAATGAGGAATTTTTGAGAGAGTGGGTAGAAAACCATCCAGATTCCAGGCAATTTGAATTGCCAGGGAGTGAAACGGATTCGGATGAAGAAGGAAGAGATGAGGGAGATAGAGATGATCATGGAGGTAGAGAAGCAGTTACAGAGAAAGCGCCAGAGGGACAAGGAGAAGATGGACAGGATAGCCAAGGAGCACAAGATACAGGAGATCAAGACGAAGAGGGAGAGGATAGTGATGCGGATGAGGAAAGGGGGAGAGGACGCGAGAGAAAAGCAGGAGGGAAGAGCGGTGCAGCGGAATCCCGAAAGGCGAACAAGAAATTGCCAAAGAGAGAGCAATAGTTGAAGGCATGAGAACTGTTCAGGCGCCACCTGTTGAGAGATTGGGGGAATGAAATTAGGATAGCATTATCTGCAGCATGCAGATAGATACAAAATGATAACATTGGTGAGGTATTCGAACTAAATGTTAACTTCGCCAATTACCATGGGTAAGATCAAAGAGTGAAGTCAGCTAGAGCAACTACAGTCGTGGAAGAAGTTGTATCTGCTCTATATATATCTCATACTCAGGGTTTTACTCCTATAACTATACACGCTGTTAAGGTTTGTCAATTAACTTCAGATGTATATAGAAAAAAGCCATGCGTTTGCATGAAATCTTAGCATATAAACTTTGATAGGCAAAGCAAAGGAAACTTCCGATATCAATGTTAGATATTTGTTCAGTGGGGTACATTAGATACAAGGAGGCTGAAAAGATATGGGGGTATCGCGATGAATAGAGAACTGTGTATGACCATTTTGAACGCGATTTGCAAACAAAGATATTTGCTAGTAAGCTAGGTTGGAAAGATTGGAGCTAGATGCGTCGAGTTAAAGGGGTGCATCAGTTCGTAGTCTACAAAACAGAGAAATACAAGAGGGATATTGATGTAATGATTTATGTAAGACTGATTCACATAAAAGGATGAATATACACTCAAGATATGTATATTTCAACATCCAGGTAGGTAAATCAAATCGATGATATAGAGATTGGTTCAAAGACTCGCGTCATTTGATAGACTTGTATGTGGTTTATGTACGGCAGAAACATTGCTTCTCCTCACTTATACACGCAAAGTCATGTATACTATAAAGATAAAAAGTTGTCAGCCTGTTAACTGAATACAATAAATAAAGTGAAAAGCAGAATCTCAGCGCCAAATTTCATGTTCTTAGAGAGCTGGATATGAAACATGAGAGGCTGTTTGGTAAGCTAGACCAGATAGGTATATGTCGTTGAAAAGCTGCATTGTATACTGGGAAATCATGGAGCACTGTTCCTCCTATCATGTCACCCAGCCTCCAAACACTTTTTTGGACCAATAATTAAGATTGGATGTGCAATAAATGCATCCTCAAGTAGTTCTAGTGACAAATGATTGAAAGTAGATATGCCACAGGAAGTTATTATCAAGTTTTCATTATATATATCTTCCGTTCTTGGGAAGAAATTGTTGTTTTGACAAATAGTTGGGATGAGATGTACAACATGATATTCTTACAACTTGTCAAAATATGTAATAGGGTGAATAATCACCAGGCACATGGAAAATTGAAGATGTGGAAGATAATGTGATGAAAATTTCAACATGCTATTTTGTTTTCATGATCTGCAATGGTCAAGGAAAGATATATAGAGTATCTATCTAAGTCAATTAAATATACCACATCTATGAATGACAATGTATGTTTAAACGCCCCTCTATCTCCTTTACTGTGCTATACTACCGCGACCTTCGGAATTGCAGCACACAGAGATGTGCAACCTCATTTGTTCAACCCTTGGAGCAAATTGTCTACAGATACATCTAGACAGGCAGTACAAAGTCAGGAGTGTGGAAGAAAATACACAGTGTTCCATTCTAAACTCGCTCAAAGCAATGACATGAACAGAAAGCTATCAATTGTAAATGTGAATGAAGGCAAAGAATGCTAATTCTACCTTTAGCTCCTACATCGTCACCCGAACTATTCTCCCATATCCAACTTTACTATCCGGGTATGTGGCTGATGTAGATATGCAACAAACCTAACTCTCGACAACCAGGAGATGACGCATATAATCTAGGAGGAAAGTTGTAATCGCAATCATATTTGAAATTTCAATGAATCTAGATGGGAAGAGCGACTATGATGCCTATATTCTACTTGTAGAAACAAGTCGCTCTATCTTCAAACAGCAGATGTCAATATGCTTCCATCTATTACATTATAGGTTTCTCTCCGGTCGGCTCAAGAATAGAAAGTTTGATATTTTCTAGCGCAAATGGCGCAATAGATACCTACTCTTGGGTTTCCGGGCACAGATGCACTTGTTGTAAACGTGAAGGATAGTGATTTCATTACAAGTGCTACTCTGGCCAGACTATATTCCCAGAGTCGCAACCGCTATGTAAAGCCTAATGGCACACCAAGATCATATTCTAACCCAATCCTAATCATCACATGTAAAAGTGTTTCTAGATTTATGGAATACTCTCTAGTCTATTGATTTCGGTATATGATATAAGTTCCCCGGATGTACACCGCATCATTACCTCTTTAGTAAAGAATGAATGACCAATCAATCTTGTGAAACCCCGATCTACTAGAGCCAAGTTGTCAAATGCAACTAAACTAGTCCAGATGTCAGATGTCATCGGATATTTCTTGCTTATTAACTACGAGCAGGCTCTAAAATAGCGATCTTTACCACAACTGTACAAGTCACCCAACCCATCAGTTTGACCATTCAACTACAAGGTAATCAGAAAAATATTCAAACCGATAGGATAATGAATATCAAACCCCAGTCGCAGAGCTAAAAAAGAGTCAAGGTCTAAGTAAGTCGTTCTCTTAGCAACAAATTACCTAGTGCCTCAAAACCCCAAACGAATCAAAATACCATCGATTTCCTCTAGTATACGATATACCGAGAAGACTCTAAGAGGGAGGAAGACCAAATCAATACTAAAATAGAGGTGATGTGTAGATCCCCCAGATTTGGATAAGCTGTCAAATTCCCAAAATAGCTAGAACACGCTACTGACGTGTATTCCAAAAGAAGGAACGTCATATTGACGTCAAGAACAACATCAATATGCATGATTAAATCGACACCGTTTTAAGCCAAGTCGATGCCAAGTATACCCATGAGCTTAATTCTCCGCATGATGGAATAAAAATAGAAAAGATGAAATAGTACTTGGGATGATCGACGACAAGCGTAGTTCAAAGGCGCGGGGTGAGTCTCGCACACAACCTGAGTCCAAGGATAGAGCTGAATATGAGTTGGCTTTGGCGATCCCCCAACCTCACGATGCTAGCAGGAGGAAGTTTAAAGTTTGCAAGTACAGTACATATTCCTCTCTCTCTCATTTGGTACACGGTAATTTAGGGCAGAGATATGTCTGCAGAGCTGAAAAAGATCGAATGCAAGTACACGTGGTGAAAGAAAATTGTTAGATTCGTAGTAAGGAAGGCCTTTCGAGTAATACAGTGCATATTCCTCTCTGTACATAGTATACACCAACACCCATGAAGTTGTAGATCTCAGAGGGAAGTCCTTGTTGAGAGAAAACTTTATGTACAGGGAAAATGTTATTGAAAGTACAAAGTATGTTGCTCTGCGTACATACTACTTGATACCCAATACTTTAAACTAGCACCTAATGACCACCAAGAACGAAGAAATAGAGCCGGGCTATCTCAGAAGAGACGGTCACTTATCAAAAGAGCTAACACCATCGCAAAAAAATCTCTTCCTCTTATACCATGCTCATTTCGAATCCAGCTGTCATCGACGAGAAGAACCACGACGGTCTAAAACTCGAACTTCAACCCAATCTTCAATTCTGAATAATCCGGCCAGCGCCAATATCATTGTTGATGACATCTTCGTTCTCCAATCCAGAGTTGGCTTGTTGCCTACTTGCGAAGCGATCGCAGTGGAATTCTGGTACCATCACCGGAACAGAGAATAAAGTTCGAATAACACTCGTACTGTCGGTACCATATGCCAATACCGGTTGATGTGCCAGTGGCAGTGGCAGAGTAGTTTATCAACATTCTCTAGCCTTGGGCTGAAATAAGGAATTGATGCAAAAGTCGCCGACGCAGCCTAGCTTTTACATCATAAAGTTGGCTTCAACAGAATTTTTCCAACCAAAGTCTCGCTACTCAGGAGACCTTACTTGTGGATGTAACCAGAGATTATCGAACACTCCTTCAATTTAGCGGTAACGGAGTTGCTCGCAAGCGGAATTGCAATCGACAGCGTCGACCAAGCAATTATACGATGTAGAGTACCATCCGGCAATTCCTCACCCCTTCTCGTCGCGATATTCTAAAATCTAGACCATCTTTTCTGAATCCATTTCCAATTTGACTAACACACACATTCATCTATCCATCTATCTAATTCCAGCTTCGTACATTTGTACCCACTGAGGTATATTTTCTACTGGTTCTGCCAAAAACCGGGCCTTCTGCTATTACCCTCCATCCCATATGACGGCGAAATAAATCCTTCAATCCTGTCGCGTAACTCAACATGGAAACATTCTCTACCGACGCGTCTCACTTCCGTCTCACGAATCACAGCAAGATATCGGAACAATCGGCTCCAAGCCCACATATGTAAATCTCACTGCAAAAAATTATATCCCAGTAAATCCCTCATTGAAAAAGATGTTTCTTCCACGCGGTAAGAACGGCACATACGATCGGTCAATTCTTTGTGTTTCTCCGATGGAAAATATATGGGGTCTTTGAGGCATCTTCCGATAATCAATACCGGCAACCCACACTAAACTGCCTGTAACGCTGTAACGCTACAATTGAGATAATTGGATAGCCTATAGCAATCCCCGGGTATGTATAAGCTATGTCCCTACATACATACAAAATTCTCCACCATAAACCACAAACTGCGGAACTGAAATTGACTTTGAAGTTTGAGGCGAACGAGCGACCCATCGTTCAAAATTCGCCACGTAGACTTGCGTATTTGGTTTCTCTTGATATCTGGATTATATTAATTGACTCGTTTGGGTAATAGTCTAGAAGGATCTTGGAAGCCATAGAATCTTCTTAGTGTGGACAGGGCTGATTCGTGTTATGTGATACCTCCCCGAACTATCTCCATATTCTCCCTGTCATACGGCATCATTTGAGTCGGTCTGATTTGTCCAAAGAGGTACATGAGTAGTGGTGATGTTTGCAGATATGCATGTATCCTAAGGTAACTTGGTAGCGTACCATCCGTCAGTAGCCAGCCCAGCCCCAAGAAATGATCAAGCCCGGAATCTTCAATTCCCTTCCCCAAAACCGTAAGATTCTCGTCTCCACCGAGCAATATCATCCCGAAGTAGGAAGAGATCTCTCTCTGCAATAACTTGTCTCAGGTTCAATAATCTCCACAAATGAAGCTCTCCTTCGTCTTGTTCTTCTAATTTCTCTGCATGTAGCTCTGCATGTACTTGCCCGTCAATTAGTAAATCTCTCAGGCGCTCCATATGCAACCCCGCCAATTGCTCCACAAACCAAGTTCGTGTGATATGATCCCGCTTTGAATGAACAGCTCCAATAGTAAATAACCAAATCAGCCATTGACATGTTTGTTCTGTGGTTGTCGCGGTATCAATTGTGGACAGAGATTCTTGTAATTGTTGTAAGAGGATAGAAGGACCAGTAGAAGAATGTGGGTATTCTTCAAGTATCGACTTCATGAATAGTAGAGCTCCGATACGAGTTGCTTTGTCGACAATAGGTTCTCGGTTTCCTTCTAGAGACAGGGGAAATGATAACAATTCATACTCAATCCAGTAAATATCATCGAGAAAATCTCCTGGGTCGAGAAGAATTCTGCTTAATGAGGCGAACTGTATGGACTGGTAAAAGATAGCTAGATATTGCATTATCCGTATGAGATTTGAGTGAATACCGCATCTAGCGAGTGAATTTTCAGTGTAACTATTGATGGCACGGATCCTATGCACCGGTAGAATTTTAGATATTGATATTTCAGAATGACTTCGTGGCTTATAGTAAAGATATGGCTCAGCAGCATAATCAATCGCACCAGTGATATCAGACCTTGAAGATAATTAGAATGCGCATTTTCTACATTTTAGTAAAATCACCTACCGACGAAGTTTCGTCTGTATAATCATAGGAAGAGACGACATCGTGCCTCGCGTAGTTATCATTTGTTGTATGCCACGCATATGAATATGCCATAAATCTGAATGGCCTGTATTTGCCTAAGTGGAAGTTTAGTAAACATCGAATAATCACGTAGCAAAATTTGATATCGAAATTTAAACATACTTCTCCCAAAGCTACACACGACAAAGCAGCAATAGTGCTATCGTCTGCTGGTTTCCCATTCTGAAGTTTTTCCTTGACTATTTCTAAGGTTTTGCCAAGGTGGTACACAGAATCTTCCGAGTCTTTCCCACCTTGAAGCAAGGAGAGATAGATTGCGCCAGCATATAATATCGCATGAAACATTGCTGCATCGTTGATTGTAAAACGAAACCATTCATCTGAACGTAGAGGATTGGAAGAAAGATATCTGGATAACGGGTACATTCTCGAACTAACATGCGTAAAATATCGACTCAGCAACCGGTGCGTTCTTGTCGTCATCTCAATAGGCCATGGAGACAAGCTGAGTGCAGTCGGAAACCCGATGAGATCCTCAATAATAAGACCATCATGTTTGTGATAATCAGATGTGACAGACTTGGGCTCCACGAAAGGTTTTATACATTTCGAACGGAGTTTCGGATTCCCTTTACTTTTCCGAGTCGTTTTGCTTATGAAATCATTCCTCACATGCTTCCGTACGAACTTTCGTACATTGACATCTGTTTTTGTCCCAGAAGATGATAAATCGACAAATGCGAACTTTTGTTTTGGTCCTCCCTCATTGCAGTTGATATTTGTGGCCGATAAAGGATCAGTTGAGGTTGAGGATTTGCTTTCCACCTGACTTTCTTTGAAGGAAGATTCTGTGGAAAGCCACCGAATTTTACCTGGGATATTCCAATTCTTATATACATTGACTTTGGGACCATCTGTACCTATAAGCTGTGTAGCATCCATCATGGTGAGGGATATAAAACTTGAATTCAACGTCTTGAAGGCAAAAATGAGGGAATTTTACCAAAGAGGGGTAATAATCTTGCCCTTTCACGTTACAAGAAAGAGTACACGAATTATCACAATCAGATGAGAATATTTGAGGAAGAAATATCCCACAGGCAACGAAGACAAATTCAAAGCATTTGATGCTTATCAAATCCTCAAAATTCCAGATTTGGAAGTTGAAATCTCCTCTTTGGGTAATTGCCGTTTACTTTTGGAGATGCGGGTCATTTCTGTGTAACAAAAACTCACGTAATCAATAATTTCTTTTCGGATTGCAGTTCAACGACAGTTCGTAAGGATATAAGGGTATCGAGAATTAAGGATTAGAAATGCATCATTATAATTAATACGATGTGTTGATTTGGAAGTTTCAATCCGCGATATGGTTTAGATGTTGGTTGTGAAAATCAGTTGTACAAGTAATCCGGGTCTATGTGGCAAGTTTTTGATATCAAAGTAAGGAAGAAGGTTCAACTTGATCAAAGCAGCAATTATGATGTATTTCATTGACTTTCTAGATTCAACCCTTTCTTCTAATTACGAACAATTCACACTCTCAGCGACTCTGGCATTGGAACAACTGGTTATCACCTACCATCAGCCATTCAACTATAGACTATAGACCACACCCATAGACCACATCCTAATATCACATCCTCAACCTCAATCCTCCACCTCTCGAATAGAGCCTCACCTTATCAAACCCCAATAAAGCAACTCCCAAACCACAGATGCTGACTCCCAACGCCATCTCCAGCCATAACACAATCGCTTCTTTCTTCTTCCACTCCAAGAAAACATGAAACACCCAGTACATTCTACCTTCGCCCATGAAAGAGGACCGAGCTTGTAGCTCGGTCGCTAAATTGAACTGACTCCTGAGATGATTTGCATATCATATACAGATCTTCCCGTGCGCACGAACAAGCGCCCTCCATCTTGACCTCGACCGTGAAGGAAATGCCCTACCGTATGTCAAAATGTTTGGAGAGTATGCTTGGTATGTCTGAGGATCGTTTAGATTTTTAAAACCGTGTGATTGGTGTCATTACCGTGCCCTAAAAATTCCGATCGAAAATACCAGTGAAACGACAAACCAATTCACCTAACATATCCTATTTGAAAATTTTATTTCGCCAAATTTCCACAGATATTTATTGTTCGTTTCAACATGTATGGGGCAATTCAGGCCAAGCATACAGACCCTTTTCTTGGAAGCTTCACAATGATGGGGTCAAAACTATATGGCGGGGTGAATTTCAGACGAAAGTCAAACCCCGCCCCTTGAGTTTTGTGTTTTGTTGGGAGTTTGATGTTGATGTTATTTCTGAAAATTGGGATATTTTCGAACGTGTCAAACCCGACATTGAACATTGGTACCTTGTTTGATCTTTTTTTTGTGAGTCTTGAATTCTGAAATTGGGATGTGATCGAGACACTTGTCGCAATGAGAAAGGAGGATTGAGCTGCTCAATAGGACGATATCTGCTCATTCCATGGATGCCGTTTGATTTTTTTCTTGGTATCAACTCATTCTTTCCTATTGTCTAGGATTTCCTGTATGAATAAATGAATCCAAGATTCCATATCGTGTGATCTCCATATAAAAAATTCTCTCGAAACCAATCCCACAAGAGATACTTGGGGCAGAGTGGGAGCAACATGAACCGAAAGCACCAAGAAAAAAATCGACTTTGGTCCGAAGAAGGGACGAAAAGCGTGATGAGACGGCATTTGATTTGAATTGTTTGACTTTTCATTACAGATGTGAATTGAAATGTAAATTGGAAACGATACACCCTTCAATTAGCTCCATCTGCAGCCCATCCCGCTGCCGACTTCGGGAATTTTAGATCAAAGCACGATTTAACAAGTTTTGTAAGGTCTTTCCTGGTAGTTTCGCGCCCTACCGTATTCAATGACTCTATTCGAGATCTCACACTCCAAAATCTTCACCCGTCAAGACATTTACTGTGTAAGCTAGATAATTCGAAAAACCACTATGTATGAACACGAATCATGTTGTTGAAAATCAACCATACTTTCGTGGGGTGTCTAAACAAGTCCATTGGCCTATAAATTTCGTACCATAAGGTCCGTGGAGGTGCAGATTGGCGTCGGAGGAAACTGGAAACATTAACCAACGGCTCCAAGGATTTCCCCTTCATTGTCGCTTAATTTCGCACCTAGTTTTTGTAGTGGTTTGTATGCTCGTGCACCCATCAAATCAATTCCCCAAGTAGTAATGAAATTGGGAAGCAGCTGAGAAACTAATCATCCTTTGCTCGATTGTCATTGGAAGAACATAATGTCTGCAATCTGTCAAGACTTTCTTCCATGCAGTAGTGAGATAAAATTTTGTTCTTCGTTTCGTCGATTGTCCTGTCGGATTGACCGGCGCTGGCGTAGGTTACGTATAGCCTAGATAGCACTCGACTTTCTCATTTTTAGGTCATTGCTGCTTGGCCTAATAGGCTTGAACGCCTAGAAGACGCCTAGAATAAGATGTATTGAGGTTGTACCACACACACCTAAACAGTGCTTGAGAAAAATCGAAATTTGGAATATTGTTGCCAGATTATCTTGTTTTCATCTCATCTCATCGGGGAGAGCGATCAAACCAGTCTCTGCAGGCAGGTCGAGAAAGCTGAGCTTGGAAAACGAAAGGTGGCGGCAAACTCGTAAACTTCCAATGGTTCGCTCTGACTTACATACGGATTCTTACATCAATTAATTGATCAAATCAAGGTATTTTTTCTTGCTTGCTCGCGTGCCTGTCGCATAAAACCCCTTGCGAATGAGGGATATAAAATATTTCCGGTTTGCCCCCCTCCCCCCTCCCCCTCCAAGACCAGGGCCCCAGTTCCCGATCAGATTCTGACGTATGTCTCTCACTGTACCTACCTGCCTTGTGTAATCACCCCCAAAAGAAATTAAATGTGCTGTTCGTAGAAGCCGACATTCACGTGATCAAAATAAACTTCCTTTTCGTCACCAAGTGTCGCATCCGTAAATCGCCCATTGTGTAAGTAAAGAGTTACATTGCATTTGCAGCATCTAAAATTCTGCAGGGTTCAAATTTGACCGATGAGATGAGGCGAAACCAAACCAAACGGCCGAGAATGAGGATCAAGCTGCAAGACGAAAACTCTACTGCTTCATGGCAAATATGATTTTACTAGGATTTTTACGGTATGCGAGTAGTCTTACTAAGGATGTAGGAAGAAGTCTCAGGAAGAGCGCTGTTGGCGAGCAGAAACCAAGACTTGGAGCGTCTGCGACTATCCATGGGGTAGTTTGATACCCCAAGGGAAAATACGGAGTACCCCAAAAAATAAGGCCCTTTTTCAGAAACAGACCTGAATCCCTGAATGTCAGTTATTTGTCCGAAGTTTATCAAGGTGGGTGATCTATTCTGGGCAGATTTGATATGGATGAGAGAGGAATATTTGACACAGGATTAATTGGCTACGCCATGCTAACACAGCTTTGTGACGCTGATAGAGTTTCTTGGTGTTGAATGGACAAATCTGAACGCAAGGAGGGCGATTCGTTTCGTAATAATATGATATTAGCATTTGTAGACTTCTGGATACCACGACGTCAACAACATCACTACGTTCATCGTGTGATATGTCAATCCTACTAACTTGTCTATCTAATTCCTAAAGATGCAACAGATCGGATTGTGTGAATAAATTAGGATGAAACTTAAGTTTCCTACCAAGCAAATGCCACGCCAACGATAAGCATGCCCAGCACTCATTGTATTGCAACCAGCCATTTTGTGTTCATATGCAGATGAAGAAAAGATGATGTTATCGCAGGCTTTCGGAGCCAACGCAGGTAACCTGAGGTATTTTTAGTTCTAGGCGCTCAAATGGAACTGACGGTATTAATTCCGAGGCTATTGCAATGGGATGAAAGGGATGTAACGGTATCACTACATTGGGAGCCTCGGATCGGATATATTGGATAATTACGTCGTTACCTAGAGCCGACCAGACGACTATTATAATTGCGATAGGGAATTTGAGGGAATTGAACGGTTATTACGGTATCCTTTCGGTATTTCCAATACCAGTATTCCTCACACCGGTCAAAAGTGGAGGTTGAGATGAGAGCGCTTACTGGACGTTGGTCGAGCTGACCTAATTTTTAAAGACATTCCGAGCGACAGAAGGTTTGTATAGTGGAAGGATGAACACTTCCTTCATCCACCCATCGTATTGCCAAAGAGAGACGCATGAGGCTACCGATGCGCAGTTGGTAGGTTCCGTCGCGTCTTCTCCATTTGCAAATGGTATGCAAAGAGGTTCGTATGTTTTGACCGCGTTATGTGTTATTTCTTATTGAATTTTCTCCAGTATTTCTTGGGGGAAGAGAGGCCGAGTGCCGGGAAGAGGAGGAAGAAGCCCTTTTACCCTGCACCGTACTCAGACTCACTCATTTTGACGATAACTTAATATTACCCAAAGCAATTGCAGTATCTATGAATTCATATCCAGGTTATTTAGATAACTATCTACAGTGTTGTATAATAAGTTTAGTCCAAGTAAATAAACCATTTCGATCGCTCCACCTCTAAAATGTCAATTTCACAATCAAGCTTTCCCTAAACAATTAGTCTCCATCTCCACCCAGGTTCCCCTTGTCATTGACATGAGAATTGATGCAAGATCTGATGATCCCAGTATATGCCTCCGTATTGTCTCAATTGTATCCCGCCGAATAACTGCACGGTTCTGGAGAGATAACCTGCGATTGCAAGAGTGACAGTGTAAATAACAAGCCTTAGTAACGTCATACTTAGCGCAATTGTAATCATGCCGCAATGCCGGGGGAGATGAGAGTGAATGAGTGGAGTGAAAGTTATTGCAATGCGGTGGTACGGTGAGGGGAGAGGGGAAGGTGAAAGGGGGAAATCTATGGGCTGGGGAGGGAAACACTGGAAGCGAGAAATGAAGGGGAAAAATGAAATTCTAGAAGTGTATCGCTGGTGGGAAAAAAAACCCAGTGTAGCGGCGGTTTCGGCGTAGGCGTGTGGGATATAATTTGTGGCGTTCATGGCGTTCAACTTACCCGTATCTGTGTGGGATTTGAGCGTGGGATGTAGCATTGATTGTTTCTAGTTTGTATCTCCTTTGGAAGAACCTTCCTCGAGCCCAGACAGCGGCGCGGCTCCTCGTACTTGCTGAAGTCAAAGTTTCAAAAAATCATTTCGATAGTTTTTTACGTTTCTGAAAGAATGGCTTGGACGAAGATCTCCGGTGATGTTGGTCGAGGACAAGACGACTTGATGCTTGGCCAATACAATAGGTGCACCGTGGTGCAAAGGAATATCACCTTGGCAGCAGTCAATACCGAGTAATATTCAATGCCGATGAGATGAGAGTAAGAACCTGAGTAGAATTTCAATGTCTTGGGTCATTTAAAGGATTCAGATACTTTTCAAATCAATTTCAAATTGAGATATTTTGAAACAAGGTCTCTCCCATATTGATGTTGTGCCGCCCGTCATCAATCCCACGTTGTTTTGTTCACGGTTTGAGTTCATGAAGGAGTTGTAGTTTGCAGGGAGTGACTTGATAAAAATCTCCAATTCTTCGAATTGTTTGACAGCGACGCAGAAGCGTCTAACCCTGAAGAAAACAACAGCAAAGCAGAATGTAATCAAAGCAGTAAATTCGTCTTGTGTGTAGATACGATCGACTGTGTTGTTTTCTAGGGCCAAAGAACTTCATGGCTCAAATTCCCCCGTTTTCAATTTTGCAAGTTGCAATCTGCCATCGATGATATCTTCCCCCGTACCCTGCTGTTCGCCTTGCTTACGGTCACCCCGTCCAGACCCAGGTCCCAGCACCCATTTTCATCCCGCAACAGCCATTACCTACCGTATTTTGCCCCATACCACTACTGCTTGTAAAATGAAGTAAACAAACTGACTGATCCGCCAACCGACTGCAAACAAACAATCATTGGACCATTCGTTTGGGATGGGATAGGGAAGCGTGGGTGAAGATAAGTTGCAAATTACTATTTGCAATTTTGGAATCTTGCGGACTCTTGTCCAATGAGATAAGCTCGATGGTATAAAATTATGATTTGGGAAATTATGAAGATCGTGAGATGGAGTTCTCATCTTATTTTTTCTCGTAGTTACATGTGAGTTGGCAATTGAGAGATGAGATACTAGACAACAACGCGTTCTACTCATTAATCACATAACAGGTAAATCACGCCTAGGGCTGTAGAAGGGAAAGTATGCTCACCACAGTACTTTCCGAAGGCATACCGAGAGATCTCCCAATCTCCCTAGTTCTTGAAGAAAAATAAGCAAAAGTGTGAAATTCATTATACGTTATTCCATGTTAGATTCGAAACGCTGAGTAGACGCGGCAAATGTACGAGGAGGTTGGGAAAGGAGCGAGTTTAGCAGGCAGCTTTCAAGCCTTGACATTGCACAGTCAACAGTGCGCTATCAGCTCTGTAGGTAGTCATCTCAGAAATGCTGATGGGTACAGTCAATGTAGCACATGTATTTACGATACTTTGATGCATGCAGTGATTCTCATGTGCATCTAGATCTTGCAGTAGTAATCGGGAGTACATAGCCATGAGCCAGAAAGCATCTTTCTTCCATCTCTGCGCACCGAAAATCCCTATAGCATCTGCCGAATGACTGCCCCCCCCGTGTTTACCCCTTCATCACTCTCGCCACGACATACATGCCTACATGTCGATTGCAGTGAATTTGTTGATACAGCGGATTCCATCCTCGCCAACACTACCGGTTTTCATTAATCATAATGTTATATGCCATCCTCCAACTGATTCATGATTGCTACCATTTTCTTGTCATACGTATAGAACAGCCAGCCTACTGATTGGCCAATTGATAACTTCCTATCTGATAATGAAGAGTCGTCATTCGCTGAGCCGACCCAGCTTCCGACTCACCGATACATTAACCAGGACCTGAACTTGACTTCAGCAGTGACTGAATAGATCTAAACTCAATATAAACCAAGAAACATTGGCAATTACTCCAAGAGGACATGTCGGGAGGTGACGCTGAGAGAAAGGCTGGAGATTACTACTCAGTCTAGATTAGCCGGGCAGGTTTTCGATAGTTAATGCTGGGTAACTCGGCTTGCTCTTCCCAGGTAGAGAATTATCGAAGGAAGGGCAAAAAGTTGATCTGTCAAGGATATTAATCGGATATTGAAGGGATCTTTACTTAATTGGGGGCAACAGTCGAACGCTAAGCCGGGTCTAGCTAAGAGGTAAGGTTTTTAATGGAGCATTTAGGAAATCATTTGAAAATCCCTCACCAAAAATCAAAACAATCCGCCATGAACTACCATGACGCTAAAAGTAATATCATCCACTTTCTCTATCATTACGGTGACCTTTTTTAACTTCAACCGGTAGAAAACTTTCCTAAGCTCATCGTTGGTTTCTGCCCCAGACCCTCGCCAGATATACCAGACTTTACTCAAGCTTACCCATGGATCTAGTTCAAGGCCCCCCAGTAGCTTCTTTTCCAATTCACAAGTCATGCCGCCAAAACTGTCTGTGACCACCGTCCGAGGATGACGCCGAAGGGTGAAGAAGAAAAATCAAAAATCGACCTTACCCAATCTTGCTTGGGACTAGGATAGTTAATCACACTCGGTCTCTCAGATATATAATCTGCTATCGTCCCCCAATTCCAGTTTCTTTTTTTTTTCAGTCTACTCAGTTTGCCTTTGTCACGGTGGGAGTTAATAATAATCTTTCCTTCATCCTACCACACTAAAGCGCAATGGCTCACGGAGACATTGAGAATGGCGCTTCGGCGGCCAGACCAGAGTACGAAGACGAAAAACTCGGAGAATATGGACAACTCGTTCGATATATTTCAAAGTATAAGGGAAGAGAAGAGGGAGAGAAGCTCGCTGCCGAAGAAGAAGAGGCTGCCAACGCTGGCAAGAAGAAGAAGGGCAAGAAGTCCAAGGGCAGTGATGGAGCTGGTTTCGAGACCCCAGATGACTGGCTCAACACCGGTATGCGACAAGGTCTCTCTGCCAGCGAGGTCGAGAACCGTCGTAAGAAGACCGGATGGAACGAATTGACCACTGAAAACGAGAGCTTGTTCTGGAAGTTCATCGGTTTCTTCAAGGGTCCTGTCCTCTATGGTAAGTCAACTTCAATCCGCTCTATATGAATTCGACTAATCTCGGCGATAGTTATGGAACTTGCTGTCCTCCTCGCCGCTGGTCTGCGTGATTGGATTGATTTCGGTGTTATTATCGGTATTCTCATGCTTAACGCTGTCGTCGGTTGGTATCAAGAAAAACAAGCTGCCGATGTCGTTGCTAGTTTGAAGGGTAAGCTATTGCACCAATTCGCACATCGCCATCTCGTTGCTAACCTCAATCATAGGTGACATTGCGTTGAAGGCTACTGTTGTTCGTGATGGTGCTGAAGTTGAAATCTTGGCTCGTGAATTGGTTCCTGGTGACATTGTAAGTTACACCACATTGACATCGCATCAATGCGCGATCACATCACTAACATTCTGCCAATAGATCATTATCGAAGATGGACATGTCGTTCCCGCCGATGCTAGAATTATTTGCGCCTATGATGACCCTAACGGATACGAAACTTACCAACAAGAACTCCTCAACCAACGCAGCCACGAAATGAGCGAAAAGGAAGAAGATGATGATGATGATGCACACGGAGGAAAGCACGGTTCCGGCTATGCTCTTCTCGCTATCGATCAATCTGCCATGACTGGTGAATCTTTGGCTGTCGACAAGTACGTCGCTGATGTTATCTACTACACTACTGGTTGCAAGCGTGGAAAGGCCTATGCCGTTGTCACCCACGGTGCTCGCATGTCCTTCGTCGGTCGTACTGCTTCCCTCGTTACTGGTGCTCAAGATCAAGGTCATTTCAAGGCTATCATGAACTCCATCGGTACGTCTTTGTTGGTTTTGGTCGTCGGCTGGATCTTGATCTCCTGGATTGGTGGTTTCTTCCGTCACTTGCACCTCGCTACCCCAGAACACTCTTCCGTCAACTTGCTCCATTACGCTCTTATCCTCTTGATTGTCGGTGTTCCCGTCGGTCTCCCAGTCGTCACCACCACCACTCTCGCTGTCGGTGCCGCATACCTCGCTGAGGAGAAGGCTATTGTTCAAAAGCTTACTGCTATTGAGTCCCTTGCTGGTGTTGATGTTCTCTGCTCTGACAAGACTGGTACTCTCACTGCCAATCAATTGTCCATTCGTGAACCATTCGTCGCTGAGGGTGTCGATGTTAACTGGATGATGGCTGTCGCTGCTCTTGCTTCTTCCCACAACGTCAAGTCTTTGGATCCTATCGACAAAGTTACCATTCTTACCTTGAAGCGTTACCCAGCTGCCCGTAAGATCCTTGAACAAGGATGGAGAACTGAGAACTTTGCTCCTTTCGACCCTGTCTCCAAGCGTATTACTGCTATCGTCGTCAAGGATGGTGTTACCTGGACTTGTGCCAAGGGTGCCCCAAGTGCTATCTTGAGAATGTCTGAATGTTCCGCTGAGGTTGCCGCTATGTACAAGGCCAAGACTTTGGAATTCGCTCGTCGTGGTTTCCGTTCTCTCGGTGTTGCTGTTAAGGAAGGTAACGGACCATGGCAATTACTTGGTATGCTTCCTATGTTCGACCCTCCCCGTGAGGATACTGCTGCCACCATCGCCGAAGCTCAAGTTCTTGGTCTCTCCGTTAAGATGTTGACTGGTGACGCTATCGCTATTGCCAAGGAAACTTGCAAGATGTTGGCTCTCGGTACCAAGGTTTACAACTCTGACAAACTTATCCACGGTGGTCTTACTGGTACTACCCAACACGATTTGGTTGAGCGTGCCGATGGTTTCGCTGAAGTCTTCCCTGAGCACAAGTACCAAGTCGTCGAGATGTTGCAACAACGTGGACATTTGACTGCTATGACTGGTGATGGTGTTAACGACGCTCCTTCCCTCAAGAAATCTGACTGTGGTATTGCTGTCGAGGGTGCTACTGAAGCCGCTCAAGCCGCCGCTGATATCGTTTTCCTCGCCCCTGGTCTTAACACTATCGTCTCTGCCATCAAGATCGCTCGTCAAATTTTCCAACGTATGAAGGCTTATATTCAATACCGTATTGCTCTCTGTCTCCATTTGGAAATCTACTTGGTTACCTCCATGGTTATCATCAACGAGACTATCCGTGTTGAGCTCATTGTTTTCCTCGCTCTCTTCGCCGATTTGGCTACCATCGCTGTCGCTTATGACAATGCTCACTTTGAACAACGCCCTGTCGAATGGCAATTGCCAAAGATTTGGATTATCTCTGTCGTCCTCGGTATCCTGCTCGCTCTCGGCACCTGGGTCATGCGTGGTGCTCTCTTCGTACCAAATGGTGGTTTCATCGAGAACTTTGGATCTATCCAAGGTATGCTCTTCTTGGAAGTCTCCCTCACTGAGAACTGGCTCATCTTCGTCACCCGTGGTGGTAACACCTGGCCATCGTGGCAATTGGTTATCGCTATCTTCATTGTCGATGTCATTGCTACTCTCTTCTGTGTCTTCGGTTGGTTGTGTGGCGGAGCTGGTGAGCCATCTGACCCAGTTACCCGCAACGTTCTCCTTTCCGAGAACGGCCACACTTCTATCGTCACTGTTGTCATCGTTTGGGGTTACTCCATCGGTGTTACCATTGTCACTGCCATTGTCTACTACTTGTTGAACCAATGGTCTTGGTTGGACAACCTTGGACGTGCCAGACGCAGCCACGCTGATACCCAAATGGAGAACATCATCGCCCATCTCTCCAAGGTTGCTCTTGAACACTCCCAAGTTGACGGCGTCCACCGTTACCACATTGTTCAAAAGCAAGCTGAGGTTGAGGATGATGATTAGATTATCTCATTCCTGATCTGAGCACTTCTCTCTTGCATAGACAAGTCAGATGAAAAAGTAAAAAAATATTTAAAAGTCACAAAAAATCTGGAAATTTCACATGGAGAATATGGAGAAAGACAGGCGTTCCTAATATCCCCTCGTCATCCTCAATTCGGCATTGTCATTGTGGTTGCGAAACAACTTGTCAACATAGTTTGCCAGTATAGAGCTGCAAACGTTTCGACTCCCCATTGACTTGTCGTTATACACCTTTAATTGTCGCCTCACCTTAATCCATACTATTTACACCTTATAGACCTTTATTACGAGATGCGAGATTTTCAATTATGTTTTATGTTTTATGTTTGAATAGTACCTATAGATGGGTAAATGGGTTGGGATATTCCAGGGATGTGTTTATGTCACAGGAGCAGAAGAGGATGATTAGATGTATATACTGAGAAATGGAACGACTTCATTACAATATCTTGATTTGTGCTTGCCTTATGCTATGCTTTGTGAATTGTGACTGTGAATAAAATTGTGCCACATTTTTCTGTTTCTTGATTGCTTTGACCTTGAGTTAGATGCGAAACCCATCTGCCGCTTTCCCATTACCCTCTTTCTCCTTTACAATTCTGAGGCCCCATCCATTTCATTCTCTATTACTCTACGTTTCATTTCCGTTCCCTTCTAGGCTCTCTCTTTGATACAGATCTTCACTCTTCACTTGTAGCCTTCCGAGGTATGTCAAGGTCACACAATTAAGCGCCTTTTGTTACCCATTCATTAGCCAATAGTTCGTACAGCCAACCCCAAATCAACATAGATTTATCTCATTCTATTATTATTGTTATTGCTGTTATTATTTTAATTGTTATCATTTTAGAGATCTTTTTACCTTGTAGTCTGCCGTACAAGCTCCAGCACAAAAAAAGATGATCCAATCTCCACAATTTGAAATTTCCTCACGGATTTGGTGCCTGGTTTATCCCATCTTGAACTTAGTAGACAGATTGAGACCCGCTGGTTCGCGGACGCTTGAATTGGAGATGGGCGATTAAGGCAGGTACAAAATTACTTGCTGTATATGTGGATAATTTAATACAAGAGGACCTGGCCATTTGCAGGAACAGTTGTGAATTTTGGCAGGTAAATGTTACGATATCACCCGGGAAACAAGAGGGATGCTACGATAACAGGGGGAGGGCCTGGATAGACAGGGGAATCTCCCTGCTGGGCTAGCGATATGGAGGAATCCATCGTGATTGTAGCCAAAGGTGTATCCATAGCGTGCCTTGAAAATTGGAGCGATTGTACGGAAATACAAGCGTGAAGGAGGGAAAGAAATGGTCCACAGCGGAGATGGGTGCGTTTTCTGGATGGGTGGCTTGCTCGTTTTGCCTTCTTTGCGACTGCTGGTAGAGAAGCTCGAGGTTAATGCGCGTAGCTATGGTGGGGCAGAGATTGTTTGCTTCCGTGCGACTGTTTGGGGAAAAGAGCTTGTGAGGGTCTCTTCAAATTTCACTGCTGTAGTTGGTGTTCATCGCGATGGGGTCTTCCTCTGCCTGTGATGGGTGGAAGATCTTCGGAGAATTTTTGTAAATACGATACCAATGCGCAACATGCTGAATTATGCCTGAACGGGTATACGCGCTCGCTCGATGCTACGACAGCGACAGCGAGAGAGAGTGCGAGAGAGAGTGCGAGTGCGAGTGCGAGCGGTGAACGGTTACAATGGCACGGTGACAATTTGTTTCTGCCATTGCCACACGTTTCCGGTTCCCATAGTCATCCACCGCTCCTGAATTCGAACTCCATCAAAGAACGTGCTCCACCGCACCAATGAATACAATCGGCCCGCGCCCGCTATTCTCATGCTCCACGCCGAGGAACTTGAGAGATTTTCCTTTTGGTGTTCCGTCCACATCTCGATTCCCCATCCGCATTTTGTATTTCCTCGGTCGGGGTCTCCACTCACCACTCCGTACTAGAAGATAATTTGGAAGAAGTTGGAAATGTGGAGGATGGAGAATGGAGGAATCTGGGCACGGGGAAACTTTCGTGGCAGCGTTGATAGAATGCGTGGAGCCCGAATCTAACCGCAAGCTGTGGCATTATTGAGAGACAATATCCGCTATTCTCCCAATGGGCGGATCTCAATACCGATGCGGGATAAGTATAAGGTTAATATGTCTTACTTTGATGCTATCGATATTGATAGGGACGGTGAGTATCGATATGCGATGGATAGGGGAAATTAGATGACGATGCATTCGTTGTCGATTGTGAGAGAACAAGGGGAAGGAGGTTGGGGAATTATCTTGGCATTTTGGGGGCCATTTCCCGCAGTATATGTCGTGGCATCAAAGTCTCACCGTCTCGCAATACGTGCATTGACATGAAAAATTACTCCTTTTCAATTATGCTGCATCGGTTATGAAAATGGATTAATGAATGAACAAGTCATCACAAATGCACAGGCAATTAATGGAAACGACTGAAGTTCACAATTGCCAAGTCAAGGGTCAACTCTTGGAGATAGGGAAAAAGTCTTAACACTCATGAAATGACAATTCAGGGACGGACGGACTTGAGTGTGAGAGATTCTGCTTTGGTGAATTTGCGAGGGCCGATTCGCGTGAAAGGGTGAACGATTGAGTGCTCGGCCGCCAACATTCAATGCTACCAAGACCCCAAAACTCTTGGAGAAGGCGATCCAGAATGATAGATTGAGGTTCCGGGCAACGATTTTCTCATCGCTGTATCACATCAAAGGTACCTGCGAATCACCGTGTGGTAAAGCCACTTGGCGGTACGTTGATTAGACGGGAAAATGTGTATCTAATATCGAGAAATGTCGCCTTCCGGATTCTTGGCTTCAAGGAGCCGTTTAGCTGAGTCAATAAACAACTTTGGCTTTGTATTGTACTTGGCAAGCGACTTCATAGATGAAGTGCAGAACATGGAGCGTAAGCTTCATCTTTTTTCAGCTGCTGGCTTGAAGTGTGTGACCCGAGGTATTGCGACTTATTAATTCCTCGATCTAGAAATCATCATATTATGTCTCGTTGAGAATCTGCCTGGGCTTGTGTTTATCGCCGTTTGCACTGGCCAAGGCTTGGTATTCGATAACGAGTACGTAGGACTACAAAATTGGAGCAAATGTTACACTGAGCATTAAGCCGGTAGAATATTCGCAGGCCTTGAATGAAAGCTGAACAGTGGTTTGGAGAATACATCGGGAAACCTTCCAGTGCATAGCTTCCTTCGAGCTTACGAGTACCGTAACAATGACAGTTTGAAATAAATGAAGCAGAGGGCGGAAATGTAAGTTACACAGTCTTTGAGAGTGTGGTCGCTGTACTCCGATTTCTCTTTCAGCTTCGAAGAGAATGTTGCCAGTGTGATGTTTTCGGCCAGGATTAGATTTCCATACCTGCAGATAATTGACAATGTCCCTTTCTACTGTGGACAAGGACCATAAATGGTCCCGGTGGAATTGGATAATCAATCATTGATGTCCTGATTCAATATGGACTTTCAGACAGTATGATATGGGATTGTAGGGCATACGTACCAGGCGTCATTTTCGGCCACGGCGCTGTTTTCTTTGAAATGTTTCCTATCAGGTCATGGAGAAGAGTTTAGTGCTTTTGTCGGCTCGTGGGAAGCGAATGCATTCGATGCCATGAGATTCTTACAGAACATCTTGCTTGAATTGCACGGGTGGAAGTTTTCTCAATACGCTACACTCACTCATGAGTCGAACCAAGTTCACTCTTCCATGGCTACTCGAAGTGGATATCAGGAGAATGTTATCCGGTGTGCACTGATTTCCATTTGACATCCAACTACTCGGCATCCGCGTTCTGAGAGGATCATTCCCCTTCAAGCTTTCATATGAAAATGAAGCGATATCGTAATGCAATGTTATGAAATCTGTAAAACGAATGGGAAAGCTTCCAGATAAATACCAATATCATTCAATCGTCATCAGAGAATACGAATACATGCTCTAGCTTCATTGGACGTACACTATCATAGGTTCAAATGGTTCAATCTTCTCATCTCCACGAAAATCAACGACAGCTCACGAAGACTCAAGTGGGCTCTAACAATGTAGCACTCTAATTTCCTTGGGATGGATAAAAATCAGTGCAGATGTCTAAATAAGCTACCTAGGCCTACGGGATACACAAGTCATATCTCGAATAGTCTGAAAGATGATACCAAAGTCATTATTACACTTCCGGCGTTTGGTGAGGAGATACCCACTCATTGTGATTTGTGCGACAGTGCGTGTGGCCTAATGAAGTTGAATTCATGAGAATGGGGAAAAGGGACAGCGCAGCAAGAGCATAGCATGATGAATTGGCATGGAAAGTACCGCGCCATATGAAGAAGACTGTCTCTTGACCTCCTTGCCTTAATCAAACCGCACCCGACGTTTTCGACTTCTGTGATCCCTTTTGGTTCATTCTGCCACGCGATATGCAGCGCGGGTGACACTTTCGCATTGTTCCCCATCAAGTCCCATTCTTCGCAAACCGTTCGAATGATTCGCCATCGATAACGTCATAACCGGTTCTTGACAAGCAGCAGCTGTGTACGCAAGTGGCTCTCTCGGTTTCTAAATAACTCAAGACGCCAGCATCGGGATACAGAAGTCCAGAAGCGACGTCTCGAGCCAGCCACTGCAAACCTTCCTCTCACTTGGCCATCATACGCGAAGTACCATCACTGTGGTATACTGCCACAAGGAAGGAATCGCCGTTTCCACGGATAGGGGAGTCTATAGCACGGAATTCCCGATCACCGATCAACTCAAGATGTCAATGGTCAAATGCAATATGAAATAATACTTTGATGGAAGTACCTCGCTATATCCCGGCTGCGTCATTGCAACAAGACTGCACACCGCAGAAGCCATCTTTAGAATACCAATTTCGACACATTGCTTTAAGCAAAATCCACGGAAACGACAGTGCACAATTACAGGATCAGGTTGAGAAAGACACCACTCCGTGATTTCCTTGTAGAGAATCGCTAAATGACTGGGGTGGCCCAGAGTAATCGAGGCCGATGGCTCGACAGGGGATCTAGCACTATGAAACAAAAAACGGACGTGCAAATGAGAGGTGCATATGTGTTCGTTAACACGATACCAGGAGTCTGGTGGAAAGCAGACGGAGGTTGGCTTGACAAGTAGCAAAGAGATCATTGAGAGGAGTCCTGGCTAATGCTATGGTTACTGTAGAGTCTACGTCCTGACTTAAGATTGTATGGATATGGAAACGACTGACTGTTGGCTTTTCTTCTCACATCTGTAGTACCTTCTCACTCCTCGGATGTGGAGTAGAAACGCCCGGTACGACGCCTCACAGATGTCAAGCGCCTACAAATGATTTGGTATTCAGCTAGTTGGTCGTACAGTCGGATACACATCATCATCTCTAGACTCTCGCACCAGACTTGAAGAGTGATGCTCTCAGCCACCCGAAAAAATAGAATGGGAATTGTATTGGTTATAATTAAGCTTTGAGGAACACTTGTTATAATACACATACATAATATAACACAACTCTACAGCACACATCGTCTTCTCAAGTAAAATCGAATTGCGGCGCAAACTTGGACGCTGATAATTCGGAGGCGAGAAAGCAGTCACACACACACACACACACACACACACACACACACACACACACACACACACACTAAACAATCAAACCCCAAAGCCGAAACAAACAAAGGAATCAAGCATTCATTACCACCTTACAAATCTATCCTAAGCTATTCTATGCCATCCTATTCCCATGCATACATGTAGCAAACCATCCATCAGACCATCCATCAAGCTATCCATCTACAACATGTGATATTCTTTTGTACCCAGCCCATCCATCCATCATAAGTATTTACTTTTATTTTTAGCTCAAGAATTCCCCGTCATCATCGTTCAAGTCATGATTTCGTGATACAGATCACTCGCATTCATTCCTCCAAAATGGAAAGAAGAGACTGCGGTGTCTGGATCCATTTAATGCCATATCATATCATGTAATAAAATCCTGTCTGTGCACCAGCCAGACAGGCAAATTACCCATCGATTTACCTCAACATGTCATCGTAGCATCATACGAATCGCCAGCTACCCAAAAACCCATCTATCCATCACCATGTTATCTCACACATTACCTCGACTCATCAATCAAGCCCCCTGAGCCAATTCTTGCAACTTGACCTTCTCCTCATCCGTTAATGCCTCATAAAACTCATTAAATCCTCCTACATTTTCTCTTCCAGCCTTAACAAAGAATTCTGTCAAGTAAGCTTGCGTCTCATCATCTCTGTTTCTTCCGAAACCCCCTCTTCCCTCTCCAAATGCCATAAGATCCGCCTTTGTACTCGACAAACCTAGATCAAGTACACTTGGAAGATCTTCCCACGAGTCATCATCTCCATCTTCATCCGCGAATTCTGCTGCTGCTGCTGCCGTTGCTGCATTTTGAAGTCCTGATGCCGAAATAAGTTCTTCGATTAGGACTTTGATGATTTTCAAAGAGGCAGGAATAATTGTGTATTGATCGGGGTCTGATTGTCGTGTTAGTTGTGGTGGGGGCGTGAAGTATGATCCGTCCTTACTGAGTTTGGCCTTGGATCGAGTCATGATCCGATTACTGGTTGGAATGATTAAATCACCCTTAACCATGGTCTGACCAACACGTGGATCATTGAGACTGAAAATTTTCGAGAGTGCGATGACACTATTTATGATTAGCCTTGGACGGTGATTGAATCTACGAGTAGAATTGGAAAGAGACACATACTTTTGTCTAATCTCATCATATCCTGCAAACATAACTGAATGCTCCAACCATTTGCTTAAAACAACTTGTAAACCACTTTGACCATTGATTTCAATTTGGTTCAAGAATTCAACAACATCATGTGCTCCGACCAAAGATAAGCGAGCAAAAACCAAAATCAAAGATTGGATGAAAGGAGCAGCTTCTGCTGTAGCAAGACGTGTAGCAACAGCTCTCAAGAGTTGTGGTAAATATGGACCAAGACGTTCTTGACCAGCTTTCTCAACAAGTTCGGCTGCAAGACCTCCAACTTCTGATGCTGCATTGTCTTCCACTTCAGGACCAAGTAATCTATCAATAATGATTAGACAAACTTCCAAACCTGATTTGTTGCTTTCATCATGCCAAGCAAAGACTTGTTGATGATCATGCATGAGCATATACTTGATTGCCTCAGCACCTGGTCGTAAAATACCACCTTCAGTTGTGGTCATCAAAAGTCGATTCAACTTAGGTAATACGGCAGCAACATATCCGGCTGGAAGTGGCTCCGATCCATTCTCGGTAAGAATAGTAAGTAAGTCTGCGGCAAGCTAGAAGGGAATATCAGTATTGAGCATCAAAATATTAAGAGCACCAGAAATATTTTACCTCTACCAAAGGATCATCATCAGTTATAGATCCCACATCAAATGCACCGATCAATGAAGGCAATACTTTAGTACATAAAGCTGGGTAACCCGGTCCACCAGTAAATGATTCAACGATTTCTTCGAATGATTCAGTGACCAACATAGTCAATTGAAAGTTCGAGGCGCCATGTTTTGCAAGGACAAACAATAAATCTAAAGCTCCACCTTCATCTGCAAGTGTTACTCTTGTATCCATTTGAATTGCAGATCTCAAAGATTCCACCAAGGTAACAAGAAGATCATCTGCAGATTCAAGTTCTGTAAGATCCTTTGAGTGAAGAAATTCGGATATGGAAGCAATAATCGGAAGTTGTCGATCAGCAGGTACAGTGTGAGCTAGGATGTATCCTTGAATAGATTTTATACAAGAAACCTTGACAACTTCGGCCTCATCTACATTGACACCTCTGACTGTACGATCAAGTAATCCAAGAGAAACCTGGGGTACACTTTGTGCAAGATTACCAGCAACCAGATATCCTCTGGCGCGCAATAAGGGCTCTTCTTCTCTGTTGATGGAATAATCGATGAAAGGTAAGAAAGCTTGGGAAACCTCCGGGCGGATCTCCTTGTCGCAATCCAAGAAATCATTTGTGAGTTGAGTAAGAAGGAATAAAACTGCCTCTCTCATTCTCCATGAAGCGGCGTCCGAGGAAAAGATCATTTGGGTATAGGCCAATAAACCTTCCAAAGCACCATGAGACAACCACTCACCCAGTTTGATAAGGAGGTCTCCACAAGACATTCTGAGAGTGTATTGTGTGGTGACTGATGATTCCTCTGCCAAGAATAAATTGACATCGATATCCCATAATTCTTCCTCTTCCTTGAGAATCTGTGCATAATTGACAGCAAGCTTCATAACGTCAACAACCCAAGGGGTCATAGCCGCACCAGCATTTGCTTGTAATTGAGTTTCGAGTTCTTTTTGTACCGGTGGAGCTTTCAAGCATGATTGTAAAAAGTCGAGTTCTTCCAATACCAAGAAATCCAAAGTATATGGCAAATTATCCGCATCCTCCATGCGACCTGGCATATCATTATCGACATACATCTCTTGGAATATAGGCTGTGCAGTGGACAATTCCGCCCAGGTAGCGCTGAATAAAACTGGACTTTGTGGAAGTAATAATGTTGGGAAAACCGATTTGATCTTCATCAAGGTCTTGACAACTTGTAACTTTAATGCAATAACTCCACGCCATTGTTGATCGACTGGTCCATCCTCTTCGGATTCTTTTGGTGGTGGAGGTAAAGGTTGCTTCATAATAGCCACAAGGAATGGTGTCCAGTCCTTTAGGACTTCCTCCGCAAATGCCTTAACTTCCGTTCCATGCTCGTCCTTGACCATTTCCATAATATCGAAAGTTCCTCGGAAAACAGACACTGATAGCGCGCGTAATTTCCCTAGACGTGCTTCATTGACTGCTACACCATAAACAGTATTGACAATATCTCGTGCGACGGAAAAGAATTGATCTTCACTCAAACTTTCCTCAACAACATCTGCTAATACTTTCAATGATCCATGTAATTGTAAATCTGTGCCGGTTTGAATGATGTGTAGGATAGTTGGAAGGAGATCTGGCCATTGATCTGGATAATCGACATTTGCAATTTTGCTAACCACCATACTATTCATGAAATTGTAGATTAGTATATGCGCTTTTCATGAGACCAAAATGCCCCTCCATCAGCATATCCAAGACCAAGAACTTGCAAGGAAAAAGAATTCCACAAACCTAGCTGCACCCTTAATCTTCCTTGAATCTACATCACTTGTAGCAATTCCCAACATTCGTGCTCTAATCTCTGCCTTTGCGCCCTCCTCGATTTGAATGGTCGGATTGCCATTATCATCATGACCAGTCCAATTCTTACTGGTAAAGTTCTTTAAATTTAATAAAGCAGCTTGTCGAAGTTCTGAAGGGACGGTGGAATGAGAAGCAATTGATGCGAGCGTGGAAGGAAAGGCTGGATCATTTTGAGCAGATTTCAGAAAGATTTCTGCTTGTCTGCGGGGTCCATCTGCAGATGATTGTGTATCTGCCAGTATTTGAAGGAGTTGTGTCTCGTGCTGTGAGGCCATATTTGATTCTTCAAATTAAGAAATCGAATGGAGAAATGAAATAAAATAGAAGAAATAAAAGAAGAGGTATCTCAAAGAATTGAGTGACACCTTTTTGCGGGGGGTTGTAGATAATGGGGTGGGAGTGAATAAATTTGTGAGAGAGAAGTGTTGGAGTTAATTCGTAGTCGGTATCACGGTAAAGATGATCGTCGTGGTTGAAATTCGCGTTTGGTAAATTGATATGATTTGACCTCACCATTCACCAATCAATGGTCCAGATTTTAGAGTTTTGTGGTGGGTAGGTGGGTTGGTAGGTTGGTAGGTTGGTAGATCTTATCGATTAGATTCTCGAGCTTCACTTTATAGGTAATGGGTATGTATGCATTGAGAAACAATGAATATTCAAGAACGATCTCAAGTGACAAGATATATATATGTCATGACGAGGTTACGATAACTACTACCATATACTTACGGTCCAGCCCCAAGCAAGCAAGGATTCCATATCAACCACCAGGCATTCTCTACCTAGTCGCCCCTCAATCGACAAGCTCTTCAACTCTTCCAAAAAGTACCTCACACACAACTCAATAATCACCATTTCCATCCACAATGCCGGCACGCCCTCCACCTCTCAGCACCCCTCACTCACTACACACGCATCTCCTCTCCTTCCTCACTCTTTCAATCCACACAATCCTACATGCGCGCGGTCTCTATCCCGAAAATACCTTCCTCTTAACGCGCGCTTTTAATTTCCCGTAAGTTTACTGCTTCTCTTCTTCTCAATCCCATCTCCTATCAATTTTGAGATCTATCTCTATGCCCGATCTCCACTCTCTTCTCGTGTCTGCTTCTCCCCTTCCCAAACTCCCAATTAACCATTTCTAGTATCCCTCAAAACCGCCACCCAGAACTTTGCGCCTACATAAACTCCTGCGTCAGCGCCGTAGCCCCTCACCTACAAGCTGGAACCATCAATACCGTCTCCATAGTAATATACTCCGATTCCCCCGCAGTCGCACCCTCTTCCTCTCGCGCCAATATCTCCTCCTCTCCTCCCACAGAACCTTACCCATCTTCTGCCCCCTCGGTCCAAATACTCGAACGCTACATCTTTAATCTCTCTTCCTTCCCCTCTATTCCCTTCAACGAACGCTTTACATTCCTCGAAGGACGCGCTCCTGCAGATGTAAATGCCATTCGCAATATCGATGTCGAAGAAGAACTACGTGCTTGTTTAAGAAAACTAGCTTACAGTGCGAGTAAATTGGAGGACTTGAAGAATCCAGAGGAGTGTACGTGGGGGGTTGTTATGGAGATGAAAGAAGATGAGGGAGAGGGGACTGCGCCAATTGGACATCCACAGCGATGGGAACCAGCGGTAGCGGAATTGCAAATCCCAACTGGAGGCGCGACAGATATAAAAGGAAAGGGAAAAGCCAGAGATAATGAGCCGGAAACTAGGAAAGAGAGTAGAGTTGGCAAGGCAAGAGGAGGTGTCAAGAGTACAGCTATCAGAGCGGTGGAGGTAGGAGATTTCATCATGGAAGCTTGGATTGAAGAAGGAAAAGCCAAGTTTGAGAATCGAGAATCGCGCTCCCGGGAAGAGACAGCAACATGAGTATGAACGATGGGTCATTATTGCCACCCAAATGAACGAAACGAAAGGGCGTCTACATCAACCAAACTAGCATTCGCAGAGCTGGAAATCAACCGCAAGATACATGCGCCGTGTAGTCATCAACCGGCAAACTCAGGCCTTGAAATCGCAGAAGTATACCTACCTACTACGATCCTCGACTGAAATAAGTGTGCTTGATTATGGAGACACAATCTCTCAACGCAGTCGAAGTACCCTACCCCATCCCTCACTCAAATCCCGGAAGTTTTGAGATCTACACCGAGGAATTAAGAGGAAGGGAAGGGGATTGAAGAACTGCAACCGAGTATACCTACCTACCTATCTACCTAGGTAGTTATGTATATTTGAAGTAAGTACGACTCTAACCATGCACAAGATTCAAAGATATCCATCCATCCACCCATACAGACCCAGAAGAAACCATCTATTAATCACTACCACTAAAAGCACCTACCTACCTGGGTCGGTAGTATCACTACATCACGGTTATGGAATACCACACCAGAATATGAATCCTGTAGTTACTATCATACATATCACACAGTATGGTATAATGTACAATAGATATTTGAGATCAATTCCTAAAATATCACTTTTTATGTATCTGTGCATGTTTGCATGTTTGCATGTTGGTATTTATATGTATTGATACCTCGAATGTGAATTTTGATATGATATACGCAATTTGATACGATACGATACGATACGACACGATACGATACGATTCGTTACAATTCTAGATATCTCTCTCTATCGAGTCAAAATCTATCGAGTCAAAATGTTACCGCTCCATCTTACCCGCCCAGTGAAGTGAAATGAGATACCGTGGTATGCCATGCTCACTGCTCACTGCTATATGCAATGTAATGTGATGTAATGTAATGCAATGTAAAAGAGATCCGCTGCCACCCATGTTAAAGAAAAGATGATGATAGATTTCCTTCTTTTCTTTTTCTTCCCTTTCCCACAAGTTCTCCTACCTACCCCAACCCCAACCCCAACCTAACACCACCCATATTTTTCATTTCCCCACCACTCCACCTCCTGCACCGTCCCCTCTCCCTCTCCATACCACATCAAACTGGCCACACTCTCCTCCTCCCTCTCCACCTTCCGATGGATGCCCTTCTCCCCCAGCTCCGACCGATTCAACAGTTCCTCCACCAACGTTGTCGGATTCCAAAACTGCACATCGTTCATCTTCCACTCCCTCGCTTCCCTCTGCGCCTCCCGCAGCACCGCTTCCAATTTCTCCGCGTTCTCCGCACTATTCGATTCATCCTCGAGGACCAAGCGCAAGATGTGCAGACAATTTCCCGAGGAGGGGGAATCGACGGGGCCGTAGTAGCCGCGGGTCCAATAGGCCCAGACGCGGGAGCCGGGGGTTGTTCCGGCGAGGGCGCCTTTGATCTCGGGGGCGCGGCCGAAGATGGAGACGGACATGACGTTTTCGCGGAGGTGGTGCCATTGGATGGTGGGGTAGTCGGGGAGGAGCGCGATGTGGGTTTTGTGGTCGTTTGCGCGGGAGAGGACGCGGCGGATGTAGGTGGTGTCGAGGTCGCAGAGGGGAGGGAGGTCTTCTTCTTTCAGGAGGGTGGTGGGATGGGAGGAGGGGGTGGGGGTGGAATCTGCGGGGGTGGGTAGAGGGGGGAGGGAAATGTGCGAAGAGGGAAAGGGATGCCAGCCGTGGTTTGCGTAGAATCTTTTCCCAATGTCGGAGAAGAGGATCGAGGCGGGTATTTTTTGACGTCCGGGGATATGGGAGTCGAGTTGCCATGTTTTGAGGATATTGCCCAAGTCGGTCATCATCCGAGAAGCATATCTACGGCCTCGATTTTTGGGAGGACAAAAAACAGATCCAATTGAATGGATGATAACTTCTTCGACTTTTCCTTCTTTAGATATGAAAGCTTTTTTACGGAGGGATTCGCAGGAGGCGTAGACTTCCCGGTTGTTTGGAGGAGCGGATTTATCGACTAGACACCAGTAGGTGATTCCATCTTCTGAGGTCAAGGGAACGCTGGCGAGATATTGTTCTCGATGAAGATAATCTGATTTGGAAAGTGCTTTGCCCCATTCTTCATAATTCTGATTCCACGTTGCTAGTTTTTCTTCTGGGGTTGGATGAGCCAGATGAAGACCTGGGGAATTGTAATCTGGAAACATGTTGGAAGGGTAGGGAAGTAGATTGAATGAAAGATGTCTATGTAGAAAGACAGATATGTGAATAGAAACTTCTTTGTGAGATTTGGCACTCTGATAAAGTTATTCTGTTCCCTCTATTGTGGGGAATTGAACTTTGATAAGAAGGGAGATATGTGGTAAATCCTAACAAAAGAAAAGTAGATAGATCATGGTATGCATTTCCTGTGGGGAAGGGGTCCTCTTTGAAGGAAGGGATTCAATATCTACCTTCTAAATACGTCTTTTAGGTTAAACCGTCAGACTAACTTAGGATCAAACAATGATACGGGAGTGAAGGATTAGCAATTGGTGAATACTTCCACATCAAATGATCATAATCTCCGCATGAAGCAGAGTTAATCTTAGTCAAAGCTCTTGCCTTTCAAGGTATCGATGACTAGGTACCGGTATGCTCAACCATTGACACGTTCGTATTGAGGAAGTTGATGATTTGATGGTTGGTGGTTTGAGACTTTGAGGAAGAAAATCGGTGAGATCCGGGGCCGACAGTAACCGAATTTATGAGGGCCTAGGCTGAGATATACTTTCCGCTATGTTGATCACGGGATTTTTGGAAACAAGAGAAGCTTCATGATCTTCTTGAATGTTTCTTCAGTAGTTGAATGGGAGAGATTGACCTGGTAGGTATATAAGGACATACTTGTGACCATAGATTCTAATCGAATTGACGTTGTAACTGATATGTAATTCCATAGATCACAGTCAATGGGAGAGCATTAATTGAATGCCCAGGCTAAACATACGGTTAATCTCGGGGAATCGATAGCGATAACTAGCGATAGCGATAATGATAAGAAATATATCATCATGTGAAAGTCTGGAGCGAAGATGATCTTCTTTTTCGTAAAACCGTTAGGTAATGAAGGGGTCAGAGGGGTCAGAGGGATTAGATTCTATAGAGTTAGTGACAATATGGGGTGCATTAACTTACTTGGTATCTACGTAGGAGGATATTTGATCCAAGACTTCAAGTCATGATAGTCGACAGATATATTGTAGGTAGTAGAGGTATAGAGAGAGCATCTACTCTGTAGTAAGATTCAAGGGGTTGCCTTTAATGTACTTGCGTATCAACTTACCTTTTCTACAATCACTTCCAAATCCCTGACGAATAAAAATGAAAAGATTCACAATCACTGTACAATCGATCGACCAAAGTAATTCTGATATCCGTGTTGATTCCTGATTCCTCAGACCTGAGTTGTGAGTTGAGGATCTAGATATATGTAAAGAGTACCAAGTACAACGCGAAGAACGTGTTGGCTGTTTTCACTGGACCGATTCAATACGATGGTGGCATCCTCAATATGCTGTGTTGGGATACTCAAATGCCCATGAATGCGAGATGCTCAGAAGAATTTCCCGATCAACGATACTGTACATGATCGGATGTCGTATTGGTGTCGGGTATGTGGTGTCTTGTTGGAAGAATCAATTACTTTATTTACCACATGAGAAACCTCTTCCCAGAACGATGCCATTGGTAGTGTGAGTGGGTGGTGGGCATTGAGTAGAGGGTGGATGGTGGGTAAGAGGTAAGAGGTAAGAGGTAAGAGGTAAGAGGTAAGAGAATAGGAGGGTTTCCATACGTCTCGTCTATTATTTTCCAAGTGAAGGTGGAGGTTGATTTGATGATAGATATATGAACGTGATTAAGTAATTATCGAGGAGAAATGATTGGAAACTCGATGTCCGTCCCTACACTTCCATTTGAGAAAGCGCCTTCTAGAAGAATTCCGTTGGTGTATCTAGGTACCGTACCTCACTTTCCATTTCACACTTCACCCCTTCACTTTTCCACCTCCACCTCCACCTCCACCTCCTCCTCCTCCTTCACCCTCCACACTCTTCCACCACTTGATCGAGTGATGCATCATTTTCCCAATGTGGGGCCTTTGTACTTCTTTCCCCTCGTCCACGTCCACCAACAAGCAGATCAGCGACCCTTGGTCTCGTGGAAAAAGTCTGTGCTTCACTTGACAGGACACGGAGACAAGGTAGCAAGAGCTCTGACCAACGTGGAACTGGAAATGTGGAAATGTGGAAATGTGGAAATAAATACCTGCATCGCAGTACGATGGTAATATCGCCATATCGTAATATCCTGCCTATCGTGCCTATCGACGCCCACGCTACCCTGGTAAGAGATGGGGAAAAGGTGGAGAGAATCATCATGCTCAACCTATGATCTTCCATCCTTTCTCCAGATGCACACTAGGGAGAGACCTCTGCCTAGCATGTCTCTAAATTAAAAATACCGGTAATCATCATGAACCATGAACCATGAACCATGAACCATGAACCATTGACCTTGGCTTCCTTTTCTCAACTCTCCCTTCGATTTTCACTCATTTCTGCCTTCACTTCACCTTTTCAGGCTTCACTCTTCAGTCTTCAGTCTCCACTCTCCACTCTCCACTCTCCACTCTCCACTCTCCACTCTCTTCTACCTACCACCTACCAGGCAAATATCACAATGTATTGACATTTGGGAATATCTTCGTAATTCTAATTCTGCTGGCAACTTCAACTTCTTCTCTTCTCCATCCAGTACTTTCCTATCAAGCCAGCACAGAATACACGTGAAACTTTACATCATTCGTTGGAAGGTTACCAATATAATACAATATAATACAATATAAATTTGGAAAACGCTACATGCCGTTGCATCACACCTACATACGTTGGACTTCATTCGCAACCCCTCACTCTCCAAAAAAGATACAACTGGATATACCTGCCCGGGTGAATATCATAATTCTTCACTTCTCCGTGGTACGATCTTATTCGTTCCTTTCCATCTTCCAACCTTGAGACCCTCGAAAACATAAATATCGTTTCGTGTTTCTTCTTTCCATACGTGAACAGACGATATGCTACTAGTTATTCTTCCGTCGAGTCTCTGCGAGTCTTGTCATCACACATAAAGTCCGATTCCTCTTCAGAACCTGCACATTCACTTCGAGAACCGGATTCGGATTCGATTCCCCCAAAGCTTAAAAGAAGAATCTACTAACGTCGAATGATCTACTAGTACGCTCCTAGTGCCATCCCATTAGATTCTATAGAACGTCACTCAGTGCACCATTTCTCTTGACTTAACATTCACCCACCACCCTCGACAAGTTCAAACGTCTTGAATATGCAAACGATCATTCTCACGACACTCTTTGCCAATATTCCCTCTTCAACAACCTACATTATTCCAAAAAACCAACGACTTAAGAATTCATTATATTGATCAACCGCCAACCGCCAACCGCCAACAAATTCACTTGGACGACATGAGCCGAGCAGCTCCAGTGAACCATACAAATGGTCCACCGAGAGATAAACAACCCTATATTCAAAATGCAGTGAATAACTTGATCGAAATTTCGGATTCGGACTCCGAAGGCTATGGAGATGCTTTTAATGTACCTCAAGTCCCCGCACATCCCCCACATCTAAATTTACAACATCATCAACTCGGAGGGTATTTTGGTGCCAATAACCAGATCTTTGATCTCGAGGATAACAACCTAGTGTACCCGGGTCGATTACCTCAACCCGCAGTTGCAGCTGCACCCGAACATAAAGCAATGGCCAGAAATCCTTCGTCTGTCAAGAACGAAGAAGGGGAAATGAATTGGGCTCAGTGGATGGATGAGGAAAATGACGAAGGTATCAATCGTGTACTGTTAGAAGATTATACCTTTCGAGCGGAATACAATCGAGCTTCACAACATTCTCCTTCATTTGTTGATCCTTCTCGTCTCCATCAACCATTTCAACCATCACCAGACAACTTAAATCAACCTATTATGGAAACAAAGACGGAGTGTATTAATTCAGTTGTTGCTGTCTTCCCAGAGATTTGCAGGGATCACGTCAATAGTCTTTATGAAAAGGTATCTTTCACTTCTGGTCGATTGATTGCTCACATACTGGATCAAGCGGACACTGGAACCCCTTACCCAAAAGCAAAAGATGTCCAGAAGCAATTGAAGAGAAAGAGAGTACTCACCGAAGAAGAGGAAGCTGTACAAAAATATGAAGCTGCCGGTCGCATCGTTGGGCCTGCTTTGTATCTGGAGCGGACACTAATGTGAGTATATTATATGCTTCATCTCAATTACTTATCCATTTCCTCATTCTATTTTTCTTTTGCTAACATTTACCTAGTCGGAGCATCCTTTCATTTGAGTTTCCAGTAATTCCATTGATCTTTGTAGATGAAACACTACGCTCTACTGGCCATCGTCTTTTTTCCGCCTACCGCACACTCGAGGAAGCAGATCGAACTTTTGATCCTAATAATCCATCATATAGGAGAATTAAAACTCCAAGAAAAATGCCACATGAATACCAAGATGGTAGAATTGAGGAAGCCATTCAAAAGAATGAATCGCCCGAGAAGACGGAGACTTTAAAAGAACTACTCGTATGTCGGAAGATTCGAAAGACTGCGGAAAGTCGTCGCCTCGCCGAACAAGAAGCAATACTTGCGGAAGAAGAGAATCTAAAGAAAGCTGAAGCCGAGGGAACTATGTCAGAATGCTGCTGTTGCTTTTCGGACTATCCACTCAATCGCATGGTTCATTGCAACAATGAAGAAGTCCTACATTGGTTTTGCCGTGGGTGTGCACGACAATCAGCGGAGACCGAAATCGGAAATTCTAAGTATCTACTCATGTGTATGTCCACGGATGGATGTGAAGCAGGGTTTTCTCTTGAACAAAGGTGAGTATTCTCAATTATTAACTCTTCAGATTGATACTTATCTCTTATCCAGAAATCAATTCCTCGACGAATTAACCATCGTCGCCTTGGAACGGAATGAAGCAGAAGCAGTCTTACGTATGGCTGGTATTGAAAATCTCGCCAGTTGTCCATTTTGTCCATTCGCAGCAGAATATCCTCCTGTCGAAGTTAATCGAGAATTTCGATGTCAAGCTCCTGATTGCGAAAAGGTCAGTTGTCGACTTTGTAAATTGGAGTCACATATTCCTATGACTTGTGAAGAAAATACAAAGGCAAATGGTCTCTCGATTAGACGACAGATTGAGGAAGCAATGTCTGCAGCGATGATTAGGACTTGTAACAAATGTGGTACTCCATTTGTAAAGGAAGAAGGTTGCAATAAAATGACATGCACACGCAATGGATGTTACAACGTCCAATGCTATGTTTGTTCCAAATCGTGCAACTACGATCATTTTAATGATGTGAGGAGAGGTGGTAAAGAAGGAAATTGTCCACTATTTGAATCAGTGGAGGAACGACATAACGATGAAGTTAAGAAGGCCGAAAAAGAAGCACTGGATAAAGTTCGTGCAGAGCATCCCGAATATTCCGAGGAGGACTTGAGAATTAAGATGTCGGAAAATGTCACCAAGGATGATGAAAGGAGAAAGGTTACGGATCCAAGAAATCCATATGCCTTTTATCGACCGGTAGCAATGGGTTAGTACTTCGTAGTGATTTTTTGTTGTCAATTGATACCATAATGTTATATGATCTTTGGCCTTTGGCAATGGGTGGGTAAATCTTAGAAATAGTATTCTATTCTTTCTTCTTTCGAAACCAGATACTAGGTAGTAAGATAAATACCATTACCAAAGCCATTGGGTCGCATGGATGTTGTGTGGTTATTTTTGTTTTCCCCTGTTTTGAAACAATCATTTAATTGCAATGCATGCACAACGCAAGATAGACATGATTGCATATTTGCTGACTAATGAATACACAGTACAACCACAAGAACTAGAAGCATGGCCTCGTGATCATGGTGAGTTTTATTCGTATTTTGTTCTTTCTTTTGGGGGGGGGGGTTTCCTGGAGGGGAAGCGGGGAAGGAGAGGGTTTTGGGCGGTCTACAGATGGTGGTAGCTAAATACGTGTATACTTTTTTGCAGTTTTTAAAGTGATGGTTTCAAAGTTGAAACGGAAATTTAGGGGGTTCAGGGGGGATTTGGTAGAGGAGGGAGGAGGGAGGAGGGAGGAGGGAGGGGTTGAGAGATTGGGGGACTGGGTGATGAGATGGGGGCAGGGGGATTATCTTGGATATTTTTCTTCTCTCCTCTTTTCTTTGGACCTTGGATATAGAGAGGAAAGGAAGGATGTGGTGCAGAAGTTTCGCAACCTTTTGGGAAAAATGTACTAATTTGTCTTGGGGCGGTAGATTTGTACATGCATCGTGCGCGCATGCTTCAGGATCGGCTTAGGAGGCGTGGTCCAGGTGTAGGAAGGGTGATGGGGAGGGAGGATGGGAAAGATGGAAGGGGAGGAGATGGCGAATTTGGGTTTCGGAACATGGAAAATAATTGGGTTGGGGCTCCGCAGCGTGTGGATGGTGGTGGGGATGAAGGAGAAGATGAGAATGGGGATGGGGATGGGGACGTGGAAATGAATGAGAACGAAGGGGACATGCAGCCTGAACTCCCGGCTCGGCGGATGGAAGAGCTTTACTGGAATCAATTTTTTGATCCAGTTGCTGCTCTTCGATATCTCGAAGATGCGAGAGCGGTGAATGGAAATGTGGAGGGGGAGGTTCCGGGTGTATTTCCGGCTCGTATTCCTGTTCCTGTTCTAGCTCCAGCTCCAGTTCTAGCTCCAGTTCCAGCTCCAGTTCTAGCTCCAGTTCTAGCTCCAGCTCAATTACCCAATCCAAAACGGATACGCAGACAGCGACATCTGATTGAGGATTTGCAAAAGCAAAAATTAGCTTTGATGAAAAAGGTTGAGGGTCGGAATAGGGGGTTGCTGGGTGATGATTTTGAGAGGAGGGGGATGATGGATCTGATGGGGCAGATGGATGAGGGTATGGAGGTTGAGGGTGAGGATGAGGAAGAGGATGGGAATGGGAATGGGAATGGGAATGGAAATGGAAAGCTTCCTATTTCTCAAATGCCTCAAGCACCGCGGATGGTTGCGAAAAATGGAGGTGAGAAGAGAGATGCAGAGAGTAGGGGTGAGTTATTGAGGGAAATGGGAGAGGCGCATCGTTTGCGCAATGAAGAGAGGATGAGGGTAAGGGGGGTCGAGCTACGGAGGGAGTTGAGAGGAGATCAAGACTTGCTAGGTGAGGACAGAGAAGAGGCTGTGAATCTGCCAAGTCCTGTCTTACCGATTGCTCTAGCGCAACCGGGTGCTGCGAGAATGGGGGATGATGAGAGAGATCCCCTGCAATTGGTACGACAACTTCGTGAACAGTATGGATTGCGGGGGAGAATGCATATGCAGATGGAAATGCGGCTGCGGCTGCAGGGAGGGAGAGGGGGAGAAATCAAGACGGAGAAAGAGAAAGAAAACGAAGAGCTCAGGAAGTCGCTCGGATTCGTGAATGGTATGGATTACAGTTTGAGAATATGAATGGGAATGGAAATGAGAATGAGAATAATCAGTTTCCCATTTATCCTCCTCTACCTCTACCTCTACCCCGGTCTCCTATCGCCGGACCCCCTCGTCTAGAAATTGGAGATGCAGGAGAAATTAGAGGGATTGTGGAGAATGCTCCTCCTCCTCCTCCTGTTCCTCTTTGGGTTGGGTATGAAAATCGATTGGGCAGGGATAGAGATGGTTTGGCTGGATATTGGAGACGGGGCGAAATGTTTGATGGGGGGGTTTTGCTTTTGGAGGTGGAGGTGGAGGTGGAGGTGTAGAAGAGCATTTACCTCCTCGTGTGGATTTGCATGGTGCTTGGAGGGAATTGAAGAGGAAGAGAAAGGTGGAGCGGGGTATTCTTGAGGGGATTCCGATACCTGGGGAGGATGTGTTTAGTGATGAGGAGGGTGGAGTGGGTGAGCAAGGGGAGGGGAAGTGAGAGAGAAAAGTGAGGGAGAGGAATTGTATGATTTGGAGATTGATATTTGGGGATGAGGTTGAGGTTGAGGTTGAGGTTGAGGTTGGGGAAAAGTAAAACATTTTCTAAATGTTTGGATGAGCTGGCTGGTGTTTGTGCATATCTTGCTCCCTCGCTTACTCCCTCTTTTTTTCCGTCGGTAGATAGATAGGCAGATAGTTGGATAGATGATTGATAGATTGATTGATCGATAGATAGATAGACAGGTAGTTAGCAAAATAATTAGATTGATAAGAAATTAATAAACAAGATTCACAAAGAGATTCATTGCATTGCATTGAATTGCAGGTTTTTAGAGACTAGAGATAGAGATAGATTGGAGACTGGTGGATGGATTGAATGAATGGATTGAATGGATATATATATTGAACTCTGAGTGCTGGGTTCTGAGGTTTAGGAATCAAAGAATCTAGAATCTACAGTCTAGAATCTAGAAGCTGCAATCTGGAATCTAGAGGTTAAGCATATGAAGGGATGGAGAGGTAGAAAAGAGGATCGAAAATCGAAGGAAAATATTACTTTTATGTATCTGTATGTATGTATGTATGTGTATATATATGTTGCAAATAAAAATTGTAAGAAAAAAGAAGATAGAATAATCGTCGATCTTGAATTTTTTTTTAATCTTTTTTCTTTTTTTTTGGAGAAGCTGGTATGAGATTGATAGGGTGTCAGATTTTGCGGATTAATTTTCGAAATGAGGAAATGAGGATTATTGGAGTTGTTAGGAATGTTACTGTTTGGTTATGTTATTCAAATTTGAAATAGAGGGATTCACTTGTTATGATGTTTTTGGGACTGTTGTGTGCATCGGGATGACTGGAGAGTGTATGTGTTTAGTTGTATGTAATAGTATTTGCTACAGTGTCAACAATTCGACACGCGACTCCATAAACGATATATGAATGATGCGGAGAAAATTTCGGAGGGATAACTAATCGTCGATTATATATTGTTGTTATGTCGCGGAGATCGATGGCTGATTGTATGATGTGATTGTAGTATTTCGATATATCTTTGATTGGGAATTTATTGAAGATGAGGAAAGATTGAAGTATTGAGGCTAGGATAAATAATCGTCTTCTTCTTCTTCTTCTTCTTCTTCTTCTTCTTCTTCTTCTTCTTCTTCTTCTTCTTCTTCTTCTTCTTCTTCTTCTTCTTCTTATCTTACTTGTTATGCGGCTGGGGATATGTCTATATGTATATTTCTGTTTGCAGATTAGTATTTAATATAGTATAATATGACATGGTCTGATATTTATAGATAGTAGTAATTTCTTAAGCATGAAGGAATCGTAGCTATGATGAATGCCTTTTGACTGGAGTAGAATCTATCGGTTTCTCTATATTCTTGTAGGATATTTTCCCTTGATTCCTGTTTTTGTGGAAATTCGTGAGCAATTACGACTTGGAAAGATGTGTTTTTTGATTCGAATTATATAACTATTAATTATTGATCTTAGTTATTCTTTATATATGTTTATTCTGATATCGAAATCAAAATCTGGAATTATTTATATGTATGTATATGAGATCTACATACACTTTCATCTCAAAATCCAGTTCGAAGCTGTATTCTAGTTATACGGGAGCGATACAGTGTAATTAAATACACGAGATAATACTAGTGCCAGTACTGCACAAGCAGTCTTGCGCATCCTGCGTCGTGCTGCTTGAGTATGATAATGGGGATATTGATTGTTTTTCAGGACTCGTGCTGGTTTTTGGCTCTTTGGTGGGCAGACATGGCGGGTTTTGCATTTACAGTAAGTGTGTAGTGATACAATCTTGATGACGTATTTACAGTAAGTGTGTAGTGGTACAGTCTTGATGATGCTGTTAGGGAAAGTTGTTAGGTGGGGTATATGGAAATTACTCTTTTTATGAATTTATTCATATTGATTGCTGTGTGGTGGATGCCTTTCTCGTGCGGTAAAAGTTTCGTTGTGATCGCTGAAGGAAGTTACGAGGTGTACTTGCAGAATCCCAATGTCAAATTCTGATCATGACCAAGTAAGTCAAGTCCAACGGCGGGCAACTTAAAATAGGATCAAATGTACTTGGCCAATAAATGATGGGGTTAGCAGACATAATGTTCGAAATTCACAAGCGGCAGCTAACATACCCGGGTGATGCCAGGGTTGTGCCAAAATTATTTACGTTTTTAAACCTACCTACTGTATTTACGATTCTGAATGTATCTTGTCTGCGAAGCCTCGTGGAGCTTTCTACAGGAACAGAAGCGAAGAAGTTCGTTCATACTAGGTATTCGCTATCTGATGGGACTAAGCAGAATGAATCTGGTTGATCAGGTTGTCCCGAAGGCCATGAACATCGGACCAACTGGGTAAATGTTACAGTATATCCTTCCCCCGCACAACTCAAATCTATTGAACTTCTCAACTTCGATGGTACACCACCAAAATGTGACGTGTCATTTTGAAGTAAAGAGTCCACGGGCATGTGCGTGTATCTCTCGCGAAGAGCCCCTTTTCTCACTTGATAAGCGAGCGACTAGTATTGCTAGTGTGATTGCCAGAATTTCCTTGGTGATTACCATTTCTCCTTTTGCTTGTTATCGTCAAGATGAGACTAGCATCAGATAAAGCTCTGGAATGAAGACGCTCTCAGGCTATGTCCTTTCGTTGAGTATGGAACCCTAAAATAGAGTGCTGCTGGATAAACCATCAGGAAACTTGAGAGCTCGATGATCATGATTTGGATGATGATAAGACAGATAGAAGGCAAAATTGAATAAGAGAATAGTGGAGTGGTGGAATAGTGGAGTGATGGAATAGTGGAAGTAGCATACTTTGAATCACGTAAGCACATCTTCATTTCGTGATTTATGCATCCTCGCTCTGCCAATGAAGGCCAAGCGTGATCCAAAAGAGAATTTTTCCAAACCCCCACGTGCTCATATATGTTTGGGACAGTTTCATAAGAGACGAAAATTATCAGCCCTGCCGACAGAATTCGCGTCTATATTCGGCGGATCAATAACCCCTTCTATTCCTGTGAGTCCAAAAGCAGACATCTGCATTATTGTAGTCAACATTATCTCCCAAGATCTTAGAGGCGCCATTGGTATCATCGTTCTATACATTTGTAACACGAAAACCTATAATCAGAGTATTATTAGGATACACAATAGCTCTGCGCTCTCGTTCATCGTTGACTTTACCACACACTCGACACTCCACTTTCTCGTAGTGGATTTTCCTGGGAGGCCGTGGGAGTTCTCGGAAATGTAATCGAAATTGAATGCATTGTTTCGTTCTAACGATTATATATAATTCCCTGATTCGATAAGCTTCGGATTTTGTTTCTAGACCGCGTACTATCTCACCTACACAAATAGTTTTTCGAATTGTTGATTGCGTAATCTAACAACTCACGTCACATTTTCCACGCGATAGGCTCAATCTTGGCCTTCTCAATGCGAGCCTTGCAACCTGCGAGTACCGATCTTCATGGGGTATTTACCGGCTGAATAGCGACAACTATCTGTCTGATACCCATGAAACTTGAAAACAGGGTTTCGTCTCCTACTCGGGAAATTCTTCAAAGTTCTCTCAATAACTTCCAAGCCCGGGTTTGTTGTTAGTAACAATGTGTCAATACCCATTGACTTCCATGTGACAATCTTGCTGATGTTTTTGTCCGAGGCAAGAGATACGATGGATGCAGCAGTTTCGACAGTCCCAAGTCCTTTTCCTGCATGGACACTTGCTCGAAACTCGTTCAGTCATTCTTGTGAGCTTGCTGTGTATACTGTGACAGCACTAGTTCCTGGCTGCTCGACACATCCCGCGACAAAGTGGCTGCCATATCTTTTGCGAAAAGCAGCAACATCGTTCTGGAGGAGATTGTCTACAACTGGGTTGAAATTTCGTGTTTGACGATAGAGTGCAGGACTATTAGTGATTTTGCAACAAAGGATTGCTCTCATTGACAGAATGCTTTGAGTTACACTATTCAACTGTTTGTACTTTTCATCAATTCCGACTCCGAATAGTGTTGCGGATATCAGTGATTGGAGTAGTGTAAGTTAGTATTATGGTGGCTGATATTGAAGCCTCATATATCACGCTAGTATATATAAATAGCTGAATTATCCACTGGAATATGTATAGGATATATTAGAGAATACTAGCAATATATTGAATTACTAGAATTTCTTGAATTTTTAATGGTTTCAGCCACATTCCCATAGGAATTCAGAAATATTCAATAAATTCTTCCCAAATAGATAATCTTAAAACTATTTGCATTGGAATTTATCAAAATTTATCAAATTCTCATATTTCCGTATCCTACTAGTAATATAGAATATTAGATAGTAATCTTAATAATACTAGTAATATAATAATTAATGATATATATTGAAATATGTAATAGAAATGCAATATGTCTTACTATAGTGGGGTATATATAAAATATGCTGTATACTATTCCAATCACTGGCGGATACATTGAGACTAGCGTTAATTTCTCTTTACATTTCGACTTCCGAAATGGTGATGAATTCATACCGAATACCTATCGGGATCAACATCGGATATTCAGGCATCAAATATTTCCAGAGCTGACGGTAGGGCTTGACATCTTAATTGATCCTAATTAGCTCCGATCACATATCTCAAGCTGTCTCAAGTCGATTGTAGCATAGTGTCAGTAGAAATTTCGAAGAAAATTGATGAAAAGGTGGCAGGAATAAACCGGAAGAAAGAATTATGTTTATCATGAAATTAGTCTTATTAATTTGAGGTTGATGGGCTTCGCAAGAAATCTTTTAGGAGTGGAAGGGACCCCCTACGACATCAAGACGCTAAATAACCAGTGTGTGGAAAGATAGCCCGAGTACGCCGATAGCGGTGACACAAATTCTCTCCAGCGCAAGAGATTTGTTGAATGGGTCCAGTCCAAACTTATCAGCCGAGTTCTGGAGCCTGGAGCCCTAGATGCTGAGCTCCAGATTGCTTTTATTTTCCTGCAGAAGAGGGAGCTGGTCACATGAAATGCGCTAATGGAGGCTGCTAGCTCCTCATTGAAGAATTGAAACGATCTTGGAAATTAGAACAGAGAAAGACACAAGTATGAGATATATATTTGCCTGTGTTCGATATAATGAAACGTTGTAAAATCTATTGAAGCCCCCAAATATATACTCCCGCATCTAAAGCACTAGAAATAATATGTTCATTGGGTCAAACGTGAGACATCATTAAAACGAAATCGTACTCTCCTCTAAAGTAATCAGAGGCTTCGACGTCCATTCCGTATTTTCCAGACGAGCATATCCAAGTTTTCGTAGCCGTACAATGACCTTGCGAAAATCATTTGCCAGTTCTCTGATCAGTACGTGTAAGAATCTTGCTCGATAGTGCTTTCTCGCTATTTGTGTTGGTCGGCGACCATACAGCTTCTTCACAATCTCAGTCACTTGATCGTCATCGCTGTGTGGGTTAGCGATACCGTTAGACTTCATAAAGCACAAGGCTATATATTACACTATCTTTTCGAGGTCTTCATTGACGTTGACATTGATAATTAAAGCTGTGAGCCGATAATTAGCAATAATGACTTTGAAATTAACTAAGAAGCAGTGTCGAAGAGCGCATATATATTTCTGTTGTGCCTTCTTATCTGCGAGCAAAATCAACACAGCAGTAAGCGCTGGAGTCTTTCGTTTAAGCTGGTATATCTTTGAAAGCACGTCGCAAGTTTGACGAGGAGATGGCTCCCTCGACTCCGTTTCAAACACAACATATCAGAATGAAGCTACTAACAAAACTTTCCGTAGATTTTTACATACTGGTATCCATGGCCATGTTCTCCAAAGCGTCCAAAACTTCTTCCATACATCTTACCACTGACGGGGTGTATTGATGAACTAAATCGTCAACGGTAGATCGATCGAGATCTTTCAACAAAGGATGCTGCGAATAGTTAGCTTAAAGTACCCGTCTATACTGGTTCTACACGATCAGGGGAAAAACCATTTCCATTAGATCAGGTAGCACCCCAACTGCTGCTTTTGCGGCAGCCAGTCCTATATCAGCTTTGGAATTTGGAAAACTGCCATTCGGAATCGTTTGTCTCATTTCCTTGTACGATCTCACAACCTCTGCCACACGATCCAAGGCCAGGAGACTACATATCATTAGATGAGATACGCAATTTTGAAGCTTAATCTTACGGTCCATGGTAGAACTTAGTTTGAACAATTTTGGTCTTGAGTGTCTCCCTTTTTTTTTCTGGGAGGTGAAACTCCTGGATGTCGATTCTGCTGTAGGAAGTCTCCCCATCTGGAATCGCCGGATGATTGAGAGCGAAGCCGATCAGGCGGTCGAAGTAGATTGACTTCACATAGTCTTGGTTGCTCATATATGCCTGGAATTGTTGGAACAAGAAGTCAACGAGACCCTTACGGTCCTCCAATCTATCCTCTTGACTGGACGATTTCGGTGGCAAGATATCCATACTTCGGCATGAAATATCCACCTAACAGTTTAGTAAAGATACTTTAGGGCATGGCTAAAAGATTTGCGTTCGCCAAACTTTCGACCACTCACCTGTGTTGGTTGAGGCCATGGCCCCGCTGGATCGATGGAGCGAGGTAGGGTGGTGGTAGTCCAATGGTTTGAAGATTCTGATCCCCCGTGTATCTCTCGAAGAATGGAGCGGATGTGGTTGGCGAGTTGAGAATTCGCCTGACGAGAACCTCGTTGCCAAACCGATAAACGAACCGTGAAGTCGACATCAACGGGAGCTGGAGCTGGCCGACGGCTTGCGATTAAAGAGGCGTATGGGTTCGGTATCTGCCGGCTGAGGACCAATGAGCTTGTGTATGAGCTCGTGATCAACTATAAGGGACTGCGTTGCTGAAGCTTGGCATGAATAATGAAAAAAGGAGAGAGTTAGAGAGGACTGTAGAAAGAAAGGGGATCCTCCTTTGAAATGTAGTCAACAACTGCATGATACAAATGCAAAGCAAGAATCCAGCCTCGACCGCTCCATCTCGCTGCCATGTTGCCAGTCTCATAATCAAAGGACCACTATTGAAAAGCTGTGATCATCGGCGAAGGAGAAAAGGAGGTTTTAGAAAGCGTATGGCTGGCTGGAAGATGAAACCCACAAAACACTGTACAATCTTCCATTCCATTCAGTGGTCGAAGTTTATTTTCCACTAAAGACTTCCTGGTTAAGAAGCCTTCTTGAGCTGTCAATACAGTTTGATAGGGTACTTCTAAGCGAAAAATCGACTTTGACCACCTACTGAACGGCGCTTCACTGTACTGTACAGACAAAAGCGAGGGCATTTGGGATGGCATGCGATGTGAATGGCCGGTGAAATGATGATTTCATAACAGCAGCAATGATAGCAAGATAATGACAACGTGAGCCCGCAGGATGCTTTGTGAGTCAGGAACTAACTGAGACCGTTGTATTAAGCCAAATTCTATTTAAATGGGAGGCTTGGTTCTAGGTTGCCGTTGCATGGCTAAGAGAAAAGAGATTGCGTGTTTGAGATGCTTTGTTTGCTGTGGCTGAACTCTGTTTCAGTTTGAGTAGTAGTAGTAGTAGATTTATTAAAATTATGAAGAACCTCTTCAAAAGTTTAGAGATATACTAAGTCAAGGTATTATAATGTTTTATGTATATATATAAAACAATCTCAATAAAAAGTTTTTTGGATAATAACTTTAGATTCTCAATTTTATAACATCAGAATTCTCTTATAAACTCTAAAAAGTAATTCAAATTTTATTAAAGTATAACTTAAGAATATAACATCTTTTGATTATATTACTATGATATTTACATGTGATCTATTTTACTATTTAAAATACGTATATAAAATATAAATAGAAAAGAATCTCAAATAGTTCTATTTTTCTATAATATGTTTTATTACAAAAACATTAACTTAATTCAAATCTAACTTTAAAGATTTCAATAATAAACAAAAAAGCTATAGGTTTATAGAGGGCAACATGTACGTGTATTGAATCTTTACTCTTCTTTGTTTCAGCTTGAGCGCCACCACGAGACTGTATCCGGCCCTCACTAGACCTAATTCCGTCACCGAGCCGGGCTGAGCATTCTGTTTCGCGAACAGCAAACAGCGAGCAGATGATTTTTCACTGAATGCTCAACTAACTTTGGCAATTCATCATCATTACCATCATCATGCCTTTCGTCTTCGACCCAGCTGCTATAATTGCTTCCCAAGGCCCTAGGACCCTCGGTGAGTAATTCGAAATGGATCGTCTTGGCGCAGATTCTAGCTTGAAGAATATCATCGAAACTCTTCTAGAGTATGAGGTTTATAAATATGTGTTTAATTTTCAAATTGAGATGCAATCATTAAAATCCATATCGTAGTGATGATTCGGAAAGCAGAAACTTGAGTAAGTCGCATCACTGCGATCGACTAAGCTTCCCACTAAATACATCGACCGTAGACAGCGAATCCTTAGAATTTCGCGCGGCGACGTTCGAGATATCGCATGATTGTCTACATTCCGAATTGGGATCGATGAGGATCTTGCTGCGGGAAATTCAGTACGCTGAATGGCCTTACAGACAATTCCCATATGTTCCTGACTGCTTACTCGTCATGTGCGGTTTGTAAGTCCAGATCGCTCGCTCGGGTCCAATGCTTTGAGAAGTATACTGACTAACTCTCGCTGAAACCTCAGCGCTTTGGCACATGCTCTCGTAGTAGACGACAATCCAATATACAAGATTGTCTGGCGCACGACTCAAAATGCAGCATTGAGTTTGGGGAGTAATCGTTTGCGTCTTACTTTACTTGTTGGCCTCGGGTTTTCGGGCATGTGGTCTTTCTGTCGGGCGTGCATATTGGGGACTATCATCTGGTGCAGATTTTCTTTGAATGCTTTGATCAAGAAGTTTGAGGCCGACCAGTTGGATAAGCGGGATTTTAAAGCATTGGATGGTTTCCAGTGGAGGATGCTGTGGTTGGTCACCACCCAGCTTTGAAAAGGGATAGCTGTGATCAAGAAGCTTGATTATCGACGAGTTTTCTCTGTTACTTCATTCTCATAAAAGCCACCTTTAGTATTCAAATCTGATCTACTCATTTGCGACCGTCTATAGACTGTTATTTAGAAGTGTACGATAGCATTTAGGTACAATTTACTACTTCCATGAGCAACTGTCTATGAGCGTTTAATCTTCATGGAGACCTCTTCAACGATGCTGTAAATTGATTTGACCATGTCGTTGCAGGGAACAAGAGGTGTGCAACTTCCAACCATATCTTACAACAACCAGAGATTCAGGAGAATGCGCATCCCGCCAACACTACTGTATCTGAGCCTGAAGTCAGTGAAGTAGTGAGTGATCACTCGCGAGTCCTCGAGCCTGTCTCGTTTGTGTGTTGTCAGCTGTTAGGTAGTTTTTCATTGTGTGCTTGATGTCACTGCGACTCAATACATCACGTGTCACATATCCAGACTTGAGGATCCACAATAGGGAGGCGCGAACCCGAATTCGAGTCTGGCTTTGCTTCTTTTTGAAGTGTAGAGTTCAGATTTAGAGTCGTGTTATGAGCGCGGTGATTAGTGCCCGGGTTCGGCGTATAACATGGCTCGCAAGTCGCAGAAATGAACAAACAGAGTCACGTGTAGCCCATTTTGAATTCTAGTTTCATGACTTACTTATCTGCGGCCTGAATTACATTTGATAGCTTGCGTCATTGGCGCGCTGCTGAAAAGTATATCACAATGGCTCTTTTTAGCATCTTTCGGTGATATTCCTCTGAAAACAATCATAATCATGATAAAGAATCATGTGAACATCTTCATACAATTCAAAAAAGTACTTTGATCCTCTCAAAAGATGTTCTATCTCAAGATCAAAGCAAACTCAATATGACTTATTTCAAGAACTGACACAAATTTGCAATATGAATGGGACAGGCACGAATTAAGACTTCCCACTTCCGCCAAGTTAAGTGCGAGCTCAAGTGCGACTTACCTCGATTTCGAGCATCCCTGATCCGAGATGCAAGGCTAGAGGAAAACAAGATCTGCCAGGTAAAGACGGAAGTAGGTACTCAGAACGCGAGATGTTTGTGCTGATCGCTCTGGGGCAGTCTCAATACTGGTAATTTGACAAACATACCTGTATCTTGAGTCTCTCGAGTCTCTCGAGTATCTTGAGAATTGTCATTGAATTCAAGAATCTGGAATGTGTACTCTGGATTCGGATTTGCTACTCGATCGTTCTGCTATAGACTTCGCTTCCTCTTGAATAGTACTTGCTGGGTTATGGCAATATATATGAGGGATTTGATTTGTATCCAGAATGCTTTTGTGGATATATAGTGTATACCGACCTTGGAGCTCATCCAAATCTCTACCCTAGTATACAATATAACCACACAATCAGAAAAATCTCACGTCATCATGGGGTATTTCTTTCATCGGGCAAATCATATCGATAGAGATGATGTTAAGGGCCATCTCCTTCGTTATGGTTACCGAGTGGTGTTACCGTGAGGATTTGGATAATGTCGCAATGAAGCGAGACAGCGAGTTGGGTTTACACTCGTATTTTGAGGAATGCGACGATAGCTAGTGGAATAATTGATGTTGTAATAGTCACACGTATTGATTTCAAAGTAGCAGATCGAAGAAGATCAAAGAGTTGGGCTTGGAACCGGCTGTACTACCGAGATTCTTCGGCTGCGAGGGGCATACTGAGTAAATCGAAGTAGAGGAATCGATGGCGTATGATGGTGTTGGGAGAGAGTTAAAGAGAGGGAGTACAATCTTTTATAGATGATGAAAATAGTAACAAACAAATCTACACACGCATCTTACTTGATGCAGGGGCTCTCAAACTCAGGGAGATGAACATCATGACTGAGATTATACGATCAATCTATCTTTTCCCATTTTGGTTTGTTGATAACTTTACCGTCTACTCTTATCTTCAATATTGGTTCTATTCAGTTTCAAGCCGATTTTCTAATTTGAGTTTTTGGTGTAAACTTTTCAACCTTATGTACCTTTCAGACTAATTAATCAGTTTCTTGTAATACATGGCGTTTTAAGATGTGTATGTTAGGTTGTGTGTGTCTGAGGGAAGGGGGAGGTATTCCTATTTTGTTTGATTGGGCTTTATTTTTATTTTCGCTTTTGCTTTTATGTGACAGATGATTGAGTTTGAGAGATGAGGGAGAGAGATGAAGAGTTGCGAATGAGTTGCCTGTAAATAGAATTACGAGATAGGATTATGAGGTGTTGCCCGTAGGATATATTGAATAGTTTACATCTGATATCTATATCTAATAGGGTTTTCTGTTCTGTTTGAATTGGTGTCTGAATATGTCATTTGAATTTGGGTAGATGTACTGAGTGGAGCTGATTGGAGAAGATATGATATGATGTGATGGAGTGGGAGGAGGAGAGTAGGAGAGATACTTTTGTGTGGAGTGAGATGGGATGGGTTTCAATTTATGGATTTTGTTTTATTCGATTTACTTTGATTTACTTTGATTTACTTTGGTTATAAAATAAAGAATAAGAAATTAAGAGGAATGACGAGAAAGGGTATGAAGAGGGATTCTTAAATATATCATATAATGTTTTACTGGGGGAGAGGAGAGGAGAGGAATAGAGGAAACAATGAGAATAGAGAAAGTAAAAGTAGTATAAACACAGGTAGAGAGAGAAAGAAAAGAAGAGGGAGGGGGTGTGTTTTATATATTTTTCTTATTAACAAGGGGGTTGATTCTGATTCTGATGTGCGAGGCGTGAGCTGTGAGCTGTGAGCTATAATAAATCTCTCGATCAATCCTGTCATTTTTGATGATATATGGAGTTTATTTTGGAGGTTTGTTGGAAGTTGGAAAGGTTGGGATAGATGAGATGGTGAGATAGAAGAGAAGGGAGGAATGGATAGATAGGTAGTGTAGACTAATTGACATGTATAACATATAGTTACCATATATCTAGCTATCCAGCCATCTGAAGCAATGATGTAAAAACAATTTGAAGATGATGATTCATTCGTCTATTTTATCAAAGACTGGCTGTGTGTATACAACCATCCATCCACGTGCAGACAAAACATACATCCCGAAAGGAAAGGAAGGAAAGAAGGAAAGTTTTCTGCTCTACTATGGTTCATTTCGTTTGGCTGTTTTGCTCCCATAATCTGGACGGATAGATGGATAGATGGATGTGATGTTATTCTATGTTTAATTTTATCCTACTTTGCCCAATGAAGATTCCGAGTTTCTAATCAAATTGCCAGCCAGTTAGATAGATGTAATACCCTACAACCTCTCCTCTCTCATCTGCCAGATTTGGTTGGGGGAAAGGAGAAAAGTCATTTTAAACCCGAATTGATAGATCGGACTGGTAACTCGATACAATCCGATACCTCCCCCCTCTCAACCTTTCGTATTAGCACCATTCCCCCTACTCTTGGCAAATTTCTCATGCCATTTATTTACTTTTCCTGTGGCGGTCTTTTTCGTGACTTCAGTCTTTGTGGCTTGATCTTTATCTTTCCCTTCTCCGTCAATAAGTTCTTCTTCTTTTTCGATTAGTTCGATGGTGTCGGATATACTAGCTATTCTCGTGATGCTTGGTTGAGGAGTAGAGGAAGAAGAAAGGTGAGTAGAAGGGGAGAGGAGCATAAGCGGATTGGAAGTATTTTTTTGGCGGAGGAGGTAGGTTTTTTTGATGGAGGGGGGTTGAGTGGTGGAGGCGGAGGTGGAGGTGGAGGTGGAAGAGGGAGATACGAGGAGGTGTGCGTGGTGGGGGGTTGGGGGGAGGAGGTGAGGAGGAGTCTGGTGGGGAAGGGATTGGGTTAGTGCGTGTGTGAGGAAGGGCTGGAATGAGCGGGGCGGATGAGGCTTGCTTACGTGGGAGGAACATCGGATTCTAGAAGTGTGAGGAGTTCCGGGGGTAGTTCGAGGAGTTTGAAGGGTTGTTGAGTGTGGTTTGCTGTGAAGGGGATTTCGGTTGACATCTTGGGGGTGGTGGGTTGAAGATTGGAGATTGAGAGGTGGGAATTCAGATGTGGTCTGGTGGATTGGGTGTTGAATTGAATTGAATTGAATTGAATTAAATTAAATTGATTGGGAGGGAGATGAGTTGATTGATTATCTTCGGCTTTTATTTAGGAATTGAGTGACGGTTTTCGGGATTGAAGAAGGTATATCGTTATCTTATCGGGATGTTAGATATTCCGAATTGGTGTTGTGTGTAATAAGGTTAAGTTCGAGGGATCTTTGTTATGGAATGATAAAATGGTCTTAAATTCTGTCTACGATATCCGTCTCGGTATGAGAACTGCCCCTCATTCCAACGTAGTATAAGATCTTCATTACCAATCATATTATTCTCGAATAATCTTTTTTTCCATTTCCATTTCCATTTCCATTTCCATTTCCATTTTTTACTTTTACTGTTAGTGTATGGCGTCAGAGAAGGAACGAGAGGTAACTCAAATTAAATTGGTTTAATCAAAGACAACTCAGCCTTAAGTAGATCACCAACCTCTTCTTTTTTGGGTGCACGAGAAAAAAAAAAAGATCCAAAAATGTCAAGTAAATAGATCATAAGCAAACAAAACAAGCTCAGCTGGACGGCGGGGTAAGGAAGTGGACTTTTGGAAGTTTTTCGTGTTCGATGGGAAAGGAGTCAGAAACCAATCATCGCGTGGAGAATAAATCGAGGGGCTGGACGCGGTTACATGGGATTGATGGATTGACTTGTCAAGACAAGAGAAGGAGAGAGAAGAAGGTAAATAGAAGAGAGATGGATACACAGATAGATAACGAAGATACCCATAACAAGATCAAGGAATAACGATGAATGCAACTGCACCATGTATTCAGTGGTTCAATATCAAATGTTCAATATAAAATGTTCAACATCAATAAGACCAGCCATCATATAATATACGTCCATGTCATGTTGAATACTCAGAAGGAGATCCACAATCACTTGATGGATGTTTGAAGTGTTGTACATACATACATATCTACCTCCTACCTCCTACCTCCTACATACATATATGCTAATCTACTCGAGATGCGCCACAACGCGTGTTTTCCTTTTTACCGTCAAAAAATGTTGGAGGACAGTGTAGCAGTTGATGAGTAAAGGGAGAGAAGAGGAGTGAAGGGTGAGAGGGGAGTGAAGGAAGAGAAGGAAAGGAAGGGTAGAAAAGATAGAAAAGATAGAAAAGATAGAAAAGATAGAAAAGACAGAAATGTAAAATGTGTACCAATATGATGATATCAACAAAAGAAAGAGATTAATAAAAATACTCTATTTGTTATTGGAAAAGGTTATCTACCAAGTAATAAAACGCTATCAATACCTCATTTATTACTATATTTGACTATATTTTGAATTTTGAATTTTACTTTATTACGCCGGCCTTCTTAATTATTATTTTCTCACGTTATCCACTCACTCAACTCATTCATCAAGTTCATCTCTGCCGCAATAATTTGATATCACCATAATCCCCTCCACTCCACTCCACTCCCCGTACCTGACCAACCCTCCCCAAATTTTATGATACAATACTTCTCTCTACCTGTCTGTCTGTCTCTCGGTCTTCTGTCTTCTGTCTTCTGTTACTTGTCTTCTGTCTTCTGTCTTCTGTCTTCTGTCTTCTATCTGCTGCTCATCTGTTTGTCTGTCCATCTGCTTGTCTGTTTGTACAATATCAAATACGATCAACCAGTCGGGTTCAAACGAATTCTATACCACAAATCAATACCCACCACAAAATACTTTACCTTCTTTTTGATTTAGATTTGTCAAAAAACATCATCACAATCTTTTCAATCAATCAAACAAGGGTAAAGTAATCATCTGTTCTTTTGATCTTGTGTTCTTCAACCTCTGCCAAATAATATATTGAGAAAGAAGAAGAAAAAAAAGGTTCATATATTTCATTCCATTCGCCATGAAGGAGGCCACACATTAAAGAGACCCACGATTTCGGAACCATACCACCCATACCATACCATTCATACTCTCGAATCCCAATCCTAATTCAACATCTCAACAACCTCTCAAATCTTCTCATACAATGGTTCGAGTGACAGATGAGCTGGCTTTGTCCCTCGATCATCTAAATCTATTCTACGCACACGATCCTCATCTTTCAAACCTACCCGTCCTCATATATCATGGTCCTTCTACCACCACCAATTCGACTCTCAATAGTTCACGAATCCAACTTCACATCTTCACCGCTGCAGGTTTCCAATCTTACCAGCGCATAACCATTTCACCAAACTCACCGCTATACGAATCTGTGAATTATCTCCCGCGCGATAAACAAGGAGATGAATTATGTCGCGGTCTGGCATTCGGTTTATTCAAATATTTCAAAGAGTTACCAGAGGTGGTGAAGAGTGGATTAATATTACAAGTTGCGAATACGTCAAGGAAACAAAGACCAGGTTCGGCACCGACATTATTCGGCGAACAACATGCGGCAGATTTGGCAAGTTCGATGGTGAGGGTGGAAAACACGCCAGATGTGACGAGAGATATTGAAGCGGCTTTACGAATACAAAATATTAATTATGTGGATGTGGATTTGGTTCTGCCGCCGGGCTCGATATCACCCTTTCAAGAATTAGAGGGGGATTTGGATGAGGAAGAATATCCAGATCTCACATTGAGGCAATATGGCTCATATGCATCATTGGTCAAGGTCTTTGGAGAAGTGGCATTCCTTCCTACGTCGAAATTACGTCGAGCCCCTTCGAAACCGACATCCTTGAATCGAAGTAAATCATTTCAGAAGGATCAAAAGATGGCTTTGCGACGAGAGATGGGAGAATTGGTAGATACGGAGGAACGTTATGTGATAAAGATGCATGAATTGGTCAATCATATTGCAGATGATTTTCGAGCCAAAGCCAAAAGTCGAGCATTTGGAAGTTTCAGTCCTTCGGAAGATGATCTGCAAAAGCTGTTCCCACGATGTTTGGATCGAATCCTACAAATTAATTCCACCTTCTTATCAGCGATACGAAAAGTGATGGATGAAACCGAGGAAGAAGCCATGCAAGATCTGGAAACACCAATAGTCAGCTCCACCTCATCTCGATATGGTGGCTCGGGTCGTTTGAAGGACCCTACGGGTGCACTGGCCTTTGCCAAAGTCTTACTTGAATGGTTCCCACAATTTTCCGAGAGTTACCAGCAATATATCCATGCTAGCCAGGAATTTCCACAAATCATTTCAAGCTTCATGAAGCAACCAAGTAGCTTCTCAAGTCGGGTACAAGCTACAGGGGAGCAACGTTTGAGATCGGCTGTAATTGAACCAGTTCAGAGATTACCAAGATACAGTCTCTTTATTGATAATATTGTCAATTCACTTCCAGTGCTACATCCAGCTTTACAACCTATGTTGAAAGCTCGAGATATCATTACTTCGATATGTTCACTTGACCCCCAGCAGCTGATAAGTCACAAGTGGTGAATCGATTGAGATATTTGGTTGATGCGTGGCCTTCTACATTACATCCTCAAGGACGTCTAATCACGGCGGTTGATACGATAGAGTTACCACCTCCATATCATGTTGAAGTCACAACAGGTGGTAGTGCAGGTATGGCCAAGGAAGGGATACTTTTACTCTTCGCTGATTGTATTGTTTTGTTGAAGAAGAATAAGGATTGTTTACAAACAGCTCGAGGTGTCATGGCGGAGATTGATAAACCTTCTGCTCAAACTATGATGGCATCAGTTACCGCAGCAGCTGGTGGACAAAAACATCTCTATGACCTTTCTTTTACTGGCTGGCACGTTCTTGGAGATACTAGGGTTACATCGTCTGATGATAATCGATGTATTTGGTTAACTTCCCTACATGAGTTGAAAGATGCAAATATGGGACGAGATCGTAATCAAGCTGCGACAGTTCGAAACTTCGTTTTACAAGGAGCTTACGAAGCCAAGGCATCTAGGTTGGGTGAGGAATTGATCAAAGCTAGACTTGAAGGAAGATTTTCGGAGGCTGAACGCGAAACCGATAGATGGAGTTTACGATCGATTAAGCCGGCTGGAATTCATCTTTATTGTGCCATTTTTGCTGAAGGTGTTGATGATTTGGTTCAAGGCCGGAGAGAACCTGCTCCTGTTCGGTTGGTTGTTGATCACGAGAAAGGTACAAAGGGTGCTCCTGTGGGTCATTATGGTGTTGATATTGTAGCCAATATCACAACATTGGCCGGAGGAGAAAAATATAGACTTGAGGTAGATGGACTTAACGATAGGGTGTATGTGGATGAAGTACTTCCTGAGTACTTGATGGTTACATTTGCAAAGAGAGGTAAGTCGCTGCGTATTATTTAGAGGACATGACTAATAATTTTAGTAACCGATTTACTTCGACTTCAACATCATATCAGTAATCCAGCCTTAGCTGCACCTTTTACCTCTTTCTACTCGAAAGTCCTCAAATCTATCGACGTTCTGTGTGAGGGTGATAGATCAAAATCATATCGACCACATTCTCCTGTCAAAATCCTTTCTAGTCTACTCAATAGTGGTTTTGGAGGTTCACCATCAACTACGAGTCTCAATGGATTGGCATCTCCTGGTAAAATCTCTCGGCCTATGATAATGGGCAAGATCCCATCATTGGAATCGCCACAAATCGTTCGAACGGGTAGTAATCGATCTTTACATTCAATCCAAGATTTCTCGGATGGGAAAGGTAGTGTTCGAGCTCCTTTTGAAGAGGGTAGACCGGTCAATCCACTTGTCCGACTGGAGGAAACTTTCACCGGTTACATTGCAGCTCTTCAATCAAGAAAAGGAAACGTTGTTGGAAAGAACCTACGAAATCGAGGAGCTGCTGATGAATTGGCCGTCAATGCTTTATACAATACTTTTATTGAAAATCCTTTCGATACTCGAGCAGCTTCTGAAACTTCTTTTGATGTCATCTTTGTGGCATTCGAGAAGTTTTTACGATTGGCATGGAAGGAACAAATGGGTTCTGTTATGTCACTTGAGTCTCTTGATGCTTTACAAGAAAGATCTATCAAATTATTCCCTGGAGATTTCAATGAATACGTCAGGTTGATATTTGGAGAAATGGCCCCACAAAATAGGAGAGCATTTATTGCTATCATCAAATTATTGGCGGATCTCTTGGATGGGTGTGGCAACGATGGTGATCGTGGTTCTCTTACAGTCGCTTTTGCTGAGTTACTGGTCGTTGATGGAGAGCCACATAACTACATCAATTTATTGGATCGTGTCGTCGAAGATTCCGATAAATTATTCGATGATCTTGGACCTGGACCTGGCATTGGTCTTGGAGGTGGTAGTAACTATGGTTCTGTGGCAAGTCGATCAATGCATTCAGCTACCGGATCCATTACATCAAATACATCATTACGAAGAAGATTTGCCGATACCGTCTTTCGTCAAGGTAGTACTAAAGCTGATGCTGATCATCGTCCTTCAGTTTGGAGAACATTGAGTAAGACTACTCGTAGTGTTGCTACTGGAGATCAATATGCATCAAAGCCATCTTTAGGAAGAGCTCATTCAATCGAGTCACCAGATCGTAAAAGTCGACCAGCATCTCGTGATAGACCTACAGTTATGGGGGCATTTGATGAAAGACCGGGTAGTTCTGATTCAATTGCACCAAAATCAAGGCTTAGTACTATTGGTGCATCACCACCACCTGAAGATTCAAAGGATGATGGTACTACCAGATCATCAAAGAAGAAACGTCGAAGTTCTTTATCTGATCTGAAAAGTTTGATGGCTCAAGCAGCACTTGGACCAATGACTCCATCTCCTGAACAACAACCTGCTACGATTACACCGCCAAATAAAAGAGCCACTTCTCCGCCAAGAACCCCATCACCTGCAAAGGTTCCAGCCTCTCCATTAAAGATTACGAAAATTCCAGCAAATGGTTCAATTATGGATAGAGATCGATCTTTAATGTACCGAAGTTCACCTGCTCTTAAAGAAAACATACCCATGATCACATCTCCTGATCGAATCGATCGCAGTATGGGTAATCTAACCGAACGAGCCCAGAATATTATGTCTTCTCTGGATTCTACACCATTTGCATCACCAATTAAAGAACAATGGCGAGGCGGTCATAATAAAACAGTTTCTCTCTCATCAAACATCCCTACGCTCCGTGGAACTCCTCGCGATCCTTCTCGTCCAATAACATCACACGCAAACAACTTGAATGGAACTATCAAATCTCCTCAACGTCTTCGTCTTCAAAGTCCACAAAAACTTCGCGAACGTTTACAAAATGAAGCCAAAGCAATAAATGAAGCAGAAGCTTCTCTTCAAAATGAGTTGTCTAAGATTGGTGAAGAAATGGCGAAATTAAATGCTGTTTCTGCTATTCCTAGGACTTCAGATATTGCCAGACTTTCTGAAGCAGTTTTATTGTTGGAGACAAAAATTCCAAATATTGTGAAAGATTTGAATGAGAGAAATGATGCAGTTAAGAAGGAGTTGGAAGTTAGTTTACAGGCAAGTGAGTTCAAGGTTAAAGGATTGGATCAACTTTATAAGGAGAGTAGTGCGGAGAATGAGTTACTTTATGAGAAGTTTAATGCAGAATTGGGGAAGATTGTTAAGGCTTTGAGAGCGAGTAGAAAGGGTGGTGCTGGAGGTGAAGATGGGAATGGTGTGGGTGGACCGATGAGTGCGAAAGAAGAATTGGTTACGAGAATGAGAGAAAGTAGTGAGGAAGCTGCGAGAGTTAAGAAGGAAAATGCTAGGTTGAGGAGAGAGGTTCTTACATTGAGAACTTTGTTAAAGGGACAAGAAGGGGCGGGGACTGGGGCGCCTCAGTAGGTGTGAGGAGGTGAACATGAGGATTCGAGAATGTGGTAGGAGAAGTGATGAGGAGAGGTGAGAGGAAGGTGACAAAGTAATGAATTATGCCGTTATGTCGTTATGACTTTCTTTTTCTATCGGCGGCAAATATTGTTTTTTTGTCGAATTTGGCATTGTTTTGGTTTGGTTGTAGCTAAACTGGAAGGCGTTCGACCCTTCTTTTTCTCGATATACCCATAGCATGCGTGTATTTGGGGTCTGGGACGGGGATGGACGGACGCATGGTTTGGTTATTGGCAAATGGGGGGAATTTGCATTTAATAGAGGGATGTATGAATGGATGGATGGATTTGTTTGTGGTAATGGATTGTGTGATGGATTGATTGATTGATTGGAGAAATCATTTGGATGTGCATGCATGCACAATGTTATGATACCAAAGTTTATGTTTTTTATGTTTGGAGGGATGAGATGAGATAAGATGGGTAATGATCTAGATTTGGATTGTGAGAGGATGGGGGAATTAAGGGGAGGAGATGAGATGAAATGAAAGGGTAGAGGTGATGGTGATGAAGGTGGAGATTAGCGAATGAAAGAAAGGGGAAAGGGAAGAGGGAAAATAAGATTAGATGAGATGAGATGAATAAATAAAATACATTTTTTTTGTATATTTGTGTATGGATGAATGTATTGCGTGTGTGTGTCTGTGTGTCTGTATCTCTGTGTGTTTATGTTACTTGTCTATATGTAGGAGAGGCCAAAATTGATTACCCTAATAAATTCAATAATAGATCAACCTGACACTTTCAACTAGCGTTGTGATCGCCGCGGGGAAGAAATGCCGAGCTGTTGACCGAAGTGTGTCGAATGAACTCCTATGCACTCCAGAATCAGGCGAAAAAGGCATCGTCTCTAAAAAAAACATAGAGGTATTAAATATGTGAAACTTTTATGATAAGAATCAGTTTCCAGTCGACTTGGATGTATGATTGTAAGTTGACGATGTTAAAACGTGGTTATTGAAAAGAAGGGTTCACTCCATCTCACCTAACCCAACTAAAAATTTAGCGCGAGATGGCCTGTACCCATAATGAACGGCCGAATTTAGGGTTCAATTTCAGTAGATATGGCGTGACTAATGCAGCTCTGATTATTAAGAATATTGTAGAGTATGTCAATGAGAGAAAAGCGACAATGATCTGTATACCAATTCTCAAATCAAAAGTCATTTTCATTCATTTGGTACTAATTTTTGAATAGAATTTCTCCAAAAGGCATTGTCGTTCGTGTTCTATTTTGGGAGTGTCAACTCCTGTTCTTCCCGTACTTCTCGCTTAATATCTGCTTTTTGACAGAATTCTCTGTGCATTTAGGAGTTCATGTACCGATATCTTTGACAGAATCTAGTAGAACAACCCGACACTAAAGCAAATTGACAAATACCCTTTCCTGGATAGTATTGATAATAAGTATGAGAAAACCAAGGATATCAATCCAACTACAATCATCAAGATACAATGGACCGCTGGAATTGATCTTGGGACCAAAGAAAAGTGGAATTCATCGAGGAAAAGATTAAGTGAACGAATGAAAAGGCGTAGAGCTCTTCACTTAGTCTAATGATCATCATCAGAGAAGAGACGGACTACTATATCTTTTCAATTAGAACGTATACACATGCGACCAAACATTTAAACACACACAAGCGTGGAATAACCAATTGAGCGAGATTTAATGTTCACTCTTATCTTCCGTTCCAATCTTCTTTCTCCCTCGGGTCAGTGATTGATATATTTTTACCCTAGACGTAGTATTCTGCGCTCAACATTCCAATCTCGCTTTACTGTCTATTCAATTAGTATCAAAACCCTACGTGTCCCCTCCCTCTTTCCCTTTACAAAAAGAATTTGAAACTTCAATTCCTTTTGCGATAACATAAATTCGAAAGAATAAATCGTGCTCGCATTGGTACGCTTTACTAAAGAATCCTGAAACTTCGTTGTCCCTTACTCGATTGAATGCTAACCACACTATTTGAAGCAGCAGCAGATTTATTGAAGGCATCAAACTTCCCGTCCAAGGATAAATCTTCCAACCAAAGCATCAACCTTTCAGTCAAAACATTGTCCTGCCAACAAAATGAATCAACCAGTCAACAATAATCAACCTGGTCATCCGGCCCCGATGAATCGTCGTCCTCGTCTCGCTCGTCGAGATGCCGAGGAACATGTTCCTCTTACACGTCAAGCTCAGAGAGCCCGTTATTACTGTATGTTTGCGGCTGACAGAGCTATGGAGTCTGCTAGAATGGTTAGGACTACCAGAACTTTCGGTTCTGTGACTATTGATGCTCGTTTCCCAGGCGGGGCTTCGAGAGATGTTTTTAACACTGGTGCTGTTCAGGTCACTGGGAACGCTCAGGCTGTTGGCAGTGCTCAAGCTACTGCTAATGCTCAAACTTTTGAAGTCATTCACACTTTTGAGATCACTCGAACCGTTGAGATCACCCATACCACTCAAACTGCTGAAGCTGGCTTGGATTCTTTGACAGGCAACAGCCTCACCCGCGGCTCCTCTACTACGACTTCCTCTGCAAGCACCATCTCAAGTGTTGTAGTTGTGGATGCTCCAGCCTTTGGTGCTACAGGTACTTCTTCTTCCTCTACAGGTGGCCGTGCTGTCGCCATGCACGAAAACTCTCATGAGCAAGACGGAAATGTGGAAGAAGAGAGTGACCACGTATTCGTTGATCACGTCACCGGATCGTCTGCAAATGGAGATATGGTATGTCTAATTTTCCATTATTCTTGTTCTTCTGTTACAATTATTATCTGCTGTCTGCTGTCTGCCATATATGCAAGCTGGCATACCCCCTATCCTGTTTTGTTTTTATCAATCTTCCTCAACCTTGAATTTGAGCTTCTGATTCAACGAGAGTATTCACAACCCCCTCTATTTCCTTCCATCTCCCCTCCCCGAGGACCCGAGAGAAAGCACAACCTCTTCATTTCTTTTTGAATTCCAACCCTCTCGTTCAGGAAAGGAGTTTGAATGCTCTGTGCTTCATATCATATCATGTTTCCGCAAAATACTCAATCCGATGAGACGGTTTAGTTGTCAAGAAGTTCTTGACAAGAGCCTTGGGATAATGCATTCAATCTCTGAGAATTTCTGGTCCTCAGTCTCAGAGAAGCCGTACAACAATTGTACAACTTAAACTCAAGAAGACATTTAAAAGAGATATAGACAGGGGATTTCAGCTCATTTGTGCAGAATGAGAAATAGGTTATCATGGCTACCTCTACTCTTTAGTTTACGATCATCAAGGATCGGAGGGTAACTAAAAGAAAATGATCTAACTAGTGTCAAAAATATACACTAATTGATAAAGTAATTGTCCTATGACTCTTCTATTGTCATTATCATTGCTACCTTGGTCATTACTTGTTTTATACTTGTTATCTGCACTACATCTTGATTTCCCCCTTTCTTTTATTTATTCAGAAAAGCTTGGAAAAGCTTGGAAAGAAATAGTTAAAAGCTAACGTATTATAATTATAGTCTTTTGAAGTCGCGGCAGCCCTTGCTGATATGGATGAAAATGACTTGCCCATGTCCACCCTCAATTAACTTCCTCTCTACCACCGATGACTCCTTTCTACTTCCGACGTCCACCGATAATAGCAGAGTTTCGAATATTGAGCATACAGAGCTTCTTGCATGAAGATGCTTTAATTTGGTCAATAAAGCTTCTTTCAATAGCATCGAGACTAGCCCGCATATCATTCGACGATTCCGGCACTAGAGAGTAAGAGGATAAAAGGGAGGGATAGATTGATATTTTGAGGGTCTTTTTGGTATAATGGCTATCTTACGTTGACACCTCAGCCAAGATATCCATTACGACCACCCTTAGGATACTCGACTTCTTGATATGACTTCGATGCGTCATCCAGTACATTTTTGCCTTTTAATTTTTAATTCTTGAGTAATATTATTGGGTCTTGATACCTTCTCCCACTTGGATCAGGAGTGTATGGTACCCAACGATTTTACATTTATGGTTTTACATCTGCTTGTTTGCCATACTTTTTCTTCTTTACTCTAGCTTTTAAGCAGTATGATTTAGTACCTCGTTTCTTGTTCCCTTTGGGACATAAGAGCGTGCGATACCTAATGATTTTACAATCACGGCTTTTCAATAAGATACGAAAGTATTATTATTCAAGCCCATTAAAGCGTGTCTTTTTTTGTATCCAAAGTATCATTTACTGACATTATCTAGTATATTGTCTTGTCACACTATTTTGGTATACTATTTGAATTTCTGTCAATAGAAAGACAATGGAATTTTTCTTCTAAATCATAAAGCATGCACTAAAATTTCTGAGATCTGAATGAATGTGAGATTCCCTCGGTGACTAAATTTTCCTAACCCCATAATCAAAGTTTCTGAGACTTCTAGGTGATATGATGACCAAAGACCGTATGCTTATTCTTGTGAAACTAACTCATATTGCAAAACTCCTCAATATTTTCGTCATTCTTCCAAAACTCTTTCCTGGAAATTCGTGTTCATGAGGTCTACGGCTGAACTAATATCTAGCGATGCAGAATCTTTACAAAATCTTTACAGGATTTTCATGATACTTTGATACTAGATCTACACTCTTTCCTATTGCCCTGTAACAATACTCATGATGAAACTAAGGGGGAGAGAATTCCTTCGCTTATTCTCGATCTAGCTACTAGTCATCTCGCTTAGCATTTTGCAGCTTACTTGTCCTCACTTTACTTTCTTTCTCATGCCGTATTTGAATATTTCTCGTCTTTTCTCTTCTCTTTCTCTCTTTTCACTTCTCCTTCCTTCTCCCCCCTTCTCTCCCCTTCCACAAACAAGACTCGAAACCCACAGTATCCCTCCACTCCACCCCACTTCATTTTAACATCTCCCTCCCTCATAATCACCTCCCCACTAACACTAACACAAAGTCAATAATCCATTACACTTCCACTCCCCCCAAGACTCTAGTCTCCAAAATTGACTTGACTCGATTCCTCGTTTTCCTATCAATGACCTCTCCACACATCTTGAGTTTGATTTACACATGGCCATGACTCATGCACTGCATATCCTCTTCTGGATTTTACTATAAAACTATCATCTTTGCCTTCTTGTATCATCTACTTCTCTCATCAGTTCATTCATTCATTCATCACATACCTCCAATCACTCATACATAACCTATCCAACCTCATAGTCTCATTACCTCATTGTCTCACAGCCTCCCAAGATCCTTATATATCTCATCATCTCTCCACGTAATTCTCTCTTCCCCACATTTCCCTTTCTCTTCTCTCCCCTCAACTACTTCAAGCAACATATCCACCCCTCTTTCCACCCACACAAACTCCCCAAGTCCAAAATCTCAATCCCGCCATTCAGCTTTCCATTCTCGGCCACCAATTTACATATCGCGCATCACAACTCACCATCTTAAATCTAGTAGAAACTCGACCCCAAGATGGTGTTCAAATTAAGGTTATGAATTCGACTTGACAGTTATATAATGACTAATCAACACACTCACTACACGACCTGACAGAGCTAACCCCTTAATGGTTATACGATTGAATGCTTATATAATCTGATATTTTCACATACGATAGTTCGTATGACTCAGAATCGCTATCATCTCCGATATGACAATGAATACCTACAAGAAAGGAACGGGTGATGACATGATCTGATCTAACGGTCATTTCACAAGGTCAAGTCAAACAAAGGAGTTTCATTGCCCATGGGACACACCTCGACTCACCATCAACAGAGTTGATACCTGCATACCGCAGACGTGCACTGCAAATCCTGAATTGGATAAGAGGATATTCGCAAACCCATTTAACCCGAGATACACACCAAAGACGATAGACCTTTCGAATTCGATCCAAAGCATCGATAGATCAATCGCCTCTCTCGACTTGATATCCACACGTCACTCATCACTCATAAAACCCACAATCTTGCAGGGGAAGAAAAAGAAACAGGGGAATCGGAAAGTAATCATCAGGATAACCACAGACACATTGAGTGGAATGGTGACGCAAAATGCGCAGAAAGCGAATGTTGTGATTTTATTCTATTAATGATCTTGTTGCGAGTGAGAAAGAAAATTGATCATTATGATCATAAATAAGATCAGTGACTAGGATACTTAATCATTGTCTGATTATTTTGTAATATCTTTCTGGAAGTTTCGGAGAAGCTCGAATTGATGTTTCTTGTGGAAATAGAGAAGCCGTAAAGGATTGAACTAGTGGAGATGATCTCCGTACATGCACTAGGAGAGAAGAAAAAGTACAGAGAAATATATTTAGTATTACTAATTGATCGGACTTGTATTGTCCTTCTGATAACGATATTACTACCCTTTCCTTTACAACTTTTCCTCAAATGTCTTCTTTTTCTTCCACCTTATGAGGTAGCCGTGTTGGCTGGAGGACTGGTACACGTCGATATAGTTGTCCACTGCAATTTATCATTGTCATTAGTATGTGTACCAAATATCCTCAAATTTATTGAAAGGAATGACCATGACAGTAATGAGAGTACTTACGGGTAGAGACGAAGTTGAAGTTGGACTTCCGGAAATAGTCTCTGCTTTTACTAAGACTGGGATGATAGATCCGGTCACTAAGCTGAAGACTTGGTGATGTAGAACTGCATGATATGGAGTTAGTACCGTCTGGTATCTTGGGATGAAAGTAGCAAAATGGTGGATGAGGGTGACACCGAGAGAACAGGCTGGGTTAGATTGCACATTTTTTACAAGCGAGGTCTGAGTTCTTCTCCAACGGACAATCTCTGCATCGAAAAAAGCATCGAGTGATATACCACCCATTCGAAACCCCGACAATCCAAGGTAAAAATTCAAGAAAAGAGATAAAGAACTCATACCTCTTAAAATACTAGCAATTTCCCCTGAATGACTTGTAATACTCAACCAAGTATGATCATCACTTCCAAAAACATCGTCCAAAACCTTCTTACTTCTAATATCCTGATCGATAGAAACTTCACCCTCCAATGCCTTCCAGAAGGGATCATTCTCTGCGAATCCTTTCTCAATTTTATATGAGGGGAATGATTCGTGGATGAAAGTGCGATTACTTCTTCGATCACAAGTATGACCGGAAATCCCTTCTCTGAGAAGTTCTTTAACCAATGGCTTGAAAGGACGAGATTTAGGAAGAGGAAGAGTAGAGAATGTAATGTTGGAAGTTTGAAGACAGCGATAGAGTGGAGAAGTATAGTAAGATTGTGGAAGTGGAATATTTTGGAGTTGAATACGGGAAAGCCAGTAGTTTGATGCTTTTTGAGCTTGGGTGATCCCATTAGGATCTAAATGAGCATCTGCCCACTGAAAAATGTTAGCTCGCTCTTGATAAGTCGAGAGGTAGGTGATGGACTCGTGGTACGTACTGTGACAGTGGCATTACCATCCATCTCGGAATAATAGCACTAAATCATTAGTTTCATCCCACAACTACAATCTACTCTGACAAGAAGTACATACATTCCACTACATTACTGTTAGTAATTAATTTATCAAAAATCTCTCAATCATAAAAACTTACAGCAGGAGTTCCATAATAAGTCTCAGCAGCATTATGCCATCCTTCACCATGTCTCCCCATGAATAAAACTTTATAGTTCACATTCTTCTTTGCGTTCTTATTTAAAGAAGTCACATATTTCTCAAACCTTTCCCATTGACTTGCATTTTTAGAGACACGGGAATCCGTAGGATAAGTTCGATTTAGGAGACCAAAGTTCCATTGAGTCTGTGAATATTATTAGCTTTGTCAAACCTAACACGAATACAAAATGATGTATATCCAAAGACTAAAGAAAAGATAGGAATTCATACATAATCGAAAGTCGATGGAACAGTCGTCGCTTCATCTTGTAAAAAGAACCCCGGTACAGCAGTATAGTTTATCCAACTCTTATCATGAGATCCGGAATTTGATCGAGCGTCATAGTAAGGAGCTGGAGTAGCGTGAGGAAATTGAGCACCTGGAATCGCACCCACGACCGAGAGAAAGCCTAAGCAAACCGTTAGAGAAAGCATCACGGAAAATGATATGATAATTAATCTCAGAAACCGATAACTGGAATATGCCATTGCCAAGAGTAGGAATTCATCGTCCTTTTATATACAAATGTGAAAACCTAATCTCCATATGCATCTAGGATACATATTGAAATGCATCCCAAAGATGGTTAAAAGTAAATTATCTCTGCAGGTACACAAAGTTCGGATGAAGTTAAGGTCCTATGGTTGATGCACGTGGAGGACAATATCCCACTTGGCTTCTTGGGGAAAAGCGGGGTGTATCCATGGATATTGCGGTGATGCTTCCCTTGTGGTGAGTGAAGCCGAAGGTTGTACAGTCTCACACGTGATGGTTCGATGAAATGGAAAAATATGAAGACATTTTGTATAATTTCCTCCGGGATCTTTGGTAGTCCCCGGTTGTTCATTGACTGAGTCGAGTCTATCACGTCGACGGTCGAGACCAAGAATCAACGAGGTACCTTTCACGTGACTACTCGAAATCTCCAAGACCTCGCAGGTTCTTGAAGTTTAACTGCGCTCGTACAGTCGATGCAAAGCTAGGTATACATGTTATTACCAACTGCTAGAACTCAAAAGTAAAGCAAGAGATGAAATACACTCATGAGATTCAAAGATTAAACTCGCCTTATCGGGTAAGAATATCCATCTTTCCTCTGATTCGTCAGATAAGATTAACACTTCACTCCAAAACGAGGGGATTTGCAAGCAAGCGTATTTCATACATCTCAACGACATTCAGCCTGGCGACTTATTTGACATTAACATATCTAGACAACAAGACTCCTCGATTTCCAGACTCCCCCATTTCCAGATTCCTCGATTAAGTTACTGTAAACTGATGAACAGTTTATAACATACCCAGTAATAACGACGAATACCTCTCACTCCAAAGGAATGGCAACCTCAGAACCATTTGTCGATTCCCTGTGGGAAATGATTGAAAAGACCACTCATTATATAAACACAACACACATACCCATATTAGGAGAGTGGTCCTTGCGATCGATTTTCCAAATCGGTTTGATATGGTATCTTGTGATAAAGCTATCAACTCGAGGTACTCAGCTTGAGGAGTACAGGAAACGGCTTCAAAATGCCGAAGCCCAGATTCAACGAGATGAAGAATCCCGGAAAGAAGTTTCAGAGATAGCTTCGGATCTTAAGGGGATGTTGGAGGAGAAATCGGGGATGCTTGAGAATGATCATGAGCTGGCTTCGATGGTGAAAAAAGTAGATGGGATTTCATTGGCTACGGCTACCGCGCAACAGAAAGATATTTCAAAATCGATATCTTCTTCATCCGGTCCCAAAATGACTATTAGTCAAGTGAGTAAAATGAAGCATTCCAGAATCACAATTCAGAATTTAACATCTAACTAACACCACACAGCTCTACATCTACCCCATCAAATCTCTCCGAGGATGTTCTCTCCCCTCCGCCACCCTAACCAAAGAGGGATTTTCCTACGATCGCAAATTCATGCTCCTTCGCATCCGCGATCCCAATTCCAAATGGGGTTCCTATCAAAATATGCATATATCCGAGTTTCCAGAAATGGCTCTATTCCATACCTCCATCAAAGACTCCACTCTCCACGTAACCTACCACGCCCCCTCTTCCTCCTCCCAAACTCCAGTCTCTCCACACCCAACCCTAACCATCGACCTATCCCCCTCCACCCTCTCCCACCTTCCAGAAATTTCAATCACTATGCACAAGAGCCCCATGACAGCCTACGACATGGGATCCACCTACAACAACTGGTTTTCCCAATACTTCAAATACCCCGTACTCCTCGCCTACGCCGGGCCCAACCGACGTCTCGTGCTCGGCAATCTCCCCGGACAACCCGCAACCTACACCCCTCCCACTCGCCCCCTCCTTCAAAAAATCCCCCTCCTCAATTCCCTTCTCCCCATCCCCAAATCCCCCTCCATCATCTTCAACGACTGCGCTCCCTACCTCATCATCACCCAATCCTCCTGCGATGACGTAACCAGCCGTCTCCCCTCCCCAACCCCCAAAATGGACATTACAAAATTCCGCGCCAACATCATTATCTCCGGTTCGCCCCGCCCGTACGATGAAGATTACTGGGGCGGATTAACCTTCTCCTCCGACTCCAATTCCCCCAAAGAAATCCTCCTAACCGCCAACTGTGGGCGCTGCGTATCCCTAAACGTGGACCACGAAACCGGCACCCCCGCCCCCAAAGAAAAAGAAGTCCTCAAACTCCTCATGAAAGATCGACGGGTAGACGACGGCATGAAATATAGTCCTATATTCGGGCGCTACGGGTTTCTCGGAAATGGAGATGTGTGCGAAGGGAAGATGTTGAAAGTTGGTGATGCGGTACAAGTTTCGAGGAGGAATGGAGAGAGGACAAGATTTTGTAGGTTTATTCTTTCCTTTCTTCCCCTGATGATACAACAACCCCAACTTCCAAAACCTAGCTAACCACATCCATCCCCCACCCACCAGACTGGCCCGGTCTTTCAACCTAAACCAATACATCCAAGATCTTGGGAACTTTGTTATATACACACAGACAGCCACCCCTATATAGCCCATCTAGCAAGCAGATCAAGAATCTTGGAGAGACGAAACCAAAATATAAAAGGTAGCCTGACTGAAGAGAAATGTAAATGAATCCAACCCATTTCATTCGTATAATTGTCTTATGCAGTGTTTGCAGATAGGAAGATTTATTTATTCATTCATGAGACTGGCCTTTCTACTCAATGCATTTAATCCATTCTGACAATCCTCCCAAAATTCTATTCATTATATCCAGCTATCAACCTACCAACCTAGCATTACCTGATAGTAGTACCTAGATAATCCAAACCCAAACCCAAACCCAAACATCCAATACCTACTACCTCCGAATCACTACCTCTCTCCCTCTACACCTCAAACTCCCTCCCTCTCACCTCCCTCCCACCTCCCTCTCTACATTCTCTGTTCTACACAGCCACACTCCCAAGTCGTACCCGTACATCATCCATTCTCCCTCTCCGGAACCCCTTCCTTCGAACACACCACTTCCAATCTCCCACTCCAATTCCTGACTAATCTCTACACTCTCGAGGTAAGAGAACTGCACCTGCTCACATTATCATTAAATATTCACTATTAATCTTCACCAAAAGTGCATCACTCATCGCATCTTGTCTCGCATCTTAGACATTTGATTTATTAAATGATAAATTAACTAACTAATCACTTCCATAGATGAATCTTTGGACTATCTACCAATCTGCTTGTAAAAACCGCAAAGTGTGATGTATAGTTTATTCGTATCCATATCCATATGAACATGCTTTGTGGCATTCTGTTATGTCTGCAAGATGTCTGATTAACCAAATTCATCTCAAAGTTGACGACAACGTCAAGAACGATGAATAGGTCGCCGACCAAGACAAAAAAAGCATGGCCCTAACATCACAAAGCCCATTCAATAAATCCCAATTCCCTCCCATTTCAACTCATCCTAACCTACAATCCACGTTCCATCATCCGATTAGTAAGTCTCGCAAATCCCCAAGAACGAAACCGACTCATAACATGAGATGGATCTCTACCCGCACCCAGATCTTCATTCCAATCCTCACCACTCTCCTCCAACTTCTCCCTAGCCATCACAAGATAACGCCCCAGATCCCTGCGCTCCTCCGCCGTTTCACCATCCTCATATTCCTCACCATCTAGCATGGAAAACCGGCGCCAAATCGTCCCTTCAACCGCAACTTTTAGCTCATCCAAAACAGAAACACATAGTCCCATGAATGAACCCGGAAATGCGATTTTCTTAAGAGGTGCGTGGAGGATTTCGATCTTGCGCTTGATTTCATTGTCGGGTTTGCATATTTGTGCTATGGTTTTGATACCTGTGATGTAGGTTACGGTTGCGGCGGTGAAGATGATGTATTGGGGGAACTGGTTAATAAGAGATTAGCCGTGAAGTTCCCAAACATATGGAAATAAGAGCCAAAGAAAGAAGAACCACAGAAAGAAGAAGAAATCGGAAGAAAACATACCCAAGCACTTCTAAAAGCGACAGATTTAACAAAATCCGCATATAATGGAAACTCATGTTTCAAAAGTGTTTCCTCAGATTCTTTAACAAATCCCTTAGGACGTGGCTGCACCATATCGCAAATGTATTTACACGCGTTTGTAAGCTTGCCGATCATTGCATCTTTCGCCACATCGCAATTAGGATCGAGAAGGTAAGTGCGAAGGAGGAGAATCTTGGTATGGTGATAAGACAACCACAATTCAGATCTTTGCCGATTTTGCCCCTCATCTAAATTTTCAGGTAAAGCTTGAATTAGTGAGGCTGCTTTGTCCTTCCAGGCGGGAAAGCTGCCAGTGAGGTAGGATTGGACAAGGTCGAAACGTTCTTCGGGTTCATATTTGCGGAATCCGTAGAATTGGTCGAGGATGTTACTTGCGATTATTGAAAGTCTGGAGGGTGTTTTGGTTAGCGAAATTTTTGAAGCCGGCAGTAGAAGAAATTACTTACTCGAATTGAAGGTTAGATGCAAGGTTTGTGGAGAGATCATCTGGAGAAGCAGGGATGAGGTTGTTGGGGGTGAATTGTCTGTCGTTGATAATCTTTGGCAACTCCTAATTAGATTGTTAGTCAATTCTTTGATTCAAGTATATTTATTATGCTATTATATCCATCCATCTCTGACACCTGCACTGTAAACAAAGGATAGCTGACGTTCTGATGTCTGCCATGATTGTTGAAGTTGTTAAATCATTGTCAACTAAACAGATTATCCGAGCCCCCATGTATCCGGAGGACAGGTGCTCTTGACTCGAGGAAAGGGGCCAGCATCATGACAAAGTAATGACCAAAAAATCTGCCAACAAAGAGTATGCAGAACCTTGCATGTTAACTTGAAAGAAATGAAGAGCTCACCTGATCAATATCATCAATCTTAAGACGTTGTGGTCTATCCAAAGCATAACTCAAAAATTTGTCCAGAAAGAAAGCTGCCCAGAAAACTCGCTTTTGACATTCCACCTCAATTAAATCAACAATGCCTCTCTTGCTATAATATCTATTTAATCCAAGCGTGAAGATCAAGCTGACGACATTGGAAAATGTGGTCCAACACTGGTTGATTCGACCTCTAGCAGCAAGATAGTAACATTGGAGAAGTCGAGCTTGAATGCTTGTTAATTGTGGGGACCAGTTTCAGATTGCAATTGCTCGTCTGCTAGTTGATAGTGGAGCATACTATTGAGAATGGAAATGTTAGCAGAAGAATAGAAGCGAAGGATGGTTTACTGACCTGATGTCCAACGATTCTGATTTCGCACGATAAGTTTGAGCCGAAGCAAAGATCATAAAAACGATGGCATTCCTGCTTTTAAGATAATCCAGTTGCAAGAGATTGCTACCAGCCTCTAACAACTCATCTGTCCAGCGCTCAACACTAGGTCGATGGAAATAGAGTATACTTGGGGAGAACTTGTCAAAATAAATTTGAACAAGTTTAGCACCATCATCAGGACTTGGCAGAGTCAGCAATCCAGGTTGACTGATAGGTATTGGTAGATCACCGTATGTAAGAACAGAAACAGGTGCATTTGGGTCAAACATCTGCTGAGCTTGTTGGACCAAGTTAGCAACTGGACTATTACTCGCCGACTGTTGAGGTTGTGGCATCATTTGATTGAAATTTAGATTCTCGCCTAATGAACCTACTACCGGTGACATCTGCTCGTCTTCTCTTTCCATTGGAGGTTCAGAAGTGGCCAAGTTAGATCCGCCAACGAAGACTTTGTGTTGGGGGTCGGGTCTATAGTTTGGATTTGGAAGAATTTTAGTTCTTCGACCACGAGCATAGGCGTGATTGTAAGAACAATCCTTCTTATCATAAACGCAATTAGTACATGGCAAATTGCCAGAGCACCTAGCTTTTCCTCTGTGGGATTATTAGTAAGATCATACTAAGTTTTGTAATTATCTCGAAGTGAATATATGTTGAATTCAGGGGGGTGAATCTCGGAAAAGCTTACTTTCTACATTGGTCGCAAGCTTGAGTAACTTTGCTTCGCTCTTTAGTTCTTTCATACTTTTTTCGCGCAGGTTTAGATGAATTGCCATGCGGGATATTAGTGGTCGATGAGATTGTGTCCGTCATGTTAAAGAAAGTATCCGGATATTGGTGGAAATCCTCAAGTTGCGTGTGGTGGTTGTGATAAATATCTGCAGATTGTAAATGGCGCTTGTAAAATGGAGGAAAGAAGAACGAGAGAGCCTGGCAAGAGAGAAGATACCTTAGGGAGAGATCTGTGAGTTGTTTTGAGATGAGGCCGTATGATTTGAAAATGAAAACAACGGCAGAGGTTGTGACGAGCCGTGGAGGATAAACAATGGAAATCTCTAGCGAGCCAATCAAAATTCGAGAATTCTAGGTATTGAAGATGGAATGACTTAGACACACAGGAAATGTTGTTTCAATTCACTATGTAGAAGAAGATACGGATATATAGAAAGAATGAATACTCAGAGAAATTCCTGATGGTATCTAGATGTTGATTTACTTGATTTTTGAAAGAAAATTGTCTCGTCGCCTACACATCTAAGTAAAATTGCAATAAACATTACCATTCAGTATCGCACAAAGTATTTTGAAGGGACACCACTTTGTGGGGCCGATAGAAATAAAATCAGTCAAAAAGCAATGGTAAGACTACTCATATTCAAAAGACTCGCAACTAATTAATAGTCTTTTCCGAACATAGGACAAGCGTCTTCTTCTGGCATCTTCAAATATTCCCTCCTCTCGCCGGCAGAAAGCTTCAACTTTTCTACATCATTCGACTTGACACTTTTCCGGTTGCCGAATATGTCCAGTTTCTCCCATTCACTCACCTTGTCGATACTTCGATTGACTGATAAGTGAGGTGAATCAACCAGCTCCTTGACTTCCTCATTTACAGACGTTTTCGAAGTCTCAAATTGGCCACCCTTCTTAGTCACCTCTGTTTTCTCGAGATCAACTTTCTTTACTCCAATTGCAAAGCCTTGATCCGTTACAAGAGCTTGATCAAGACCATAGCTCTTAACAAAACAACTAGAGATCAATCCAGTTACAGCAAATGCACACATGGCGAGCCAGATAGTCTTGATGGACGTTGCAGATACAAGCCTAAAGTCCACAACTTCTGGACTTTCAGGTGGGAGAGCATTAATTAATGGAATCAAAGCCACTACATTGGCAGTCACCTCTTCGATCGTGTATCCAAACTGTGCTACGATTATGGTAAAGTCTTGGGTGGCCCTGAGTTCTGCAAGCATTCTATTCTGTAATATGCCACCGCCACTAATTGCTGTTAGCACATGCTCAATATGGAATGTTAATGAGAAATCTTAACAGGAACGACTTGAAGAGTGCTTGTCTGGGTGAATTGGAGGCGGAAGAGAGCTTGGAAAATAAACAGAATAGGAATGGAGAGCCACTTTGAGTTACTGCTTATTGTGCAGAACAGCAAAGAGCTGCCTCGGAAGGAAGAACTTCTCAAACCTATAAAAGCCAATACTCGACCTTTGACAGCGGCAGGTGTGGCATAGGGAGGAGAAGTAACGCCGGTTTGAATGGAGATGTGTGCAGGTTCTCCAAGATAAACTCCAAAGGCAGTACTTGACGAGTAATAAGAAGCAAATACGAAAGCTAAGCAACCACTGGCAGTATTGGAGAGGTGTAGAGACACGGATGGAAACGGAAACAGAAACACAACCACCAGGCAATAAGTCAAGAACCAAAAGCCGAAAGCCATTGAGGAACATATAAACAAAACAAGAAGAAAGAAGACAATAACTTACATCGCCACCCCAACGGTTTGACCCAACGCCCTAAAGAACGTGAACAGTCCTGCTGCAGTAGCAGCATCCTCCTGTGGAGCCGAAGCTTGAATAGCTAAACTCATAGCTGGATACAGAAGTCCCATACCAATACCACTTCCTAGCATCAGAAAAACCCATGCCACAACCGGTGTTCCAACATCAAGAAGATATAGCATACCACAACCGAAAGCTGTTAAAGCCCATCCGAGCCATAGACTCCAACGATATTTTCCTGTTTTTGCAGCGAAGATTCCAACGATAATAGCCATGGGGACAATAGTAAGGGTTTCTGGAAGGGCGGCCACACCTGCCATCATCGATGTGTAGCCTTGGACAGACATAAAGTAGAAGGGGGCATAATAGACGATTGACCAGAGAATCATTCCATGTAAGAAAGTACAAAAGTAAGCAATTGTCGTTGAAGGGTTGCGGAAAAGTCGAGTTGGTATGATGGGTTTCTTTGCAAGCATCGCTTCATATATGCAGAAAATAACAAGTCCAGTAGCTCCTATCAGCAGTGGAATCAAAGTATGCCAGCTTTTCCATGAATAACTGACTCCACCCCAAGTCAAGGGGATAAGAAATGAGGTTAGTGACCCAACAAAGATAATCGATCCGATGTAATCGATTTCAGACAACTTCTCTTCTATCGTTCTTTCTTTTCTCTCCAATTTCAAAAACCAAACACATCCTACAAATCCTATTGCGATTATGGGTAGATTGAGGTAGAATATCCATCTCCAAGCATTTTTATCAGCCAAAGTACCACCAATTAGTGGTCCAGTGACACTACCCAATGCCCATACCACGCCTAGAAGAGCCATTGCATTTCCTCTTTGGCGTAATGGTACCATATCCGTTATTAGAGCTTCTGTGAGTGCAAGAATGCCACCAACACCACTTCCTTGCAGGCAACGGCCTACTAACAAGGAAGGCATACTTTGTGCTGCTCCCCCTAGACTAGAGCCAATTGTAAAAAGAATGAGTGAGAACAAGAGTAACGGTCTGCGTCCAAATACATGTGATAGTGCTATGAATACGGGTTGCCAAATGGTAGAGGTGAGGAGGAAAGAAGTACCGGCCCAGAAAGCCTCAATTGCATTTCCATTGAGGGCTTCGGATATTGTCTGTTTTCAGATTCAAGTGTTAGAGGGGAGTTAAACGATAGAATGATTGGAAGAAATAACTGACTGGAAGAGCAACTGCTATTGTTGTAGCATCGAGTGCACAAGCAAGATTAACAATCAATATTGAAGTACACGCAGCAATATATCTCTTTCCTGGGGTGAAGACGGCTACTGGTATATTGCCAGCTGTGATAGTAGTGGTCGGTGCCATGTCTGCTGGACTATGAGATGTCCTGAAGTGTTTAGGTCATTGATGAAGATAATCCACAGATTAAGATTTTTGAGAAGAATCCAATTCGAACATAAAGATAATGAACATTCCAAGTGTCGTGGCAATTCATGCCTAAATAAGAAAGTTTCCTTTGAAACAAGCCAGACCTGCAGGCTCAACCAAGAATGTACGTGAATATCTTGTCGATAAGTACATACTGAACATGAACGAATTGCTAAACATTTAAGCCATCAAAAACAGACCCAACCAACGTTCAAGCGAATGAGACAGAACGGTATGCGAAAGTTAAATTATATCCGTGTCGGGTATAGGGTTTTAAGCTCTAGTTGGAACTCAAAATATGTTCTGGCAGCACGGATAATTGGCAACCAGAATACTGGAACTCAAGTTGTTCCAGACCACCGGTAAATGGCCTATACTCAATATGATAACGGCATTCATCAAATCGGGACTTATTCGGGAAAAGCCTCCACGCCCCCTTAGAAACAGATAGCCACAGAACTACTCGACCACATAATCGAACACATATCATTAGTGTGTCGGCTGCTGAAGTTATGAAGCTATGAGCGTCATAAAGACGGAGTAGCGGGTGCGATCACCTGAAACTTATCTACCGAAGTCTACAGAGAGTCTGAGGGTAGAACTTGTGGCTGTTGTGTGAGAACAGATGGTCCAAGAGTCGGAGATTTCGTGTTGGTTTGCTCCACCTCAACGTTCGCCATTCATATTCCGGTACCCTTTAGTTTCTATCGCTTCTACTTTCGACTCAATAAGAACAGCTTGGGGTCTTCCCTCAAATATGCTCGAAGTATCTGGGCCTCGGCATGAACGAGTCACTTCCAATAATTAATCGATAGACAGATTGGTGGGTGACTTGGTGCGAATAGCTTCCATCTCTCCGTTCAATCAATGGCTGTCTGATTCCTACTTGGAGATACCTTTGAGAAACGCAAGATCAAGAGTTGTTAGCAACAACAAAAGATATATCAGCGAAATGACACTCCTAATCATACTTGCAAATGAAGTTGGAGGACGTCCAAATACACTTCGGTCCGTCCATGGTCACGTGTGACGAGAAACAAGCCTAAACCTTGCACCACCCTGTCCTGAACCATCCAGAACCATTTTGATGGACTCGAAATTACCATTTTTGGCAAGATGCATCCGCTAACAATGTCTAGCTGGGTCCCTAAGTCGAATGTTGTCAGTATTGTTTTTCGTAGATTTTCTCTCAATATCAAACTTTCCACGATATCAACAATCTCCATGTTTTCACAAAACATTCAATCTTATCGAGTGATGAGAGGAATACGATTTCTATTTTTCTAGATTCAAAATATGGTTCATCATCCATCATTTAATTCTCTGGGTCTAGGTTCATCTACTCCCCCTACTCCCAATTCTACATGATGGAGTGACTGGAAGTCTCCACTCTCATTCCTAGTCAATCCCCTAGTATCTGCATTTCTATCCTCCAACTCATTCTGTCCTCGACGTCGAATATGACTCAATGTCATCAATTCTACTGCAGTTTTATTCTTTGATGCCGCACTTCGACTTCCACTGGAACCACTTGCGTTATGATCCCTATCACTCGTTACGGCAGATCCATACAGACGACGAGCTGATGCAGTGATGCGATTCAAGAGTGGACGAAAGTTTGGGAGACAAGCGCACACGATTGCCATTCCAACATGAACCGCTGACCAGAGTTCTGCTCGTGGAAAATCGACATTTTGACTACCGGGAGCATATCCAAGAACGACTCGTACAACACCTGTTACGATGACACTTTGATAATGTTAGTATGAAGTGAGACGGAAGAAGAATGTAGGTATACATACAAACTTCCTAGGAGGAAGATACCTCCAACCAATACTTTCTGAGAATTAGGCATTTGGAGTCCAATCACCACACCGATTGGCAAAATCAAAATCCCAATATCAATCACAATTTCCACCACACCCATCACCATCCAATAGATGTTGAAATTAAAACACCATCCACCAGCCGAAGGTCCAATCCAAAATCTACTTGCTGGAACACAACTGATACTTGTCGCGATAGTACCGACCAACCACCAGATGATAATAAACCCCATAAAGACCCAAAACGATCGTACCAAACTCGAGGAGAATATCCGACGATACATGAGAAGGATTGAGATTTTAATAGCCGTCACGACCGAAAAATAAAGAATGGCGCACACCCATGACATTATGAGATATGTGACATGAGGCTTATAATCGAAGGTAGGAGAGTCGCGATCGATAGTCTCGCCGCCGCTTGGGTCGGATTTCACGCCTATGAAGATTGATTATGGATATGCTGGATAGGAACCGGTACTGGTACTATGAATGTTCTATCACATACCATAGAGAAGAAGACTACCCGTGATAATCAACAATAAGACCCCAATCAAGATCCACCAATCATCGGCCGCAGTACCGGCTTTCGTTAATTTTCGTGTTAGAAATCGAAGAATGACCGCTATCACTGCTAAGATGGTAACGACAAGAGCAGCAGTCGTTGTATGTTGAGAATTTTCATTCTGCATGACTACTTTTCACTCACGGAGCGAAAATATATTATCGATTGAGAAAATGAACCCCCCCATGAGAATATTTCTACGAGAAGATGGATGGTCCAACATCTTATCATTTCTATATCAAGGCGTGCACCACCCATTTTATCATCAGCCGCTCATAGATAGGCAGGTACTGTTACGAGTGGGAGATTTATGTCAGGATTAGCGGAGTCTGTACAACGAATATATGTTGTGTTCCTTGTTGAAATCCAAGAATTATTGTTGGCGGAGAATGGAGGATGGAAAATGATAGGTCGATTCTGGTTACACATACATCCAAGTATTTTTCATTTCACCCGAGGATTTGAAGGTAGGGAATATATTCTGTGAAGGATCATCTGAGAATTGAATATTGAATTATATGTGGAGTAGTTTGGTTGATGTTACATATATACCTAGTAAATATCCATTTCATACATTGTCGATCTCCCACTTCGTTCTTTCATCGGCCATTTTGAGTAACGATTGTAGTAGGCATCACTTAAAATCTACTCCATACGCCCACCTTCTAGATTTCTGATATGTGTGATGCAGGGTAGGACCACTACCTGGTGAGCGGAATTGAATTGTCTTGTGTTGACACGCGATATATGATATATGTATAAAAGTATGTGTAAATCGTAAGATGGACCATTGAAACACGGTAAAAGGTATAGAACCGGATGGATTTCCCCCACCTTGTTATCAAATTTGGTGATACCGACGACATGGTCTGGCGGCATCCACATCATCTCTGCTTATTCTCGACCCCAACGAGATCCGTGGATAAAGACGAAACAAACATTGACGAATAGGATCTCCATCCCTCTATTCCCTCAAGCCATTCTCATCACACGCCAAGAGTAGGTAGACAACACGAGGTAGTAGTCATTATCCATCGTGATCTTATTATCACATTCCTTTACTATCCCATATCTCATTCGACATCTCATACCTACACAACCATATGCCGTGTATGCCGTGATACCATCTGCCGTCTTCCAATCAAAATTCACTTCTCACCTGGGTACTCCCAACAGGAAGTGTAGAATCCAATGCCGTGCCGCAGTCATACAGGAAGCTCTCCACTTTTCTAGGGGAAACAAATCTATCTCTTTGAATTGAGCGTTTACCTTTTTCACAACGATTACAGCTTCTTCTTAGAAATTTGTGTCTGAGATTTCTCAATTATCAATCTGTTTAAGAAGCATCGAGGTACTTTACTATACTACGAGTTTATTCATCGTGGTAACCTTGACTGTCTTGTGGAAAAGAGAAGAACGTGATCTTTTTTTGAGATAAGGACCAATAGGTTGAGAGCTACCTCCGACCTACCTACATTTATTTGATCTCTCCAGACAAATTTTAAAATTCATACTTCAGTTTCATATCAGTGATATCACTCTCTTCATACATCATCGACACGATGGATTACTCAAAACCAATGCATATCGTCATTGTAAGTACTTTACCTATTCATCTATCATCCATTTATTTCTCCCCTTCCCTTCCGTTCCCTTCCCGTCTCGTCTCGTCCCGTCCCGTCCCGTCCACCCCCCCTCCCTCCATAACATTCCACTCCCCCTCCCTAACCCCTCCCCACTAACCTCCCACTCCAAACCTAAAGATTGGCGGCTCCAGCACCGGCCTCATGCACGGCACCATGCTCTCCCACCTCCCCACCCCCCACACCATCACCATTCTCGAACGACACAGCTCTTCTCTCCGTCCCGACCTCGCCGCCGGTATCACCACCTGGCCCGAATTCGAACTCTTCATGAAATCTCACGACCGCGTTGCCCAACCCTGGTCTATCCACTCTCCCACTGTACAATTTTTAAACAAAGATGCCAGTGTCAAGAGAGAAATGAAGAGGGAATTAAAGATGACGAGTTGGAGCGTGATTTATTATCGTCTTCGACGAAATTTCGATGGTTTGAAGAGTGAATTTTGTGATGGGGAAGTAGCGGTTCCCGAATCTGAAGAAGGAAGAGATGATGATGATCATGAAGAAGAGGATCACCCAAAAGGAAAAGGCCAAGGAAAACGTGAATTCTTAACTGGAATGAACGTTACATCTCTCAGCAAACTTTCCGACGGCGGCGTCGAGATAACCTACGAGAATCAAAATGAGGCAAACGAAGAATTCAAAATGAAAGCCGACATGGTGATACTAGCCGATGGAGCAAATTCCTCTCTGAGAGCAAAATACTTTCCAGATGTCAAGAGAGAATATGCAGGCTATGTAGCATTTCGAGGAACGGTTTTGGAATCCGAGGTTTCAGAAGAGACGAAGAATATTTTCGATCCTAGTTTGACGTATTTTTCTTACAAGGGGGGATATATACTTTTGTACGTTTTAATTTCCTTCCTTTCCTTCTTTCACTCAATTTCCTCCTCATCTTTCTTCTCCTTGACTTCCTTGACTCACTCCCAATCTCCCAATCTCCCAACTCCCCATCTCCAACCCCCAAATCCCAACCTAACAAAAAATCAGATACATAATCCCCGGCCCAAACGGCTCCCTGACCCCCGGCTTCCGTCGCTACAACTGGGTATGGTACCACCCCATCTCCCCCTCCCCCTCTCTCACCTCCCTCATGACCGACACCACGGGTGTTCTCCACCGCACCACCCTCCCGGCAGGCCTCATGAACCTCACAGCCTGGACCCCCTACCTCACGCTCTCCCAATCCATCATGTGCGCGCCCTTTGCAGAAATCATATCCAAAACGCCCTCTCCCTTCATAACCGCCATCAACGATTCTGCGTTACCATGCGCCCTACTCCCGGGTTTCGATAACAGGGTTTTAATAACCGGTGAAGCCTTGAATCTCATGCGTCCGCATATGGCGCTCAGTACGACGCAGAGTGCGATGCAAGCGTTGGAGTTGGAGAAAGTGTTTAGGGGAAGTTTAACGCTAGGAGAATGGGAGAAGAGAGTGGTGAAATGGGGCAAGGTAGGAGTGTGCAAGACGAATGCGTTTGGGCTTTGGAATTTGAGTGGGGTAGGGGCGGCGTTGCCGTGGGTGTTGAGGTTGTTGGGTGTGTTGGTCGGGGTTTTGTGAGGGAGTAGTGAAGGGGTTTATAAGAAAAAGGGAGAGGAATGAGAAAGGGGAATGATATGCTGGTGTTGAAATAACTATCTTCCACCACCATAACTCCCAGCCAATTTTCCGGACTGCGAACAAACGAACAAACAATGTGACGCTCTACACAGCAATGACACAAACTCCCCACGCCGTGTGTCAAAACTCCCAAAAATCACAAAAGAAACTCTCCACTTGCGAAGCAAAAAGCCAGTCAGTCAATCATCCAACACCAAGAAAAATTGCAGCAAAAAAGCAAAATCAACCAAAATCAAAAGTTCCATCCAATACAATACCAACCAAGCATCGATAGATATCCCATTTCTTCGCGCGTCATATTTCTCTTCAATTACCATTCTAGCTCTTTATTCGTTGGCGAGCTAGGTATGTAGCTAGGTAGCTAGATAATTACGATGTATCAAAAATACCAATTATGAAACATACGATGACAACGAAGCTCGATACTTGTGTCACCTTCTAATTTTATTACATACATATGTATATGCACCTACCTATGTAAACTTTATTCCCCGTTCCCTCAAGCATTAATAAGTCATTCTAGTGTGGTGTAGTCCTGCTATGTGTATTCTCTCTTCCCTTTGCTTATAAAGGTATCTAGGTATGTATATATGTAAGATTACAAGCCAACTATCTATTTTCATTTATATAATCTATATTCATCTTTATATAAAAGAAAAAACATAGGCTGGAATTAACTACTAATTTCCTTGGATATTATTTAAATGCGTAGTACTAGACCACTTATATCCGCTATACTCTCTTTTTATATTGGAATTCTTCTAAAAGATTTGAAACATTTAAAAGAAGAAATTACTATTCTAAACATTTCTAGCTTTCTAATTCTCTATATTCATCTCTGGCCTCTCTTTTCTCCTGTGTAGCGCTCGTCTCCTTGGATATTATACAAACCCCGCTATGCATGCTCCCTATCCCACCCAGAACCAACCACCTTCTTGACCTCTGTATTCATCCATCTATCTACATCTCATCATCCCCACCCAATCCCTTATCCGCCATAAATAATCTCGTTAATTCCTCTATCCTCTTCCCCAATTCATCAACTTTATTTTCTAATCTTCTCTCTCTCTCGCTTGTTCTCTCTTCTTCTTCTTCTGTCCTTTGAACTTTTCGTGCTGTATCATCATCCTCTCCTCCCAACCCACTATCTTCTCCCCCAAACGTCAATTTCTTATGAAGTTTTCCATTTACTTTTCCATTCACACGTCCACAATTACCCACATCAGAAGAACATCCCTCTTTCCTCCCCCTAAGACCTCCCTCCCACTTTCCACTAACAAGTGGACTCGCCTCTCCATCTCCAATACCCGGGCCATCCATAAAATGCAATGAATGATTTGTGCCCGTCCTACTTGTCAAAAATTTCTTCTTCGCTTTTCCTTTATATGCTGGTTCTCCACTCATACTCGTTGTTCCAAAAGAATTAGTTCCACCAGCTCCGCTATGAGGTGTGGATGGTACTGTAGCAATTGGTGTGCGGGGGAAAGATGATGGATCTTGTATATGTTGATGAACACCTTCGAAAATCTTAATTGCAAGTACAATTGGCGCATGTGTTGCTTTCAATAGCCCAATACGAGTTCTCCTTAATGTAGAAGAACTCATGAAGAGTCTGAGAGGTCTGACAAGAATGAGAGGGATGAGATTGAATGGAGGGTAAAAGTGTGTAAGTCTATTTGATGTCGAAGATTCAAGAACATATACCGAGTATAAGAAAAGGTTCTCTTCTCTTGCACGAGAATTGATTTTGGAGAAACTATCAGACAAAATACTGATCAAAGATGTAATGAGTAGAATGTTGGTCAAACAGACAAAAACGAGCATAAGTGGTGGACCGAGTTGAGGAGAGATTTGATACATTATATCAAACCCGAGGTATGAGGATCCGAAGAATACTTTGACAAGAACCCAAGACATTTCGCCCAAGGTGAATGAATCGCGGGCGAGGAGGGTAAAGGTTGTTAGGAAACCGAGGTAGAGAACCAACACGATAAGCATAAACTTAATGAAATCTTTGGTCATCTCTTTTAAACTAATAATTATAGTTCCGAAATATGGATGGAGACTAAGAAGTGAACATATTCTGAAGTAATGTTAGTCCTGTTTCCCAAATGATGCATTGCCATACTCACCGCGGTACCATGAAGAGTGCTTCCAGAGACAAGATATCGAAAGCCATGTCGATGATCCTATCACTATCCTTTGTCAAGCCAATGACACCTAGGTAATGTTAGATGTTTTCCAGGTATTCGATCAAGGAGTACTAACGAGTGAGTAGGAAAGCAGCTCCTATTAAGATGATCATCAAATCACAAGAATTCCATATATCAACCGCATAGAAAATCGAGCCCGCATCTATGAATTCCCCAAGTTCATCATATGCAAAAGCAGCAAACCATACATAGAGAACAATTTCAAGGGGCGTAATGTAATATCTGAAAAGATGTGAGACATTAGAGGGCAGATATGACAGAAGAACAGAAGGACTTACGGATTCCGTTCAACAAGAACTGCATAGTATAGAAATAAGAAAGAAGCAAAGAATAAAACTTCAAAAGCTTTGATATACCTTGGTACTCTCAATCTCGAAAAAGGATCGGACTTTTTCCTGTTATAAAACTGAGCTTTCTTTTGGGTATGCTCACTCAAACTTTCCCAAAATGTTATATCTCCTTTCCAGATACCCGTTATAATCTTTTGAACGATTCTTTGACTGAGAAACTTCTTGCAATCAGCTACCACAGAAATCTCAAGAGCATTCAATCCTGTGAACGAAGATGTTGGATCATCCTCATCATCATCCATATCATCATGAGTAAAGAATGACCCCATATGTGAAATAGACCGTAAGAGTTCAGTCTTTTTATTCTGACTGGGTGGTCTTGTACCAGGAGGAGAATTCCTCCCTCGGAATTGTGGCAATAGAGTCGAATGTTCCGTAGCTTGAGTTTCCTCGGGTTCTTCTGCTGCACCATCTGTTGATCGTTGAAGAGTAGGTGAAGGTAATTCGTATAAGCAAAAATCGACAGCATCTCGTTCCGATACACGACTTAAAAATCTCCATGCCACTATTTCGCATGCGCTTGCTCGAGTTTCGTTGATTCCGCGATCGTCTACATCGAGAGTAGAAAAGTGCCACTTCAATGTTCTATCATTGTCTCAGTTATTGCTAGATTCGTGATGGATCATGATGTGCTACTAACAAGATTGCATTGATAATGGCGGGATTCGTAACATTTTCGACGAGATGTTCAACAAGTATTCGGATTTTGTTTCCCGCAGACGTAGTTCGTAATTGTTCAAAGGTTGAAGGAAGGACAATTTCATCGACAAAGTATCTAGTAGAGCAGCATACGTTAGATGAATATCATGGCAAGTCGGTGCTCAGCGTACATACATTGATAAAGTCTTTACCACTTTGACAAAAGGGTCATCGTGCACAATCGTTGGTAACTTGACCAATTTCTGTCCCTCATAAGGAGACTCAGTTGACTCCATACTGTCTTGGGATGAATCGGAAACGATACGAAGATTATGCGATGCAATTGAAAGCCATAGAAGAAAATTGGACGAAGATGTTACTGGCGTCGTTGAAGTTTTACATGTTCTAGACCCTGTACAATGTAGTTCTGTTTAGCAAGAGCTACCAAAATAATTGCAGGGGTATTTTTGTGACCCTGAGCAGGCTGCGCTATGGTATAAAGTGGACTTTGACGGGGTATGCCGCCACTTAAACGTCACTAAACATAACATGGGTTGATAGCTTCAGGCAGTAGCTGGACTTCGCCATGCACCCCCGCATTCCGTTTGTTTCCTCATACAATTAAATTCATTTGTACTTTCAATCAGTCTTCACTTCAAAGTTTGAATACATCACATCGCTTCACATCAGTTCAGTTCAGATTATCGATATCAAGAGAAACCAATACATCAAAACAATCACAAACAAACAATACAACCTCATCCGCCAAGATGGCAAACAATCCACTCAGTCCAGATTCCATTCTGCATCATATGGCAGAAGCTTTACCTACTCATCAAAAAGATGATACGGATTCCGATATCAGTAGTTCATACGAAGCCATCGCCCTATTCTCTCACGCATGTATGATCGCAGTTGGATTTCGACTCATCGGATTTGCAGAAGGTCAAGAGAATAGTTAGTCTCTTCAGTATAAGTCCTTGTTTAAAGTACAAATGTTGACAAAACACCAGAAGCCGAATGCGCACAACTTGCTCCCAGATTATCCTCGAAGTGGAATTCTTCCTTTGGATCCCACTCATTCCTCTACGCTCACTCCCAATCCTCTATGAACTACGTCGTCAAAATCGATCGACTAGGTGGCAAGGCCGAAATCCGAGGAATAGGACTCGGAGATGAGAAAATTACCCGTTTCGAAATCACAGCCAGAGATTACGTTTCCACCTCTGCGCTCCCTTTACGAATTCCTTTCACAAACGACCAAGAAGATCGTTCAAATCTCACATCAAGGCTCAAAGAAATTTTTGTCTCTCCTCCCAGAATCGCAGATCTCGCTTCCCTCCTCAAAATAAGTATTATCCAAAGACTCATTCCATCTTTACAGAAAGAAGGATACGAAGATTCTCAACAAGGTGCAGGTGAGAGCGCAGGTGAAGCCTCCCGGGTTCATGACGAAAGAGAAGAAACACAAGCTCGACGAAATCCTTTACAAACTCCCACAACCGATCCACGTCTTCCAGCACCAGCTCGTCCATATCCATATAGTGATCCCCTTGCCGACCCACCACGTCGTCCCATCCCAGCCGGAGATTTTCCTCCTCCTGGTTTCGATGATGAATTGGATCTCAACCGTCTTCGACGCTATGATCCTCAAGGAACGATTTCCCCTTTCAATATCGGTCACGATGATTTACATCCTGCAGGTCTAGGACCCAACGATCCTTTCCCCGGTTCTTTTACAGGCGGGGCAGGAGCTAGAGGATTAGGCGGAGTGGGAGGTATGCATCCTACATTTGATGATCCTTTATTTGTAGGACAAGGACAGAGATTAGGAGGTGGTAGAGGAGTATTCAACCCGCAAACTCCACCAGGTGCAAGGTATGATCCTTTGGGACCGGGTGATGGACCTCAAAGAGGTGGAGGTGGAAGACCACCCAATCCATTTATGGGGTATGGAGATGGGGATTTCATGTAATTATGGTAAGAGAGAAGAGGTTTAAGTCAAGGTATCGAAGGGAAAGGTAATGGGAATGGTGGGAATTAAATGATGGGATAGAAGGTACAGGAAGGAAGGGAAGGAAAATGGTAGGTATTATGATTTCACAAAGTACAGAATCACAAGGAACCAAACCAAACCACGCAAGCGATCAAAAATGCAGTCACGACAACAGCGAATATACCACCACAGCACAACACACCGTATCACGATATCCAATAATAAAATCACAACTCATGAATAGCCAGAATATGATAATTCATCATTCTTTGCCCTTTCTCCCCAAAATCCGTGTATGCAAACCCGTAAGTAATGTAATAGGTATTTAACGCTCGGTGCTAAGCTGAGCTGAGCTGTGTGTATAATGCTCTGCTCTTCTCTCTCTTGATCTCTGTCCAATACTAAAAAATAAAACGCGCTGGTACTTTCTTGTACTTCTTCACCGCACGTGCAAACCAAACAACCACCAACATCAGTAACAATAGCAATAATATATCTCCCAACTCCAAACCACGTACGTACGTGTAAGTATTAGGTATTAGGTATCTACTTTCCGTGTGTATTTCATCTCATCTCATCTGGTCTCATCATCTCCATCCATCTCATCCAACCCATCCCATCTGGTCTCGTCATCTCGATCCATCTCATAAATTCCACACACTCTCAAAATCCCATCATGCCAACAACCCCCCTTTCTCCTCGCTACCCATTTTACCCCTCACACCAAACCGTCACTGCTCAAACATCACCTCAATGATGACCCGTTAATTTTCCCTTCAAACCCCCCAAAAGACTCTTCCTCTTTTCCTTTTTATCACTCGCGCCCGGCGTACTCGAAGTTTCAGAACCCGCTACAAGAGACATAGGTAAGGCTGGTACCTCATCATGAATACTTTCCTGTTGAGTTGTTGCTTTTGACAATTCTCCCGCTGCTACTGCTGGTTCGGCTCCAGCTCCATCATGGTTAAGATTTGGATCTAATTGATTTGCCGTTGTTGTGGTGTGAGGAGATTCCGTTGTGCCATTTACGAGGACTTCTTCTGCTGGGGGACTGGTGATGGATAAATTGGTTAATCCATCTTGAGCTGTGTGAAAGGTTTCTAATTCAGGTCTTGAATTAGAGACCACTTCACCATTTTCAATCGCGAGATCGTCTATTGGAATTCCTTGATTCAAAGGAGAATTGGACCCGGCGGTAGTATTTATGACTGCAGGTGTTGCGCCGGGTACTTCGAGTGTTTCTGATTGAACGGGTAATGGAGTTTCGGTGGTTGCATCTGTAGCGATTGTTCCCATATTATCATTATCCTTGATAGTTTTCTTAATTGTGCAAACTTCTTCTCTTCTCTCCTTCTTTTCACTACTTCCAACTGCGATCGCTTGAATCGACTCTTGATCTTTAGTATTGACCCAATACATGGGTCCTCCTGGAAATGAGCCAGCTCCATTCCAAGTGGTAACTGCTTCTAATGCCGGATCCAAAGTAGGCATATCTCCAAATTCGAATTCTAATTCACCACCATATTTCTTGGGAATATTTCTAGGTTCGATAAAGGCTTCTAAAGTTGACTTGACATCGTTGTGACTGATAATGAAGATTTTAGATGTTGTAATTGGATCAAACCATTTTTTAATCCAACCCCAAACTGTTGGAAAGAAACTTGGTGCACCAATAACCTGACAATATGAATTAGTGAGTTTCCAATATTCCAACTCATATACTACTTACAAAAATGCGGTCAAGAGTTTCTGGGTAATGAGCTGTAGCCAAAGTACTTGCATCTTGCATATGCCCTCTCAAATTCCAAAATTGTTTCAATCCAACTCCAGAGATATCAACAATGTTATTACTTTGTGTGATGGGGGTTCGAGGATGATCTCGATCGGTCAGAACTGTACATAATGGCATAACAAATCGTGTAAGGTTTTCGTATAAAGCGAATAAGCGCAATAACTTTCCAGAGGTTTTGCCATCTTGCTTGGTTTTCGTATGTGTATCGACGGCGGATTTCTCATATGCAGACATTCGTTTGCCAGTCAAATATGATACTTCGAATACGTATACAGGAATACCACGTCGATCGCGTCGTCCTGTCCATTGTGGGTACTATATCAAGATAATGAGGAGGGGCATCCATGAATGTAGAGAATGGGGGACTTTACAAGTCTGCGGGTCTCTTCGTAATGTTCCAAATCGATAGTCTCATACAATTGATCTAATTCATTCTCTTTTCGCCATTCTTCTGTATCCGAAAATTGTTTAAGGGCATCCAATACAACAAACCGGCGCGCTCGGAGAAATCGTCTAAGATAATCGTCAGTAGGCGCTTAAGAAAGAATCTTGAACGGAAACATACAGAAGTGTAGCATCTTCGTGCGATGCAGGTTCATCACTTCCATTTCCAGGCTCGTACAAACCCTTCTCTGCGCAAACAACTTTGAAGTTATTTAAAGCCGCTTCTTCCTCTGTTGTAAGGTGACCGAGATGTCCTTGAGGAAATCCATACTCGACCACTGCTGACTGAACTCTATGAGCCGGTCCGGAAGACATAATTAATGAGATATTCAAGAAAGCTTCCCCAAAAATCGAAGAAGAGTAGAGGATGCAAAGTGAGAAATAGTAAGCAGTAAAAAGTCAAGCAAGAGAAAAAAGTATTGTATTTTATTTACGAGTAACAGCTCAATGTATGGAATTCGGCTTTTTGAGCGGGTCCGTCGGACGTCTCGTCATACCAATGTGTGATATGGGTAATCGATAATTGATGTTCAATTGTTGGTAAGAGAACAAACTTTTTTTTGGTTATGACTAATCCAATTCAACGTCTACCAGGTCTAAACTCCGAGTTAGAGTGAAGAGATTGTCTTGGATGTAACAAAGCCGTTCCGATATATAATCTGATGTAAATAAAAAGGTCGAGAAGAGGAGAAGGATTGAATATTTCATGGATTTTCCACATCATCTTCCGTCATTCGTCCGTTCACCAGGGCTGATGTTGTCATCTTTTAACGATAAAGGCGGAAAATAGGAAGAATCCGAGCATCCGACGGAAATTGGACGTGTGTGAGCATAACCTTTCCTCTTGGCTGTGATGGTGTCTGTACACAGAGTAGGTGACGGGAACCTCGGGAGATGGAGAAAAAGTGTATAGGGGATAGAGGAAGAGGATAGAGGATGAGGGCCCATTGACTCAATCCTGACCAGACCATCATCGAGGTCTCTCACAGAAACCATTGGAATTCCGTTGACTAGACTAGATATCTGGATTCAGTCATCATAGTCATCATAGACAATGAATATTGAAGTTAATCTCATGATTCTCACAGGATTGTCTCAACATTCTGATTTATCAGCATTCTCATCCACGATAAGAAAGATACAAGTGATAATTGAAGAGGAGATGAAAGAGCTTCATGAAAGAAGATTTAACTCGATGATATTTCCGGGTCCCTTTCCTATATTTATAATCTTTCCAACCTACCCAAATAACTCACAGCTGACATATGATATGACATCGGAATCTTTTCAAACATGCCATTTATCTATTCGTATCCCCTCCAAAGCATCGCATCACCGGTAGCACCGGTCGTACCGCACTCATCGTACTCGTAATCCACGCGGATAACCCGCCAAGTAAGTAAATCCAACCCTGGCGTAACCTCCCAAAGTTCACAACACCCCTCTGAAGCTCCATTCCACTCAATCACCAAAGCCTCACTCACGGTTAAACCCCACTTCAACACATAACCCCGTTGATTCTTGCAAAGACCTCTCTTCTTCTGCTCCTCTTCTTCCTGTGTATATTTCCATCATCCATGTTCTCCCGCTTCTCTCAATTAGCCAGACATCTTTCTCGTCCCTTACCAAATTACGCTCATAATTCTGCCGCTGCATATACATTTTCAAATAAAGTCATGACATCATCAGTATCTGCCGACGAACGTAACTCGAGAACCATTCACACGGCAGCATGTTTGATTATTGGAGATGAAGTACTTGGGGGAAAGGTCAGTGGTGATTTGGAGCTTATCATTCTCTTAAATATTTGAAGGGCATAATGGCTAATATATGTGTGGTTCTATGCAGACGGTCGATGTAGGTTCGAAATATAAACATGGAAGAAAATTTGGATATTGATAGGATTGGCAGACAAATTCGGCTTATTTTGCAAAGTTTTGTTTCAAGCATGGGATAGTAGGATGCCTATCCCAAGAATGCATGCTTAAGGAGGAGATTTTGACTGTCGAATAGAACCTGAAGCGTATCGAGGTGATTGCAGATGATGAGGATGAAATCATTGAAGCCGTCAGACGTATGTCAAGCAACTATGATTTTATAGTCACGTCTGGAGGGATTGGTCCAACGTGCGTTTTGAAATCACATCGAGATATGCTTACACTCAACTAACAAAATCTAGACACGATGATATTACCTATCAATCCATTGGAAGAGCATTTGGACTTGAATTGAAGCTTCATCAAGAAACTTATGAAAAGATGAAGAGATTGTCCAAACCTCATCCATCTCAACCAAACTTCAATTGGGATGAAGATTCTCCAGCAAAGAAAGCTAAACTTCGCATGGTGGAATTACCATTAGATGAATCGCGGGATCTGTCAAAGCAAGTTATATTCCCATGTGAAGATCTTTGGGTTCCAGTTGCTTGCATCAATGGCAATATTCATATCTTACCTGGTATTCCAAGACTTTTCGAAAGGTTGTTGGAGGGATTGAAACCATCTTTACTTCCTCGGTTGACAGATCCTGAAGGCAAGGGTATCTGTAGAGTTATGATTTCGACTCCCATGTCAGAGAGTGCTGTAGCACCATATCTTACAGAATTGGCTGCCAAAGTAGAACCAAAGGGTATCAAGGTTGGAAGTTATCCTAGATGGGGAAAAGCACACAATACCGTTACTTTGGTCGGAAGGTAAATATCACTTGAGTGTCAATGTCCATCCCTTTGCTCGATCCCTGACATTTCAATAGGGATCAAGAATACTTGGAAAGCTTAATAGCTGAAGTAGAGAAGAATGTCAATGGACATCGTGTCTTGATAGAAGGAGAAGATGATGCTGAAGGCGAACACAAGGAGTGCGATATTTCTTAACTTTTTCTCTCTCTCCCACACATTTTCCTAACCATCTCTAGAACATCTCAATAAGAATTTCCCTGGTTGGATAGCAAATTTCGAAATTTCCCCTCATTTCATCTCATCTCTCGGGATTCCCGTCAGTCAAGGAATCACAGGGTAAAAGTACCGATACAAGCGCTGTCAGATTAAGAACAATCAAATGATTGCGTTGACCGTTGACCGATAACCGTTGAAATTTTCAGATTTTAACATTTCTCCCCCTCCCCCTGAGCCTGGGGCACATCCAATCCAATCCCATCCAATCCAATGTATATAGTCTCGATAGTTTAAATTTCTAGCCGTGCACACGCCGAAATTCAGGGGAAAGATTCGGCTCCCTATCAAAGTTTTAAGATCATGACCCGTTCTAATCTGTGTAGATATGTTGGATTAAGATTATTATGAATCATGTTGCGCATTGTCATTTTAGAGGTTAGGAGTGAGGTGATGGTTTTGGATTTGGGTAGGTGTGATTTGTGAGATGGGATTTATGTATGTATGTATGTATGTATGGTATATGAGCTGAAAATCCATATGAATTTCCAGAGTCAGTATGTAGTGTGTAGAGTACGTAGTACCTAGTCGGGAGCAACGATACCTAGAGTCACGATGTACATGACATGACATGACACTATGTGATTGTAATGTGATGTGATGTGATTGATGTATGTGATTGTGATGGGATCGGAAATTAATTTATTAATTGCTTCTAGAAGATGGAGGGAGGGGGTGAGAGTGGTGAAATGAAAATTGGAGATTTGGAGATTTGGGTGAGGGTTTGGGAATTGTTTGGAGCGGAAAGAAAATGTTCGGAAATATATGTTTCATAATGAGGTTTGAGAGTTATGGTTATAGGGATGGTGATGGTTATGGTGTGGTTGTGGTTATGGTTATTATGATGGTTTTGTTTATGCTGATGGCTAGAGATTAGAGATTGATTGGGATTTATATGTTAGGTAGGTAGGTATTGAGTACAGATAGAGTGTATATGGAGGGGGAGAGGGGAGAGGGGGAGAGGGGAGAGGGGGAGAGGGTATCAATCTATCTATAAGTTAGACGATAAGATATAAGGTGTAACGTGAACGGGAACAGAACGATGCAACCCATACTTGTTTGCGGCGGAGACAATGAATGTGAATATGTCTTACATTCCCCCTTCCCTACGGAACCATTTTCCAATTTTCCAAATTTCTTTCTAGAATGATGAATGGAGATTGGGAAGGAGGGTTGAATTTGACCTACGTAGCTGACGGGAATTATACCGTCGGGTCAGGGAGAGCGCTTAACCCCTGAAATGAATGGATGAATGTCTGGTGATGCTTACATAGGTAGGGTGGGTGGTATTGATGTGATGTGGTGATCATTGTGATGTGATGTACAGAGGATAGAGAGTAGAGTACAGAGGATAGAATATGCATATTATCGTGCTATCGAATACAATAGGATTCTAGAACACAGTGCACGAAAAAAAGAAAGTTCTCAAGGTACGGGGAGTGGTGAATCTATGATGTAGGTAGGTGCGTGAGTAATTAGCTGTACGCCATCGTATTATATTGCATCACCAACGCGAGCAAAAAGTCAATTGCGAAATACCGATACACGTTTGCGGCGTATTTAGCTTCTGGTGGATATGTGAAGGCGTGGCGAGGTACAGTCGTTTACGGAGTCCCTCGTGGGATTTTCAGCCACGCAGAGATAGGATGGGATACTAGGTAGGTACCGATTGCGCTTGGGGGTTGAGCTGACTTGATTTGAGCTGACTGGTTCTGACCGGGTCTAGATGGGGTTGTGGTTCGAGTGGTGTTGTGAATTTTGATGGATCATTGTTCACACCGGGGATGAATGAGGAATGGTGTGGTTTTTTGATGGGAGGGAAATTGGATGGGATTGGTTTGGGTGGTTTTGGGGATGGGATTTTGGGGGGACGGGATAGAGAGATGAATGGATGGGAGAGTGGTGATTAGATATTAGCTGGGAGGTGGGAGATGGGAGATAGGCGATGGGAGATGTATGGGAGATGTTGGTAAATTTGATCATGATGTTGATGATGATATTGATATTGATGAGTGGGCTGGTTTGAATGGAATGGAGATGGAGATGAATTGAATTAGATGCCGGTTGTTTGTGACTTGAGTATTTATTTATAGAGTCAAAGGAGCTGAACTACATACCGAGACTCGATGCTCCTATGTCTTCTGGAATATTAGAAATATATCTAGAATCTCACATGCCTAGATGGTAATATCTCTAGAATCTTACATACCTAAGCAGTAATCATAATCAATATAAATCTCGGTGGATGACCACAATGTATCAGTGGAAAGCCATCTACATATAGTGAGATACAACGACGGGATCAAACATCTGCCCATGCATCTATTGTGTTTCTCCATTTGGATGATTCGAATGCAATGTCCAATAACCACTATCAATATCAGTATCATCAAATCATTAAATCACATTAAAAACATCTCCACTTTCAAAGTAACCGGTAAGCACTCTCACTTGATGAAGCGGTGCTCTACATCTCCATTCGCGATTTCGGTTATCCTTTAATGCACTCCCCGGCCCCAGTTATACTTTTAATTGACTCGGTACCACCTCTCACAGCGAAGAATTGAAGATTTTCATCAATTTAGTCACTTGTGATTTGGTGAGGTCTGTTCACTGGTGCCCCATTCTTCCCTCTCTCTTGCCTTTCAAGCTTGCCCTGACTTGCAAAGGATTCCCGCGTTAAACTTTCTCTGGAGATTCATCTGCATCCATTTTCCTCCTACCTGCTTGCATTAAGCTTGTACCCTGAGACCTGAGACCTCCACCTGTGAACTTGACCTCATCTTCCTACCCTTTGGTGACTTTACATGTTCGTAGATAGCTGTGAGCTATTAGCTTCACTCATATCTTGTACCCTTACCTACTAGGTACTTTAAACTTTAATTACCGACCGACCCTACGAGTTGAACCCCTACCGGTACCCTTTTCTCTGTACTCTCTCGACTCTGTCTGCCCTCTTCGACTCTGTCGGCTCTCTCGCGCCTCTCCCAGAGGATCTCAGCAGAAAGCAGAAATAAATTGGTATTTTCATAATTCGCACACTTTGTTTTAGTCTAAACTGTAACTTTGACTTCTCACTGGATATCCCCTCCCCCGGAACGTAAAATCTATCAAACTACTTGATCCTATACGGCTTAAATTGATTCATTCCTTCATTGTTCCACCGTTTACAACTTATCATCCATTCAACATCCATCTCAGATACATATCAAATTCGGATCAGATTCATATGATATTCATATCACACACACCTACCCATCAGATCATAAATTCCTGTGAAAAGAATTCCCCTTCCCCCCCAAAAGCACGATCCTCTTCTGTGCACAAATATCTCCTCGTTCATTAAGAGAATAAGAAGAAAGGATCAAAGTTTCTTTGTCCGAGCGATCATCTCCCTCATCTAAACTTTCAACATCAACATCAACATTCTTTTCCTACCCGATACACTATCTCCTGGTCTCTATCGAAAAGATACTTTGCATCATCAACTTTCTACACAATAAAATTCAGACTGGTCTGATCTGAAGAAACGGAAAAAAGAAGATTCTCAACTTAGCAGTAGAACATTACGTGACGAGAGAGTAGAGAGAAGAAGAGGCAAAAGACGAGAGAGATTTGAAAAATTAAGGAGAAAGAGAGAGAGAAAGGAAAGGAAAGAAACAAACGAGAAATTATTCCATTCATTCACTACTTTAACTTTACTTTACTTTACTTTACTTTACTTTACCTTACTTCACTTCACTTCATACCTCACTTCCATTCACTTCATACCAATTCGCCTGTACTTTTTTTTTTTACCTTGTTACCAAATTCAACAACGGCTTTCTGACGGTTTAATTATTTCATCAATTTCTCCCAAAGCTTCCAACGAAACATCAATTGTCGTTTCACATCTACAACCTTCAACCTTTCAACCTCTTTTTTGGGTCATCTTACCAAGATCAGTCTGCGAAGAACAAGAGACACGCAAGAAGGATCTCTCCATAATCCACAAACAAACAAACTTCGATAATCGATACCTTTTTTTGATTTTATAAATTACCAAAAAAGGGACTCCTTAGTAATATTTGGGTTCTTTTTCTTCTACCTTTTACCTCCCGGTTCATCAATCATCCCTCTCTCATTACAAACGGTCGAAAGCAATTTCAATATCGAACCATCAATTTCTTGATTCCTATCGAATCTCTTATCACCCATCACCCATCACCTTACCTTGCCTACTTTCAAAACATTTCAACCTTTTTCTTACAGGGTCGTCACCTTGTCGCGCAATCCATCTTTCGATACCCGAAACTTTTACTCTTTCCCCTTTCGACTTCGATAAGCATTCGAAGCTTTTTATTCAGGGGGATTTAAGTTGATGATAACTACATCAATTCATACATTTTAATCATTAAAGATGGCTTCAAAGGTAACCTATCATCTTTTCTCTTTCCTCTCTGCTCATTTATCACGTAGCTTGATGCATCTGGATTCAATTGACTAACGTGCGCTTCTTCTACATAGTTTTTGAGAGAATATAAGCTGGTGGTCGTCGGTGGAGGAGGAGTGGGAAAATCTTGTTTGACAATTCAATTGATTCAAAGTCATTTCGTCGATGAATATGATCCTACGATTGAGGGTAAAGTTACACATTTCTTCCATCTCTCATCTTCTCCAATCTGATTCTCGCGTGGCGTAACTAACATCTTGTTTTCTCTATCAATTCAGATTCCTATCGTAAGCAATGCGTTATCGATGAAGAAGTCGCTTTACTGGATGTCCTCGACACAGCTGGTCAAGAAGAATATTCCGCCATGAGAGAACAATATATGCGTACGGGTGAAGGTTTCTTGTTGGTATACAGTATTACCAGCAGACAAAGTTTCGAAGAAATCATGACATTTCAACAACAAATTTTGAGGGTTAAGGATAAGGATTATTTCCCCATCATCGTTGTTGGTAACAAATGTGATTTGGAGGGCGAGAGACAAGTTTCAAAACAAGGTATGTTTGTTTGTTCATTCATCTCCTCACTCACTCCATTCATTTGAAAATTATATCGTGAGACCCGATATCGCAGGTCACAACATGAAGTGTCAAGAATTGAGACTAATCAATTAATCATAACAGAGGGTCAACAATTGGCAGATGATTTCGGATGCAAATTTATCGAGACATCGGCGAAATCGAGAATTAATGTCGATAACGCTTTCTACGATATTGTTCGCGAGATCAGACGTTATAACAAGGAAATGGCTGGTTACACGGCAGGTGGTGCGAGTGGTGCAAATAATGGTGGACCACAAGGAAAGATGGAAGTTAGTGAGGGTGAGAAGGAAAGTGGATGTTGTGGGGGTTGTATCATCATGTAAATGGTGAATGTGATGAAGAGGGGAAGAGGGATAGAGATAAGGTTTGGTGGTAGTTGGGCGTATATTATGGAATTTGAAGAGATGTTGTGATATTTGCAAAGGAAAGATACCAAAACAATTTTCTAAAAGGGGATAGATTGATGGATGGCTGGATGGATAGGTGGTCAGATATACGATGTGGATCTTTGAGGATACAATGGATATTGATGGGGTGGTACGGACGGGTTGGGATGGGATTTCACAAATAAGATGTTAGTAATTTTGGGGGATTCGAGTTGTTGTCGATATACATATATTGGTGGAGTGAAGAGAGTCAGTCCTTCGTACAATACGTTGTTTGAGGGATAGATGGTATGGATAGATCGATGGTGGATGGTGGATAAGTGAGTGCTGGGGTGAGATGCATGGTTTAAGGAACATGTGTTCTTGAAATAGTGAGAGGGAATGGATAGGAAGGGGAGGGAAAACCAGAGATGGATTTGTGAGATGATGGAGGGGAGAGTAGAGAGGGGAGATATTCTAAGTTCAGCCTCTTCTTTTTTTTTATAATGATACTCCTTTTTAAATGTTACGGATGGGATTTTTGAACTGTTTGAATGTTTTGTTTGGTGATTGGTGATTGGTGACTGGTCGGTTTTTGTGTTATGTTGTATGTCGTGAGTATGTGTACAGTATGAGTAAGTGGGTGGGTGTATATATGTGTATATATATAGTATAGTGTGAGTATGTGTGAGTATATGTGTATATCTATATCTATATCTATATGTAAGTGAGTAGGTGTAAGTAAGTCAGTGAAATATATAGATACATGACACATGACACACAACACACAACACATAATACATAACATTCCTGAATCTGAAACGAAGAGGAGGAATGCAATCTGTAGTATGGGATTCAGATACATGTCAATTTCTCCTTTACGGAACGCGGTCCTTGGTATCTGGGGGGAGAGGGATTGAAAGTTCAAAGCGTCTAGAAGAGGTGAGGTGAGGTGAGGTGACGCTCCGCTGGCCCTCCGGGGGCCACTGCCGTGGTGGCGGAGTGGGGGGTTTGGGGTGGTGTGGTGTGGGGGAGTGGTTGGAATAGCAAGGGGTGGAATGGGTTGGAATGGAGTGGACTGGAATATATTGGAGTGGGGGATGGGGATTGAGAGGGGGGAGATGGAGAGATGGAGAGAGAGAATTGGAGACAATTTTCTTGTATTGAGATTTGTATTTGTATTTGTATTTGTATTTGTTTTATGATTGGTTTTGGTCCTTTTTTTGTGGGTTGTGGGTTGTGATGGGATGGAGATATTGGTCTTGGTGTTTATATTGATATTTATATTGCTTAGAATGATGGATGGATGGATGGAGTCTTAGGTGCTTGCTACTGGGGAATGGGAAAGGAAGTGCATGTGGAGTGAGGGGAGTTTGGAGATGGAGGTGGAGGTGGAGTTTGTGACTTGTGACTTGTGACTTGTGGATGATATGCGCATGTGGTGAGTTTGTATTGGGGTGGATGGTGATGATATTTGCTGGATTTTGGGGATCGGTTTATATGGTGAGGTGTGGGGGATAGGGATAGGGAATGAGATATAGATCGATTTTAGATTGAGAAATCTCGAGGGTAGTAAACTCAAAGGGGTTGGGGATTCTGTAGGTTTATGCGGATGCTTTGTTTTTATCTGTTCTCGGATTGCTATACATGGAAACCTTGAGTGTGTGAAAAGTTGTGACAGGGCGGTTAGAGAATATGATCTTTGGTGGGAGGAGAGAAGAGACGGTAGTTCTCTCTTATGATGTCTACGGATGGATAATGATATATGAATGAATATGCATCAAGTGATGTTCTTCGTCAATAGAAATTCGGGTGTCTGGAAGAACAAGTTCTTCTTTGGCTTCCGCGTTGTTGATTTGGGAGAGCTTGAGTTTGATGAATGTGGAGTCTGGGGAGGATTTGTAGATTTATGGGATGCTTTACTTGTATTTGTTCTCGGATTATTGTATGTGGATCTTTTGGGCGAAGCGAGTAAAGGGGGATGAGTTGGTGGGGCGAGGTGGCGGATGGAGGAGGAGTGGAGAAGAGAAAAGGGATTCTATCTATGTTTACAGTAATATTCTGTTTCTTAGGGTCTGGAGTACTAGTGATCTGGGAACATGTATTCAATAAATTCTACTTATATAGAGAGTTATACCCGCAAATAGGGAAATCTCGAGTGTAGCGAGCTAAGAAGAGTTTGGGTGCTTTAAGTGCTTTGGGTGGGGGAGCTTAATTTGAGTGTTGTACTTATTAATATCTCTAATAAAAATGATTAGGGAATCGTAAATTTTCTTTTTGTATGTAGAGTTTTGAGTATTGATATCAATTTTATCCTGAAATTCTTGTATATAAAACCTCGAGCGTAGCGAGCTAAGGGGGTTTGGGGGCTGGCCCCCATCAAATAACATGAAAATTACATATATATTGTTTCTAGTATACCATTTGAACCAGTTATATATGTTTAAGCATATACAACATCTTTACAAGAAGCACAAGCCCACATACCCGTCCTATAACCAAAATGTTTCGTATCACACCCATTACATTTCAACAAACCTTTTCTAGACAACCAATTCTTCACAGCTAGAGCTCTTTCCGTTACATCCATAATAGCTTCATTCCGATGAGTATTACATAACCATGTCTTTCTCATCTGAGATGTACATGTACAGTATTCTTTCTTGAACGCCGCATCGACTTTTCCAGGGCTTGTTCGTGGTCTTAGCTCGGCCGCACATTCGTCACAATAATATAATTTGGTGTATTCAATAAGTGCCGATTGGGAATCTGCAACTCGAATATTTTGATCTTTGTGACAAGGTACACAAGTATGCCAATCACCTCCTTCGATACCATGTTGAAGATAATCGCAATGTTTTGCTGGAGATTTGAAACAAATATCGATTCCGATAAGTTCATCGCAATGTTTATTCTTGCGAATTCCCTTCAAATCTTGTTTCCATTCTCGTCGATAATCGGATAGAGGATGGATTTGAAGTCTTGGATCGGGATCTGCTTTTTCTTGAATAGCTACTTCGAATCCAGATCGATGTTCTTCAACTGAATTTAGAACGTCATCTAGATCAAGCATTTCTACATCGGGACTTTCGACACTATATTCAGGTGGAATTCTAGGTGTACTGAAATCGATCCCTTCTCCATCAAAAGTCATGGCAGCATAATGTGCCACATCCCCAAATGGTTCGGATAAAAATTCTGGTCCTTCTGGCGCAAGACTATTATATGATGCATCTTGTTCCGTAACTGTCGCGACACGATTATATGATGGGCCATCTGGATCGGGTTTATATGGTTCCATAGCTGGATGCTCATTTTGTGCATTTTGTGAGAAGAAACTATTTTGATGGCCAGCTTCGAATGAATCCATTATGACTTGGGAGCTGTAATTCATCATAGGTCCTAAATCCATATCATCAATCGCTTGATCTGCTTCTTCGAAATTCGAGGCTAGTTTATCCCATTCAGTATTGACATCATTGTATCCTCTCTCTGGCACTGAAAGATCTAAATCGTCATCATCATCAGCACGTTGTAAAGTGCCTCTTGCTCCTTGATAATCCCGTTCTCTGTATTTCGAAAAGTAAGAGACAGGACTACACATATCGACTGTTCCATTCAGTCTACACGTTCCACAAGGACGTTCTCCATCACAAGGACGAGATTGATCTTTACACGGCTCACATTGAATACTGGGAGCTTCCTCCATTTCGGGACTGGCACTTCTACGTCGACGTCTTGAAGGAGAACACCTTCTTGGTCTTGGATTAAATGCAGCTCTTCTCTTTCGCGAAAGACTAGCTTTTTGTTGAGCGGAAATTGGTTCTTCATCTTCTTCATCCTCTTCGTCTTCATCTAAATCCATTGCCGAATCTGAAAATTCATCTGGATCAGCCACTCTTTTGGGACCAGGTCTTCGTGGTTTCAATTTCCATGCCGGTTTGGGCGCATTGGGATCTTCCAAATCCCGAGTGATTTCGCATACTATCCCACGTTGTTTACATCGATCACAAGGTCGAGGCGATCCTGCGACTAATGTACATGGTTTTCTCATGTGTGTACAATACAAACAACGTTTGGCTTTTGGTGCGAATCCTGATCGTTGAGCTGTATATTCTCCTACAGTTCCCCCTGCAGTTCCACTTCCAGCTTTGTCAGCAGGACTGGCGCGAGGTAATTTACATTCTGCTCCACTGTCTCTACAGCGTGTGCAAGGTCGAGGTGATCCTCCTACTAAAGAACACAATTGCCTCATGTGTTGACAACGTAAACAGCGTTTGGTTCTCGGACCCGGAGCTGCAAGCATCCCAGTTCTATCTCTAGGGGGCATAGCTGGGAGATCTTCATCGCTACTATCCTCTGGTAATTCCGGTGTTGTAGGTCTTGGTTGATGATCTCTCTCGGCAATCCGTCTCGCAATTAATAAAGCTGTCTTTCTCCTCCTAGAATTTTCTAATTGTCGACAAGCCTTTTCAGCTCGATATTGTGTTGCATATGCTGGATCGAAATTTTTATGTGTGTGATCCATTTTATTCTTATGAACCTCCTTATCTTTCTCCCATTGGATTTTCACTTTCCGTCGAGCAGCCGTTCGAGCTTTCAGCTGTGCAGGAGTATCACCAGCTTGTTTCGCCGTCGTCGGAAATGTATATGGACGTTTTCTCAATTCTGAAGGTTCGATCCCAATTGCGTTTCGAGAAGTGACAACCCGAGCTCGCCATGCAGTCATGGATTCTCCTGGTCGTTGGGGTCCCTCATCGATCGCTTCGATATTGGCGGCGATTTCACTTAACCACGGGGAATAAGTACCGGTCTCGAGTTGTTCGACGATGAAGGGATCGAATTCTCCATCTGGCCCGGGGGAATAGGCTCGTGTATCTTTCCAGGTTGGTGGGCCAGGTGGTCGTCGGAGTCTTTGCTGTTCCCATACCGTTTCTCCCGGTGGTAATGGAAGATACATTTGTTGATATGTGAGACGTTTGGGGATCCTTGGGACTTGTGTACCATGTCCATAAGTTGCATTCTGTATATCCATCTCTTGATGGTACTGCTGTGGTGGTTGATGGAACTGTTGATATCCTGCCTGGGGAAAATACGGCCCAGAAGCCATAGAAGCTCCCATCTGACCTCCAAAGCTTGGATTCTGCGGCATGATCCTCTGAAGTCCTCTTTGCTCTTGCATCGTCGGTGGATTTCCACTCCTCCAATCTCTTGCTTCACTCTCAAAAAGTTGACCCAATGGAATAGATGTTGGCTGAGGTCCTTGCCAATGTATTTCCCTCTGCGGAATAACTGGTTGTTGTACCATAGGCGCCATGGCATCCATTCCCCTGATAAGATCCCACGGATCGACGGTTGCTTCCACAACCTGATTCTGATCCGGCACATTGAGCCACGGAGATATATAATCCCCTTCCGTATGTTGGAATTGATGACTAGCACCTCCTGTCAAGGGATTGCGTCCCGTTCTCCATGCAGCTAGATTATCTTGATCCCATGGAGGTCGACCACCGCGCCAACCCCCAGCGGGAATAAACATGGGAGTCTCCGAGCGGAAATTATGTTCGGGTCGGAGCAAAAAGTTTTCGAATCCGGGATTGAGAGGATCACCAGAGGGATGTGGATCGGGACCTGGTGGAATGACACCACGGCCGGCGCCTTGTCCCTGTCCTTGACCAAAGCCAGTCATATCTGATTGATATTAACCGTAAAAAGGTGAGGTGATTGAAAATAAATTGACAATGGGATTGTGGATGAAGCGCGAGTTATTGAACAAGATGCAACAGATAGATAATCATACAATACGACAAATTAGTTTGAACGGGGACGTGAATCCTGAGCTTGAACGTGCGCTGTTCCTCGAGCTTGAGCTTTCTTTGCACGACTGGAATCGAAATTCGAACATCTTGTTTGTGCGCATGATTGAGAGCGCGAGTTATAGGATTAAATTTTCTTTGTCGATTGATAAAGAGGTGAGAGGGGGTATTGTCTCGAGATGAGAGTTTGAATATCAGATAAAGGGGGAAGAATTCGAGTTGAAGAGTTGTGAAGATTGAGGGGAGAACTCTTTGTGGGAAGAGGTGAGGATTGGCTGCTTGCGGAGGGGGAATTATTAAGCGAGGGGGATAAAGGAGTTTTTTAGATGATTGGGAGGGAAAGCATTATGGTTCATGTATATTCAATCTAATGAATTAAATTTCCGTATTGAATGACAATTAGATGAAGATTCCTATTCGTTTATTCCTACTTGTTCAAGAACAAATTTCAAGGAACCTAGCATCCAATAAATAAAACCCGAATTAGGAAATTATGAATATTTTTTTAAGGGAGGGGGGAGGGACACTTCGAATCGACAGAGAATTACATAATTGAGGTTAAGTGCCTAGGTATAAGAAATTGTTTCGTAAAATTGACTTCACACACCAACACACAATAACATAAAACGCCCACGAAATACAAATAAAATTGGTTAATTTCAATATCAGAGAAAAAAGTGTATTCATACAAGCCGATAACTCTAAATAAATTCCATCATGTCATCATTAACTGACAGATCAAGTATACCTCAATCAAACCCCATAAACTCCCACCCTAGTGACTACCCTATATGACACGCTCAAATAGTTCCCAGAAAAGAAAGAAGAGGGGAAAAAAAGAAAAGGATCACGAGATCCTTATACGCTTGCAAATCTAATATTTTCAATCCATTCAACTCATTTTTAATCCCTACGACTCATTCGTCTCCCACCAAATGATAATGAAGTAGGACTAGTAGGCGTATTCGATCTTACTGTAGGTGGAAGACCCAATTTGACTTCCCCTACCCGTCTTAAAAGTCCTTGTAACGCCAATCTAATTTCCACTCCCATATCCCTAGAAAGTAAATCCACTGCCAATGGATAGAATACTTCAACATACTTCTCGAATCCTTCTCGTGGGAAATTCATGTAACCTTCTAACACATCTACAACAACTGGTCGCCAAGCAATGATATTTCTTTGTTGACTCTCTTCCTCAAGTTGGGTAAAACCACGGATGATATCGGCGCACAGAGGTACTAAAGCTTGTTCTGTATCTGCTCGGTTTCTTTTTCTCTCCTCACCTTCGTCATGGTACATTCTAAGAAGAATAGAAACATATGTAGCTGCACTACCAGATTCTTGCTTCAACAAGTTAGGTGGCTGTTTCATGAATCCTTCACGCCATAAACGCATTCGTAGTTCTTTGTTCTCATTAAATCTTTTGGCGAACAAGAAAGATTTCTTGAGTAAAGCCATCAGCCTGAGAAGTTCCGGACTAGGAATTTGAGCATAAACGGTATCGTTGGAAAAAAGCTCATTGACAGTTTCGATCATCAAAAGTTGTAAAACACATTTGGTAATGATTTTATTGAAAAAGCGTCGACGAGCTGCAGTGACAACTACAGGTTGTTGTTGTAGACCTGATTGTGGCTTATAGTCCTCTAACTCTGGAGTTTGAGTTACAACAGGTGTCTGACCTTCTGGTTCAGCAATGCTCTCTGCATCCGAGGTTGCACCACCATTTGTACCATTGATTTTTAGAGATTGACCATCATCAATATCTTCAATTGGTGCTGTGGAACTCTCCATAGAACCTCCTGCTGCAGACGATGTTGCAGCAGTGAATAATTGGAATGCAGTTGTCCTATCGAATAACTCTACAAAAGCTCCAACTATTTTGGACCAGTGTTGAGGCTTGAATTTTGTGACATTTTGCAATATTAATTGCTGTAAACAATTACTACCAATACGAGCAATTGTATCATTCTCTTGACATATGCACAAAGCAAGTAAATCAAGGAATCTATCCAACATGTATTCAAGTGATTCGAAATAGTGAGTGAATAATGTGATCATGTTTCGAAGAGCTTGAATCATTGTAGTTGATAGCCACACAGATAATTCCTCATGATTGACAACATTGGACATCTCGGATTTGGATTTGAGAACCATAAAGATAGGATAGAGTAGTTGTCTCCATAAGATGTCCCAGAAGTCAGAAGGGAAGTCACCTCCATATTTGACCAGTGAATCAAAAAGGTAATTTAAAGCATTTGAACGGACTTCCAAATCTTCTCCCGTCATAAGAACATCATGAAAAGCGAATAAAACGGGAAACCAAAATGCTTCTTCCTGAGTTGTACGACTTATAGGGTTTGTGGCAGTGTCTGGAGTTTTTATCGAACCATCTGAATTCGCATTCGATTTGTGGGATAAAGGACATTCCGGTGTCTTTAACATCTTGGGAATAATTGATTTCAATGCTTCCATGGCTTGTAAACCCTTCTTTTGGAATTTCATATTCTTCGAAAACTCAGTCAAGCAAACAATCAAGTCTGCGAATGCGCCTTGAGAGATGACAACACCAAATCGAGTTTTGTAAACTTGGTTGACATTTTCAAAGGCAAGATTGACGATACTCTCATATGGTTCTCGAGCTGCGACGGTAAATACTCCGAACATTGTTCTCCAACCAGAGCGAATATTCTCTCCACGGGCTTGAATCATTTGTATTAGACAACGCAAAGCCATATCCTTTACAGATACAACATTTGAGTTTGACATTACATGCTCGAAAGGTTTCAAGAAGTCTTTTTGGAATTTGAATCCAGGTAATTCTTCGATCTCCATAAATCGCATGGACAGTTGACGCAAAGAATCCAAAGCAAAGAATACCACAGCGGTATTGTTATGACACCCAACTCGATTAAAGTGCTCACCTAGAACAGCCCAGATATTGGTCCATTCAAATCTCACACGAAGCATATTGTAGTAACTGATTTCCACAAGCTTTTGAAGACTGTATGTCCTTGGAGATTCGTTGGAACCCGATATCTTAATCTCATCCCAACTGACATCACACAAAGCTGTGACGAAGTGGACAATGGCCTCACCAGAAAGATTGGCCGTATTTGTGAATATTCTATCCACTCCCTTGATAACTTCATCAGATCTACTTTCCATTGCGATTTCTGTTGAATAAATAGTACCCTGCGTGTTCGTCCTTGGACGAGTTCTAGGTCGTTGAGAAGCGGTAGATTTTCTTGACGAAGTGGTATCTGATCGTGATGGAGCAACAATTCGAGCTTTTGAAACGTCTGGAATAGCCCCTTCATCAACTCCATCCGATATTAATTGTAAGCGGTCCAATTGACTGATGCACATAAGAATATCTCGCCATGATCCTTTCAAAAGATTTCCTTCTGTCTGTGCTATTTCAAGAAGAACTTTTAATGCTTCCACATTCTTCGCCATCATGTCCTTAGGATTGTTGAGATTAGTCGAGTTCTTGAGAGCGGAAACGAAAGCTTCACGTGGAGTTTCTAGATCGAAAAGACACGCAATACGAATTGCTAATTTCATTCCTTCGATGCATAATTTGATGATCTCAATATTGTGCGAGTTTTGCATTTGACCGGAAAGACCGGAGAAGAATGACATCCAAGTTACCTCAAACATAGGGCCGACATGCTTGAATGAAGTAGCAGGAATAAATTTATCCCCTGATTTCGATGCATTCTTTCGTTGATTTCGGAAAAGATTCTTGAATAATTGTTCAGATCTGTGAGAGATCTCTTCAGATTGTTGCAAATAGGCTTCTCGCTGTAAGTCGCGCCCGACTGTAGCCAAAGCTTGTCCAAGACCTGCCGCAATACCACCAGTAGATTGCGGAGGAGCATTGCCAGTAGCTGCAGCGGCTTCGCGTTCACTATTTAGCACAATTTCTTCCTTTTGGATTTCTTCGTAGATGCCGATGAGGTATTCGTCAGGTAAACTTGCATTATCGTTAATACCACGATTATTCTTGATGAAATCTTCCTTGGTCATTCTCTTTGCAACTTTACTGCTGTGTTGATCTGTGTTCAACATAATGACAGAGTAAGACAAGACGTAAGCAGTATCTGCATTAGCAAATGCATTTGGATTGCCAATAACATATCGATTTGCAAATTTCAACATGAAACGATCAATCTTTTGAGCTTCACCAGGAAGACGAAAGGATTGTAGAAATTGACGTAGAGCATCGACGAATCGACGTTTAGTGAAGTCCATTGCATCCACAAATGCGTGCATGATTGCAATGTTTCGTTCGTCTCCTTCACCCAAAAACTCTCCGATTTGCGCCTTATCCAATCTGTCCTCTCGTAGTAAGAATTGTGCAATACACTCTGGTGTATCTTCCGCGATGAATTTATCGGCAAGTAAAAGCTTGATGCCTTTCTTTGGTTTGAAGTTGAATTGCTTGATGGCATTTGTCATTGCGGTCTTTCTTTGCTTCTCCTTTTCCAATTGTTCCGGGTCATCATCCATGACAGGTGTTGAAGGCATTGGAGTATTTTCACCAGTGATTCTTGTTGAGCTATCATTTCCAGGTTCCAAGGATTCTCTAACGTCGGCGGAGCCTCTGATATCACTTTCTGGGCCACTAGTAACATCAGCAATTCCTTGCTGTGACCAATTCACCAGTGATCTAAGTGTCTCCACGAGACAATCCATAGCTTGTCGCTTCACGATGTACTCTTTGGGAATTTCGGTCTCTCCATTTTCGGTATGGCTACTCAAATGTGCTGTAGACAGAGGCGGGGGAAGCGTCCCTCGAGATTGCCAATCACCATTTGAGCTTTTACTGTTCTTCTCTTCATATTGCTGTTGGGCAAGAGGGCTTACC